GCCCAGACGACCAGGTGCAGTGTCTGAAGGGGTGCAGTGGCAGGGCGAAGTGAGGAGGAGTGAGGAGCATGGCGCAGCCGGCCCTCGACGCAGGGCGTGCACGGCGGCATAGGCGAGGGAGGGAGAGCAGGGAGCGACGCAGGGAGGCCGAGGACTAGACCGTGCTGAGACATGTGACGCAGGTGGGGGAGCGCGAGGTCACCTAGGCAGTAGTGCCACAACAGTGACGGGTGAGTGAGAGACTGACACGAGCCAGCCGCAGCTACCTGGGTGGACGCAGGACCGGAGGAGGACTCGCCCACCGAGGGGGGAACAGTATACAGCGTAAACAGGCCAGACACAGGGTCCCGGGGGAACATCGCAAGGGGGGCACCTGAGGCAGCCTCGGAACAGACCGCGTACCGCTGGTGACCAGAGAATGTAGTTGTGACGCTGAGGTCCTGAAGACAGCCGACACCAACTAAGTTCCTAGAGAACGAAGGGATGTGCAGGCCTGTAAGGGAACCTGAGGGAACCGCTGGACAGGGAAGGGTAGTGTAGCTGCGAGCAACTACAGGACTAGAGGAGGGGTCCGCAAGGGCGACAGCGGCAAGTGCAACAAGCGGCGTGAGGGTGGCGTGGTCGCGGAAGAAACAGGCTGACGCACCAGAGTCTAGAGTGAAGGACAGCGACGCCGTAGTGGCCGACGACAGAGGAGCAAGGGTAGAGCCTAGGCTAGACAAAGCAAGGTGTCCTACGCCTGACGCAGCAGGGGAGTCTGGACTACACACAGGTGCTACGCCTAAGCTAGAGAACACATAATAATACAATCCGGAAACACTCGGAGCGTCAGCATAAAGAGAATGCAAGGCAGAACTAATCTGATCCATGTCTAAGTCAAACGCAAGCACACCATGGCGCAGCAGGCTAGGCCAGTCAGGGAGGTCCGGGGCTGGACCAAAGCGGCGACGGAAGAGGTCGTCAAGGCGGCGGAAGCAGCGGGCGGTCGGGTGCAGGTGGTAGCACACCATGCCACGCAGGGGCCCGGTCTAAAGCTGGTACTGGCAGCTCACAGCACCGAAGCTGCCGGTGGACGCCAAGCTGCGAGGGCCACCACCACCGCCAGGGGCTCCTGGTCACCCGGGCGGGAGACGAGCCCACGGCTGCTGTTGCTAGTGCTGCAGCTGCGACTACGGCGAGCGCTGCTACTCCTGGGCACGAGCACCAACCCCCTCGTCAGAACCACTGTCCCTGCCACCACCACCACTAGCGCGACCTCCACGTCCTCCCTTGGGGACACGGCGGCCCTGTCGCTGGCGCTACTGCGGATAAGCCGCAGCTGCAGTCTCAGGTGCAGGCGCAGTCGTAGCAACTGCGGCGGAGACGTCAGCGTACGTGCACTGGGAGGGTGCACAGCCCTGAAAGATAGGGACTGCCGCAACACCGCTCGACTGAGCGATAGTGCGCTGGCGAGTCTCTATCTCAGACACAGTAGTGACAAAGGCGGTCAGGGTGAGGTCGGCAGGGTGTTGACTAAGGAAGTGGTCGCGGCCAGTGGCTAAGCGGTCAGGCTGGCGCATGGCGATGAGGTACAGGGTAACGCAAAAAGGTGGGGGGAAGGCAGTAAGCTGGGCGGCAGAGCTAGCAGCGCAGTAGCTGGTCTCTAGTGCATGGAGGTGAGTAGCGAGGTCAGCTATCGTGGAAAAGGCAGAAAGATCATGGAAGAGCATGGGTAGGATCAAGCGGCCAGCAGAGGCGGAAGCAGGTGTGGAGTAACGCTCAACTACTGCAGCGAGAAAGTCCTTGGCGTTCGCGACAGCGGTAAAGCGCGGATGCTCAGACAAGGGGAGGGCATGGCTAATGGCAAGCTGCGCTACCGCATCGCGAGAATCCCAGACAGCGCGAGCGAGCGCAGCAGCAGCTAAGGCCTCGCTCTCAACAGTGGTAAGGTCAGCAGGGAGGGGATCAGGCGTAGGGGGGCGGGGGAGCAAGCCATCAACATGCATAGCCAGGGAGTGCCCATTCTGGTGCTGACCTGTCAGGTGCCGGCGGAGGTCGATGAGCCGGGCGGCGAAGTCAATCGCGTGCCCTTCAGCGTCCAAGCGAAGAACGGCGTCGACCATCGCACAGTGGGACAGCGGCACAGTGGCTCTGCGGCGCAGCGGCACAGCGACTCGGCGGCTCGGCGGCTCGATGGCTCGGCAGCTCGGCAGCTCAACGGTTCGGCGGGAGGGTGCTCCAGCAGGGGCCAGCGGGAACGCGAGGGGCCAGCTCGGGCGGAAGGAGGGGCCGGTAGAGGCGCTAGGGGCCGACTAGGGTCAGCTAGGGGCCGGTTAGGGACGCAAGGGGCCGGTAGGGGCGTGAGGGGCCAGTAGGGGCGCGAGAGGGGCCGTAGGGGCGCGAGGGGCCGGTAGGGGGGCGAGGGGGGGTCGTAGGGGCGCGCTGGGCCGGTAGGGGTGCGAGGGGCCAGTAGGGGCTTGAGGGGGCCGTAGGGGCGCGCTAGGCCGTAGGGGCTCGAGGGGCCGGTAGGGGCGCGAGGAGCCCTAGGGGCACTAGGGGCCGGCTAGGGGCTCGAGGGGCCGTAGGGGCGCGCTGGGCCGGCTAGGGGCGCGAGGGGCCGGTAGGCTAGGGCGTGGGGCGGAAGCGGGTGGGTGGACCTACCTACAGTACTCGTGATACCATGTTAGAAGCTAGAATGAATGATTAACACAAGGGAGAACAAGGGAGATATATGGTTTGGGTTGTACCCTCTAAGAACATACCCTATCTAGCCTATAACTTCTACATAACAATATATATATAAGTTAAGTTGACAGCACCGCCCCTTGTCTAGCCTAGGGGGTGTGTCAACATAAAGTTGTATATGTTATAGGCTAGATAGGTGCATGCTCATAGAGGGTACAGCACCATAGCACAACCCTCTACATTAGACCTGGTCAACTGGCACTATATAAGCCCTAGGCCTGATTTCTATCATCATTCTGTTATCACGTTCCCCTATTGTATTCTGCGCTATACTCTTAGTTATAATACATAACAACACCCATCCATAGCATCCTCATAGGGTAACCATGCCAGAGTCGCACCACAATACTGCCATGATGAAAGTCTCTTGCACATATGTTACACAAGGCTGAGAGCAATCTCTAGGGTGTCTAACTAAACTATGGTAGCAAGAAGTTGGAGTGTAAGGGAAACTGGAGCACGGAACCCAGACCCAAAATCTAGATCGGGACAACTTAGAATGTACACTCACCCAGATTAGCTATGGGTTATTGGTCAACCATCAGATTGCTCTTGGGAGCCAAGAGAACTTGACAGGGAAAAACTCTCTTCGCTGAGAGATTGCAGCCATGCCTCTTCTTCCCCAATCAGCCGATTTCTGAGTCCCTCCATGTTGAAGGAATTCTCCAAGTGCTCAATTATTCTGCTTCCAGGCACTTCTTGTCCCAGCCTCCTGCTGACGTGGTCTGTCAACGCGAAGATCATGAAATGGCGGTGAACTCCCAAGAGTAGATGCGCAGGATAGACTTCGAGGCCATCCAATAAAGCGAACTCGAACATGAGTTGCTGTTTCCTAGAATCTGCGTCAGCGTCTTGACTCTGCAATTGGACCTCCATCACTCTCGGACTCTGCCATCAAGAAAAGCAGAGACGGAAATGTTTTCCGATCCAGCTTTGCCGAACGAAGAGAATCAACCACCATTTGAACACTACCTGAAGTACCAGCTGCCTGAACGAATAATCTCAACGGATGCACCTGAAGTGCGACAGCTCAAGCCTTATGGTGAATAAAACGAAACCGCTGCTCTATAAAACAGGTGGTGAACGGGCAACATGCCGAATAGCGTCTAAGAGACTGAAGATGCAACGGCCTTTTCCCATAACAACACCAGGATCACCGCAGACGACGCGAATCTTGCATAAAAAGACATTTATGGGGGCTTAACCGTTTTGCCATACGTGATATGCTTGCTGCTTGTTGAAACGTCTGGCGACTGGAAACTAAGTCTTGCACGTTGACACAGGCGCTGGCCTGCCACGCTTGGATTGCGTTCATACAGGGTGCAGGCGCACGGACTCCACAGCCTTCCTCTGAAAACCTGCGATTTAGGTCCAGCTTTTGGAACGTCGTGCTAATCCCTGCTCGAGGGATGGACAATTCTAAGCTGGCTGCAAGGTTGACAGTTCGGGTTGTCAAAATAAGCTAACTTTTCAGCGGTGGTTGTTTATTCCAGTCAGCCTCACCACAAGCACTGCTTTGCGATCACTCACGTTGCTTGGTGGTGCTATTTCTCGTCTCGTTTTCTGTCTGCGTTTGGGCTTTTGACGGCGAAATGCGAGGGCGTCAGGAGGAAGGCCTCGTTTCGTAGAGCGTTGGGTTGGTCGCGTTGGGAGGGCGGATTGGCTGGGGGGGATTGGCTGGGTATTGGCTGGGGATTGGTGGGATTGGCGCATGCGGGGAGATTTTGCGCCATCGCCATGAAACGTTGTTGTTGCTGCACTGCACAGGCGCAGCGGAGCAAATCCTCTCCGCTGCCATGCACGGGGAGCGCAAACGGCCAGCTGCGTCATGAGTTCGGTTCGGTCGGGGGAACAAAATGGTTGCGCTGCAGACACAGTACCAGTGCATCGCCTTCTTCTGAGAGTGCAGGTTGGTGTGTGGGGGTTGGGCAAGGGGACTTTGCGCCGAGGTGGGCACAGCTGGAGGGACTCGGCCAATCAAATAGAAAGGCGACCCGCTCGGGCGAGTGCTTTGTGGGCATAAAGGAGGCAAAGTGGGCCGCCAGATGCCTGTATTCAACGGACACGATCTCCTTATCCGGAGCTTTGCGACAATTGCGAAACTGAATGCCCGATCATGATCAAACGACTCGATTGAAATTGCCACGTACTGCTTCAGCCTAGAGATCACCAACAGACAGCTACACGAATCGGGCTACACCACACATTAGACACTTGATGCAACTAATGGTAGTTGCACGTTGTAGGACATTCATGTGATGGTTGGAAGCGAAAAAATCTAGTATTAACATTTATACTCACTTCTACACACCAAACCACAACCTCGCATAACGACTAGGCAATTGCGACATGCTTGGCATACGCCTGCCCAAGTTGAGCGGCCTCCAAGGCATGTGCAAGGGAGTTGACATTCCGAGCATTCGAAGATTCACACAAGGAGCGTGTAGCACAGCCTGTCTTCTGAACCACAGCACTGATCGAGGAGTATGCACCCACGGGTGAAATGCGTCCCGAATTATACACAAATCCTGGGGAAGCACCCGAGAATTCACATGACGGCGGGGCTGCAATAGCACTGCTGCTTCGCCTGTGATGTGGCCTTGCTTGTGAGCCACCGGAAGCAGATTCAACCCAAGCAGAACCAGCAGCAACTTGACGGAAGGCAGGGCCGTCAGCCATCCCTCCAAACACAGGCACACCGGGAGTGCCAGGGCGCAACAACCTTGCACTACCTGACAGGGGTTTCACGAAACCCCCCTGGGCAGCCCTAGGTGAAGCTTGGACAGGCTCAGACGCCCTTACCGCATTATTTTCGCCTGGCTTGCGACCAGAAGCAGAGCGAGGGGTAAACGACCCAGCTGGAGCTGGAGCGGGGGATGCGTCAGCAAGAGAGGGATAGCAGACTCCAGCCAGCCTCCGGGCCTCATCTAGGCACATCCCCCTGGGCTGCTCACTGCTGCTGCTGGCACCAGCCATGGCTACACCAGTGCCATAGCTAGAGGCGCCCAAGCTGCACGACTCCAAGCCGCCAGCAAATTCACTCAGATCGCCAACGGAGAGGCGCCGGCGGTTCACTCCTGCTGCATTGCCAGGACGACCAGCAGCCCTGCCTGCAGCAGCAGCAGCAGCAGGAGCGGCAGCAGCTGTGGCTGTAACACCTGTGCTGGCAACACTGCTGTTAGCAGCAGCAGGGCGCGGTGACTGAGCGACTGTGGGGCTGTGAGAAGCGACGGCCCACAGAGACGCGATGCTGGAGTGGCTGACGTTGGCTCTCCCTGTTACCGCCGGTTTCCGCACGGCCGTCAGTGGCTTGCTCTGTACCATGCTGATGATGCCGTGGACAGGTGCTGCTGCTGGTGATGCTGCTGGTGATGCTGCTGGTGATAGTATGGCAGACACTGGAGAAACAGGAGAGAGGGGTGCAGGAGGAGAGGCAGAGAACCCAAGCGGCAGGTCATCTTGGGTGGAAGAGAAAGCAGAGGCAGAGGCAGAGGCAGAAGAGGGTGTTTGCATGCTTCCCACACCGAGCAGAGCAGACAGAGAGGGTTCTAGGCTAGTCTTGATCGGTGTTGGGAGATGCACCACTTTCGGGTAGGCAGGAGCTGTGGTACTAGCACCAGAGGTGAGGCACGAAATCGTGCCAATGCCACCAGTATACCCCTCCTGCTCTCTCTCCTCCTCTCCCTCGTCTTCCAGGTCAACCAGGTCAAGGAATTCCTTGAGCTCCGTGTCGATGCACGTGATGCTGTGCCGCCGCCTGTGCCCGCGAGACCCATCCAGGGGAGGCCCAGCGGCAGCAGCAGCAGGAGCAGCAGTAGCACCACCACCACCACTTGAACCAGAAGCCAAGGCAGATGCCAAAGCAGATGCCAAACCCGATGTTGACGCTGGTGTGGCAGCTGATGCGGAAGCCGAACCAGCGCCAACCGCAGCAGGACGGACAACCACCTGTTGAGGCGTATCAAAGGAAAAGCTCACTCTTGCCTCTCCCCTCTCCTCCTCCTCCTCGTCCGCATCCCCGTCTATGAGGTCGAGGAACTCCTTCAGCTCAGCGTCGATGCACGTCTGGCTGCGGCGTCGGGAGGGGTGGCGATCGGTGGGGATGGTGTGGGCGAGCGGGCCGGAATGCGTGCGAGACGAGCCCCGGGCAACCATGGCTGCATGGTTGGCCGTCGCTGCAGGCGCTGCTGCTGCACGAGCGGCGCCTACTGTCCAGGCCGGAGCAGTCGCAGCTGCACCCGGTCCGCCCGTGGTGTTCCTCCGGGCGACATTCGTGGGTTGCTCCTGCGGCGAAGTCTCACCACATCCGTCCTCTTCACCCCCCTCCTCCTCAAAGTCAACCAGGTCAAGGAATTCCTTCAGCTCCGAGTCCATGCACGTGATGCTGTGCCGCCGCCTGTGCCCCGGACCCGGACGGCCGGAAACATCCCCGTTACAAGAAGCCCCGTTAGCAGCACCATATTTGGGAAACGCGAAAACACCAGCGGCAGCAGCAGCGGCAGCCTGCCGGTCCCCCCGTCGGTCCCCCTGCCTGTCCCCCTGCCCTCCCTGCAGTGGCTGCTGCTGCGCAAGGTCCCCCCAGCTGCTGCTCCGCCTCCGCCTTCCGCCATACCCGTCCGCCGTCCCTTCTCCGCCGAACCCTTCCGCACCTTTAACGCGCTCCCCGTGACGCGCGCTCCCCCCCATAGTTGCTTCCCCCGTCACACCCCCTGCGCCCACCCCGAGCCTGTTCAGCGCCGTGGAAAGCGCCGCATTCGCCACCTTGCGGTGCTCCACGGCCGTCCAATAGAGCCCCACGAACTCGTCGTCGGAATCGCCGCCGTCAGACGCGCCGTCAGACGCGGCGTCTTCCGCTCCCTCGGCCACGCCGTCAATCACGCGCGCGGAACCTGCACCGATGATGTCTTTCCCGCCGTGGGATACGCCTTGAGCCCCGCCGCGGGGAGACGGGCGCAGGAACTCATTCTGCGCGCGGTTTTCCCGCCTCGAGGAACCACCACCAGCCGCTGCGGCGACGGCGGAACTATCGCTTCCCCCTGCCGCACCCGGTGCGGGCTGTTTCGCCTGCTTCGCCCACATGCCGACCAGCGGGAACGACGAAATGGCGGTAGCGGTGGGAGCGGAGGCCGACGCGTTTGACGCCTCGGAATGCGGCGACCGCTGCGCCTCCGACCGCACGGGGCACGAGCTGAACCTTCGCACGGAGTGCGCGGAACGTTCCGCGGATGCGGCGGCGGAGTCCGCGGAAGGCGCGGCTGGCCTAGGCGACTGAAGGGGCGGCGAGACCGGCGGCCTTCCGCCGCGCGGACTCGGCGCGGGACGCTGCTGCGCGGAATGCTGCTGCGCGGGACGCTGCTGCTGCGGAGCTACACTGCGCGGAATCGGAAGGGTGGAGCGCCGTGCGGCTTGCGGAGGCTGACACTGCTGCTGCTGGTGTGGCGAGGGTGTCTGTAGTAACGAGGGTGATTGTAACGACGGGCTGGTCTCGTCTGGAACCGTTACTCTGACTGTGTTGACGTTCACGTCTAGTCTCTCCATTCCCGTTAACGTTCTCCGTCTACATATCGTTATCCGCGGGATGTGTCCGTCCATTCCGCCCGTTTTCCCGCCGTTCCCCGCACTGCGGATCAGCCCACCGCGTTCCGCCCCCAAGCCGGTCCCTGCGCCGCTTTTGCTACTACGACTCGTCGTACCGCTCTTGGCAGCGCCGCTTCCGGAAACCCCTCCTCTTAACGTGTTCAGAAGCCCTTTAACGGAATACCCGCCGCGAGACGCGGCGGATTCTGCGGAGGGTGACCTAGCGGCGGTGCGGCAGTCTCGGTTCATCGAACCTGGGAGACTTGGAAACGAGCCTCGCTGGTCCTGATCTTGGTGCTGTCGCCATTGATGCGCCTCGCCGAGCGCGACGGCTTGCTGGGCCTTGCACTGCATTCTCCTGGACTCGGCAGCGTTTGGGATACAAGACTCCTAACTGACGTGAATCACTACTAGCGCTCGAAAAAACGAATCGCCGAAAGAGCTACTACGGTTAGGGAGCTCGTCGCCTGAGCTTCTTTTCTTGCGATGGCGTTCGAAGACGTCGCTGGAATGACTGAAATCGTCTTGCTGCAGCAGGGATAGAAATAGAAAAAAAAAACCGAGATGATAGTTCTGAATCTGACGGCTCAAGCAAGGAATACATCCATTCCTTGGTTGCTTTTGCTGCTGTGACTGCCTGACGCCCGCCTCGTCCCATCCCCCGCCAAAATGCTTGGTGGTGGTGATTTGGGATGGAGGGAGGGAAGGGAAACGAGCGTCTTGGACTCTTGGCCAGCCAAGAGGGAGGCAATCAGTGCAAGAGGATCGTGCTGCCACTGCTGCTGGGGATTGATGCCCATTCCTCACCGCGCCGCCCCCTCCCCCTTGGTTTGGCTCTGTCGGGCAGCCCCTCCCCGCCACCACGCGTGTTTTCATTCACACGCGGGTGACGCGCGCCGACGGAATGGTTTGGGGTGCGAGTGGGGGAATTTGGTCTGGTCTGGATGGGTAACGGGTTCTGCCTCTATCTGTCTTTTTTTTTTCCTGATGCCCTGACGCTTTTGCCTGCCCCGAATACGATCCACGCAGCTAATAGTTCGGAGGAAAGTGGGGGAGAAGTAGCCTGGTCAGGGTTCGGTCAGTTGGCTGCGGTCAACCACAGGTGTACAGCCTGTACGTATTTCTGAACCGAAGATGGTTGTGGAACTTGCGGCACTGAACTGAACTGAAAGGCCTGCTGTATCACGTGATGTGATGGGTTTCCGATTTTCCACACGTAACGAACGAACGAGCGACGCATGAGCAATGAGTGCTGCAGTGCCACGAAGCCCACTGTGTTGCGGGCTGGGAGGGTCGAGAAAACATTTTCTGAAATATTTCGAAACTTGAGACCTTGAGCTTTGTGACCTCAAAAGGCTGTGTACGTGTCCTGTAACACGCTCAATAACTTTGCTTCCACTCCAGCAATCATCACATTCCTCAATTTATTGTGCACCATGTGACTTCAAATCTTTTCCTCCGTCGTCGTTCACGGCCACTATTGTTTATCACGGGATTCGAATCCCCAAACAGCAGCATGCGGACGTTAGGCGAGCACACCTTCACTAGGAGGATCAGTTTGTGGTCAGGCAGAAGTCGCTCGATCTTGGCAACACGCAGTGCTGTCTAGATCGCGCTTCCGCCAGGGACTGAGAGCAACAGAGCAGTTTGGGCGACCGCCGCTGCCTGACCGAATCAGCATGTACAGTTTACATGGTCAGCCTGACCGAACCAGCCGGAAAAACTCCAACTGTACTCTTCTGAGTTTTTCTACAGTTAACGACACTCTCCATCACTTGTATAAGGGTTGAACCAGTGGCTGAATCCTGTTAAATATCTTTCTTGAACATCCTTAAACCACGCCTCAACTCTAACATGTAGCGAGTCACATCCTGGCGAACACCAGTCATGTACTGTAACCTTGAGAGTCTCCTCACCTGACCCGACTGGCTGTTCACTCTGTCACTAACTACCCGCTATCGTTCCCAAAGCAGCCCGCCACCGTGGCGTCGCACCGCCTTTTCCCCCTCTCAGTGGAGCGGACGATCGCGCCGCGCGTACCGCTGAACACGTGGCGAGTCTGTTCTGCGCGATCTACGCCGTGCTTCCCGAGCTCCTTCTTACACTACCTCCCTAGGACCGTCCTCGCACCGCCGTCCGATCTTCTCAAGCCGTCAGAAATTTCATTTTATAGGAAAGGGAAGCCGCTGCGAAGGTTCTTCGGGATTAGTCCATCCGTCGAAGCGCAACTGGCGCCCTTTAGATTCCATAGCTCCGCCGCGTCCCGGCTTACCTTGGCTTACCCTCTCACGCGCGACTGCGGTGGATCGACGGGATTAGACCGGATCGTTAGGGTTAGCTCCTTTCCTGAAGGAGTGAGATCGATTAAGTGTGCTGCTGCGAAAGACAGTGGAGGGAGAGAGGCACGGGCGAGGGCTGTAGCAGGAAGGGAGGTGCTGACCGGAGCAGCCTTTACTGGAGCGGGTGGAGTGACTCAATATCGCAGATTTGCCTCCGTTCAAGGGAGCCTATCGCGTGGGTCGACGATTGCGAGATCAGCGCCGACGTCAGCGACGGCTGTACCGCCAGATTCAAGCCTGGACGCAGCTGACGCTGCGCTACTGAAATCCACGTCAGCAGAAGCAACTGCCACGTCAGCAGGAGCTTCTGCAGGAGAAGCGGCCGAGTCAGCAGAGCCACCGAAAAGCCCCCTGCGTGTGGTGTCCCCCATGGCGTTCGGCGAGCCCGAGGCAGTGCGGGTGACGGGGGAGGTGTCGCTGAGCGACGACGAGCGACACCTGTTCAGCACCCTGCGAGAGATTGTGGCGCACTATGGACTGGGCACGCAGCTGCGGGTGGCGGGGGGGTGGGTGAGAGACAAGGTGAGCGGGGAGGGAGGTAGCAGAGAGGGCGGGTGACAGGTCTTGCTGACTGATGACGAGCGACACGTGTTCAGTACTCTAAGAGACGTGGTGGCGCACTATGGATTGGGCACGCAGCTGCGGGTGGCGGGGGGGTTGGTCAGAGACAAGGTAAGATGCATGCACGTGTGATAAGCAAGCGCAGGAGGTGATTTGGGAGGAGAGTAGCAGAGAGAAGGCGGGTGACGTGGCAGGTGTCGCTGAGCGACGACGAGCGACACCTGTTCAGCACCCTGCGAGGCGTGAAGGCGCACTATGCGCTGGGTACGCAAGTGAGGGTGGCGGGAGGGTGGGTGAGAGACAAGGCGAGCGGGGAGGGAGGTAACAGAGAGGGTGGGCCACGGGGGAGGCAGTCCGGACTCAGCACACGAGATGAGAGGGGAGGAGCGTACCAGAGAGAATGCCACCTGTGTGGCACTCCACGTGAAGGGGGAATTGTTGCTGCTGACTGGCGACGAGCGATACCTGTTCAGTCAGCATGCTGGGGGGGGGGGGGGGGGTTGCAGAGAAGAAGAGCGTGCTGAGGCACGCTGATATGTCCTCTCAGTCCCCTTCCCCCCATCTGCTCCCCCCTCCGCCCTTGTGCTCTCCCCATCCCCCCTCTTCAGCTGATCGGCCATGACTGCATTGACATCGACATCGCCCTGGACAACATGTTGGGGAGGCAGTTTGCGGAGAAGGTCACGGAGTATCTCAAGGACCGGGGGGAGACTGTGCGGGGCGTGGGGGTCATTCAGAAGTGAGTCCTGGGTTCACTATGTGGTATGAGCACGCGCAGTCTGCAGTTTGCGGAGAAGTTCACGGAGCATCTCAAGGGCACGGGGGAGACCTTGTGGGGAGTGGGGGTCATTCAGAAGTGAGTCTTGGGTTTAGGGACGGGGTTCGTTTGTCTTGGGTTTAGGGACAGGGTTCGTTTGTCTTGGGTTTAGGGACGGGGTTCGTTTGTCTTGGGTTTAGGGACGGGGTTCGTTCATTTGTAGGTCTGGGGTTTCGGGTTTCGGGTTTGGGGTCATCCAAGAGTGAGTCCTGGGTTTTCCACAGACCGAGCGCTCACAGGGGGGTCGCAAAGAAGGTCACTGAGTATCTTAAAGACACACGGCAGGCGTGAGGGTCATTCAGAAGTGGACGTACTAGTAGGAGCTTTACCTTGCAGTAAGGTCAGCAGTTTTCCTCTGCGTTGCATTTCAAGCGGGGTTGGATGGTTCCCCCGTATGCCACACGTCAGGAACCCCGAGCAGTCAAAGCACCTGGAGACGGCAACCATTATGATCCGTGGCATGTGTACCAAATCGGATCTGGATCGATCATGAATTCGCTCCCCCTCATTGTTCCACCCACCCGGCACCTTTGACCCCACGGACCTTCTTTGGGTGTATTTTGAGTCGACTCAAAATACCCATGGACCTTCTTTTTAGTCAACTCAAAATACCCATGGACCTTCTTTTTAGTCAACTCAAAATACCCATGGACCTTCTTTTGAGTCGACTCAAAAGCAAACCTTCCCTTGCCCGTGCGTGCCACACTCATCAGGAACCCGAGCAGTCGAAGCACCTGGAGACGGCAACCATGATGATCCACGGCATTTGGTGCCGTCGTTGGGAAACACATGTGGTTGATCGAACACGCGGGCCACGACGGCCCTCCTATCTCCATGCACCTTCCCTGTCCGTGGCATCAGGAACCCCGAGCAGTCGAACGAAGCACCTGGAGACGGCAACGGTGATGTTCCATCGCATGTGTACCAACTCGGGTCTGGAACTTTCACGACTTCACCCTCCCACATTGTACCACCCATCAGGAACCCCGAGCAGTCGAATGAAGCACCTGGAGACGGCAATGATGATGATTCATGAGACCCGGTGCCAAGAAAGCATTGGGGCTATGATGACCAATTATTATCTGCACTGCACCTCACCTGTACCCGCACGCATGGTTCCACACATCAGGAACCCCGAGCAGTCGAAGCACCTGGAGACGGCAACCATGATGATCCATGGCATCTGGATCGACCTGGTCAACCTGCGGGCCGAGGAGTACACGCACGACTCCAGAATACCCACCGCCATTGTAAGATGATGAGATACTACCCTGTGTTGGGTTGGGTGCATGCTGCATTGCTACCAGCAATGATGATCCATGGCATCTGGATCGACCTGGTCAACCTGCGGGCCGAGGAGTACACGCACGACTCCAGAATACCCACCGCCATTGTAAGATGATGAGATACTACCCTGTGTTGGGTTGGGTGCATGCTGCATTGCTACCAGCAATGATGATCCATGGCATCTGGATCGACCTGGTCAACCTGCGGGCCGAGGAGTACACGCACGACTCCAGAATACCCACCGCCATTGTAAGATGATGAGATACTACCCTGTGTTGGGTTGGGTGCATGCTGCATTGCTACCAGCAATGATGATCCATGGCATCTGGATCGACCTGGTGAACCTGCGGGCTGAAGAATACACATACGACTCGAGGATACTCACCGCCATTGTAAGGCACAGGGAGAGGCGCTGATGCGAGTGCGTGTTGCACGGTGTGAGGCAACGATGATGACCCATGGCATGTGAAATGACCTGGTGAGTGAACCCGAGAGCGAAAGAGTGGCACGCACGACTCGAGGATACCCACCGCCATTGTAAGGAGCGACTTTCTAGTGTTGGGTGCATGCTGCATTGGTATCAACCATGATGATCCACCATGGCATCTGGATCGACCTGGTGAACCTGCGAGCTGAGGAGTACACGCACGACTCTAGAATACCCACTGCCGTTGTAAGGACAATCAATAATTCCTTTTTTTCTCCTTCTCAGATCGTCCAACTGTTTGTCAGATGGCCTGGTTGGAGGGAGATGACTGGAGCGAAGCTATGTTTTTAATGTTTTATTTTACACATGGCACTTGACTTGACACATGGTTACAAGAATGCAGACTGACATGGCACCGTTCTGCTCACTGCCGCCCTTCTCTCAGAGGACGGATTGTGACCATTCTGCCCTGCCCTGCACCATTCTGCCCTGCACAGTGCACGCACGTGTTGTTGGACTGCTGTGCGTTAACTCTTTCCTTTTGTCCTATTTATTTCTAACTATTCCTTTTCATTCCCAGTTATTCCTATTCCTTCCTAATTTTTCCGATTTGCCCTCATGGCAGGAGTTTGGCACAGCAGAGGAGGATGCGCTGAGAAGAGACCTCACGATTAACAGCATGTTCTACAACATCACCACGGAGCACGTCGAGGACCCCACCGGCAGAGGTAAGGCTTAAAAAGCGCACATGGCACTGTGTGTGTGGGGAGTTGGGGTGGGGTGATGATGCACTGGGATGGGACCTCAGGGTAAACAGCATGTTCTACAACATCACCACGGAGCATGTCGAGGACCCCACCGGCAGAGGTAAGGCCTCAAGAACGCACCTGGCTCTGTGTGTATCGTGAGGTCCCGTTTGTTATGTGTGTGTATGTGTGTCTGAGGGTGAGATGCGGTGATGCACTCAACAAACGGGACCTCACGATAAAAACAGCATGTTCTACAACATCACCTCAGAGCACGTCAGGGACCCCTCCCTTCAAGAACCCCTAGCGTTATCTCCCTCCCTTCCCCCCTTCCCCCCTCAGGAGTCACTGACAGCAAGGGCGGCATCATCCGCGCGCCTCTCCCTCCTCACCAGTCCTTCCTTCATCGCACATTGCTGTTCCATCCACTCCCTCCACCCCCCCCCCACCCCACCCCCCCTCCCCTCCCCTCCGCCCCAGGAATCTCTGGCCCCCAGGACATAAATAGGGGCAGAATCTGCACCCCTCTCCCTCCCTTCGTAAACCCCCTTGCGTCATCTCACCTCCCCCTCACCTCCCCCATGCCTCCCCCACGCCTCCCCCACGCCTCCCCCACGCCTCCCCCACGCCTCCCCCACGCCTCCCCCACGCCTCCCCCACGCCGCCCCGCCAGGCGTTTCCTGGAGTCTCTGACCTCAAGGGCGGCATCATCCGCACGCCCCTCCCTCCCCTCCTGACCCTCCCAGATGCCCCTCTCAGAGTGCCTCTAAATCCCACCATGCTGTTTGATTCCCCTCTGTTGCTCTCCTCCCTTACCCCAGGAATTTCCGACCTCAAGGGCAGTATCATCCGCACGCCTCTCCCTCCATTCTTGACTTTACCCTCTCGCTGTTTTTCCCCCCTCCCCTCTCCGTCGCCCTTCTCCCCCCCCACCTCCCCTCCCTCCAGGAATTTCCGACCTCAAGGGTGGTATCATCCGCACGCCTCTCCCTCCCCACCAGACCTTCCTAGACGATCCTCTCAGAGTGCTCCGTGCTGTCAGGTTCGGTGAGTGCTTTGGGCTTTTAAGGCTTGGTGGGTGCTTGCTGCTGTTAGGTTCCGAGTGTTTGCAAGTCGACAGAAATTGCACATGGAATCTGCTGTTGCTTTGCAAAAATTGGGCTGACACGTTTCGTTCTCCCCCCAACCCCTCCCTCTCCCGCCCCTGTGCGGCCCTGCTGTTCCTTTCAGCTGCCCGATTCGGCTTCTCATTGGACGAGGAATTGCGGTCAGCAGCAGCTTCGGAGGAGGTCCGGGCAGCGTTGGGAAACAAAGTCAGCAAAGAAAGGATCGGGAAGGAGGTACAGTGAATTGCAAATCCACAATTCCCAATTTCCGTGTCTTGGGTTCTCCCTTTCGTCTTTTTATTTGTATAAAAGATAGAAACCCTTCTTATATTCCGCTGCCATTGTCAAGTTTCGTTTTCCCAACACCTGCCTTGTCCCCCCTAAGTTCGGACGGACACTGAAATCACTTTTGAGGCGCCTCAAAAGCCCTAAGTTCGGACTGACACTGAAATCACTTTTGAGGCGCCTCAAAAGCCCTAAGTTCGGACTGACACTGAAATCACTTTTGAGGCGCCTCAAAAGCCCTAAGTTCGGACTGACACTGAAATCACTTTTGAGGCGCCTCAAAAGCCCTAAGTTCGGACTGACACTGAAATCACTTTTGAGGCGCCTCAAAAGCCCTAAGTTCGGACTGACACTGAAATAACTTTTGAGGCGCCTCAAAAGCCCTGAGTTCGGACTGACACTGAAATCACTTTTGAGGCGCCTCAAAAGCCCTAAGTTCGGACTGACACTGAAATCACTTTTGAGGCGCCTCAAAAGCCCTAAGTTCGGACTGACACTGAAATAACTTTTGAGGCGCCTCAAAAGCCCTGAGTTCGGACTGACACTGAAATCACTTTTGAGGCGCCTCAAAAGCCCTAAGTTCGGACTGACACTGAAATCACGCGACGCCTATGCGGCAGTCGCAGTCACAGTCGATCTCACCTTCTTCCCCAACTCCTGTCTTCCCCCCGCAGCTCGAATTAACTCCTGCTCAGGTCTCGTGTCCCCTACGCTACAGTGGCTCTCACAGTCGACCTCAGCCTCCTCCCCATCGTCCTCCCATGCCCTCTCAGTCATCTCAATGCATGGCTGAGAGCATGTGCACTGAGATGTGCTTGACTCCTCCCCCCCTCGTCCCCCTCTCAGGTCGAGCTCATGCTCAAGTCTCGTGACCCCTACGCGGCAATCGCTCTCATAGTCGACCTCAACCTCTTCCCCACCGTCTTCCCGCTTCCCCACGCTCCCTCGCACACTGCCGACGTGCCGCCAGACGATGAGCTCCCAGGGTGAGTAACGTGGTAACGCGATAATTTGAGGTTGTAACCAGCTAATCCTGTCTTTCAGTGGTCCAAAGCTCCCCCACGCTCCCTCGCACACTGCTGACGTGCCGCCAGACGATGAGCTCCCGGGGTGAGTAACAGGGTAACCGAAGGTGGTAATAGGGTAATCGGAGTATGTAGCAGGGTAGTTAAAGGCAGGAACACGGTAACCCGAGGCTTTGGATTGATAACCCGAACACTCACATGCTGTCTGGCTGTGACCTCCCAGGGTGAATAACCTGGTACCAGAGGCTGCATTCTGTGTGCGTGCGTTCGTGTGTGTGTGTGTGTGTGTGTTGTGTGTTTGTGTGTGTGTGTGTGTTGTGTGTGTGTGTGTGTGTGTGTGCGTGTGTGCATTCGTGTGTGTGCGGTGTGTGTGTGTGTGTGTGTGTGCATGGTGCGTGCGTGGTGCATGCATGTGTGCATGAGTGCGGCGTATGTCTGCGTGTGCAAGTGTGTGATCACCCAACAGCCTCTGTGAAGCATCATTCGCTGCTACCTGCACACGCCTGCACCAGTGGAAGAAACATCTGCCTCAGGTAAAGGGTGCTTAAGAAATGCCCACGTCCTCTGGAGAATGTTAGGGGTGTTTCAGGAGAGAAATCTTGTGGAAATGTTTACAGGACAGCATGGCGCATGGTGGAGAATGAAGGGTGCATGGCTGGAAATTGGAATGCATATTAAATGGTTGAATTGAAGGTAATCGAAGTGGGTGTGCGCTGGCCATGTGCATGCATGGCAGCTGGCCCAAACAAACATCAAATTGTGTGTTCTCTGTGCCATATGGCAGGCTTTGAACGATGTGATTTTTTAGTCGACTCAAAAGTCAAAAGTCACCTTGTGTGTTCTCTGTGCCATACGCCAGGCTCTGAATGCTCTTTGAGGGGCGCCTCAAAAAGCATGGCAGCTGGTTCAAACAAACATCAAATTGTGTTTTCTCTGTGCCATACGCCAGGCTTTGAATGATCACTCGTCTGACTTGACGGTGGGTCTGCTACTGGCGTCTCTGCTGCTGCCGCTGAGGCACGCGCACTACCTTGATAAGAAGAAGAAAGACGTGAGTAGGGAATGGACGATGAGACGTATTCTTCCTGCTTGCTGCTGCTGCTGCTGCTGCCTCTGCTGCTGCTGCTGCCTCTGCTGCTGCTGTTGCTGCTGCTGCTGCTGCCTCTGCTGCTGCTGTTGCCTCTGCTGCTGCTGCTGCCTCTGCTGCTGCTGCTGCCTCTGCTGCTGCTGCTGCTGCTTGCTGCTGTTGCTGCTGCTGCTGCTGCTGCCTCTGCTGCTGCTGTTGCCTCTGCTGCTGCTGCTGCTGCTTGCTGCTGTTGCTGCTGCTGCTGCTGCTGCCTCTGCTGCTGCTGTTGCCTCTGCTGCTGCTGCTGCTGCTGCTGCTTGCTGCTGTTGCTGCTGCTGCTGCTGCCTCTGCTGCTGCTGTTGCCTCTGCTGCTGCTGCTGCCTCTGCTGCTGCTGCTGCTGCTGCTGCTGCTGCTGCTGCTGCTGCTGCTGCTGCTGCTGCTGCTGCTGCTGCTGCTGCTGCTGCTGCTGCTGCTGCTGCTGCTGCTGCTGCTGCTGCTGCTGCTGCTGCTGCTGCTGCTGCTGCTGCTGCTGCTGCTGCTGCTGCTGCTGCTGCTGCTGCTGCTGCTGCTGCTGCTGCTGCTGCTGCTGCTGCTGCTGCTGCTGTGCTGCTGCTGCTGCTGCTGCTGCTGCTGCTGCTGCTGCTGCTGCTGCTGCTGCTGCTGCTGCTGCTGCTGCTGCTGCTGCTGCTGCTGCTGCTGCTGCTGCTGCTGCTGCTGCTGCTGCTGCTGCTGCTGCTGCTGCTGCTGCTGCTGCTGCTGCTGCTGCTGCTGCTGCTGCTGCTGCTGCTGCTGCTGCTGCTGCTGCTGCTGCTGCTGCTGCTGTTCTATGCGTCCCATTGTGCTCTGCTACCCTCCTGTTCTGTGCTTGCATCTCGATCGCGTGTTTTACGCTTCACTGAAATGCTTTAGAGCATTTTGTCACTGAATTTCACCAGTGCATTTCATCACTGAAATTCACCATTGCATTTCATCACTGAGATTCACCAGTGCATTTCATCACTGAGATTCACCAGTGCATTTCGTCCTACCTTTGAGGCGCCTCAAAGATAGACTCATCACTGAAATTCACCAGTGCATTTCGTCCTAGCTTTCCTCTCGCTGCAGGTGCCCTTCGCCCTGCACATTGTCCAGAACTCCCTCAAGCTCCAACGCTCCTTTTGTTCAGAGGACCACATATCACTACCTCACCCCTTCTCACACTCCCTCACCCCCTCTCTCTATCAGGTGCCCTTCGCCCAGCACATTGTCCTGGACTCCCTCAAGCTCAAGCGCGCTTATGCTGACATGGCAGGTGGCCCCACCCCTAATTCCGGCACGGAAATTTATGCTATTACTTTTCAACCATAGCTTCGGAATTTTCTCCCTTTGTTTCAATCTTCGCTTCCTGTCTCAATCTTTCCCGTGTTCGTTCTTTCCATCTCCGGCCGACCCCTTACTTTCTTACCCGCCACATGCATCCCTGGTTCCGTTGCCTCCCCCTTTGAGAGCTTTCTAGTCCGGGCCGTTACATGTACATATAATGAGAGCTTTCTAGTCCGGGCCGTTACATGTACATATGATGAGAGCTTTCTAGTCCGGGCCGTTACATGCATGTATAATGTATCCCGGTTTTGCCTCCCCCTCTTGGCCGGGGGGAGGCAAAACCGGATAATGTATCCCTGGGGGACCGGTTCTGTTGCCTCCCCCTTTGGGAGCTTTCTAGTCCGGGGGGATAATGTACCCCATTTTGCCTCCCCCTCTTGGCCTCGATGCTTGCCCCTCGTAGCTCCCTGTCCCCCCACCCCCCCTACCCTCCTGTTCCCTCAGGTGCTGCTGCTGCTGGATGCAGCACCTTGGAACTGTGCAGTATTGGTGCTACAGCTGCAGCAGTAGAGGAGCATCCAGTAGCAATGGCCGCACCAGCACCAGCAGCAGCAGCAGCAGCAGGGGGGGGGATACAGAGGCTCGTGATGTTGTCCTTCGCCTGTCTGCCTTTGCTCCTCTCCCCGCTCCCTTCACCTGTTCTCTCTCCCCCCTCCCTTCACCTGTTCTCTCTCCCCCCTCCCTTCACCTGTTCTCTCTCCCCCCTCCCTTCACCTGTTCTCTCTCCCCCCTCCCTTCACCTGTTCTCTCTCCCCCCTCCCTTCACCTGTTCTCTCTCCCCCCTCCCTTCACCTGTTCTCTCTCCCCCCTCCCTTCACCTGTTCTCTCTCCCCCCTCCCTTCACCTGTTCTCTCTCCCCCCTCCCTTCACCTGTTCTCTCTCCCCCCTCCCTTCACCTGTTCTCTCCCCCCTCCCTTCACCTGTTCTCTCTCCCCCCTCCCTTCACCTGTTCTCTCTCCCCCCTCCCTTCACCTGTTCTCTCTCCCCCCTCCCTTCACCTGTTCTCTCTCCCCCCTCCCTTCACCTGTTCTCTCTCCCCCCTCCCTTCACCTGTTCTCTCTCCCCCCTCCCTTCACCTGTTCTCTCTCCCCCCTCCCTTCACCTGTTCTCTCTCCCCCCTCCCTTCACCTGTTCTCTCTCCCCCTCCCTTCACCTGTTCTCTCTCCCCCCTCCCTTCACCTGTTCTCTCTCCCCCCCTCCCTTCACCTGTTCTCTCTCCCCCCCCCCCCCCCTCCCTTCACCTGTTCTCTCTCCCCCCTCCCTTCACCTGTTCTCTCTCCCCCCTCCCTTCACCTGTTCTCTCTCCCCCCTCCCTTCACCTGTTCTCTCTCCCCCCTCCCTTCACCTGTTCTCTCTCCCCCCTCCCTTCACCTGTTCTCTCTCCCCCCTCCCTTCACCTGTTCTCTCTCCCCCCTCCCTTCACCTGTTCTCTCTCCCCCCTCCCTTCACCTGTTCTCTCTCCCCCCTCCCTTCACCTGTTCTCTCTCCCCCCTCCCTTCACCTGTTCTCTCTCCCCCCTCCCTTCACCTGTTCTCTCTCCCCCCTCCCTTCACCTGTTCTCTCTCCCCCCTCCCTTCACCTGTTCTCTCTCCCCCCCCTCCCTTCACCTGTTCTCTCTCCCCCCTCCCTTCACCTGTTCTCTCTCCCCCCTCCCTTCACCTGTTCTCTCTCCCCCCTCCCTTCACCTGTTCTCTCTCCCCCCTCCCTTCACCTGTTCTCTCTCCCCCCTCCCTTCACCTGTTCTCTCTCCCCCCTCCCTTCACCTGTTCTCTCTCCCCCCTCCCTTCACCTGTTCTCTCTCCCCCCTCCCTTCACCTGTTCTCTCTCCCCCCTCCCTTCACCTGTTCTCTCTCCCCCCTCCCTTCACCTGTTCTCTCTCCCCCCTCCCTTCACCTGTTCTCTCTCCCCCCTCCCTTCACCTGTTCTCTCTCCCCCCTCCCTTCACCTGTTCTCTCTCCCCCCTCCCTTCACCTGTTCTCTCTCCCCCCTCCCTTCACCTGTTCTCTCTCCCCCCTCCCTTCACCTGTTCTCTCTCCCCCCTCCCTTCACCTGTTCTCTCTCCCCCCTCCCTTCACCTGTTCTCTCTCCCCCCTCCCTTCACCTGTTCTCTCTCCCCCCTCCCTTCACCTGTTCTCTCTCCCCCTCCCTTCACCTGTTCTCTCTCCCCCCTCCCTTCACCTGTTCTCTCTCCCCCCTCCCTTCACCTGTTCTCTCTCCCCCTCCCTTCACCTGTTCTCTCTCCCCCCTCCCTTCACCTGTTCTCTCTCCCCCCTCCCTTCACCTCCCCCCCCCCCCCCCCCCCCCCTCCCTTCACCTGTTCTCTCTCCCCCCTCCCTTCACCTGTTCTCTCTCCCCCCTCCCTTCACCTGTTCTCTCTCCCCCCTCCCTTCACCTGTTCTCTCTCCCCCCTCCCTTCACCTGTTCTCTCTCCCCCCTCCCTTCACCTGTTCTCTCTCCCCCCTCCCTTCACCTGTTCTCTCTCCCCCCTCCCTTCACCTGTTCTCTCTCCCCCCTCCCTTCACCTGTTCTCTCTCCCCCCTCCCTTCACCTGTTCTCTCTCCCCCCTCCCTTCACCTGTTCTCTCTCCCCCTCCCTTCACCTGTTCTCTCTCCCCCCTCCCTTCACCTGTTCTCTCTCCCCCCTCCCTTCACCTGTTCTCTCTCCCCCCTCCCTTCACCTGTTCTCTCTCCCCCCTCCCTTCACCTGTTCTCTCTCCCCCCTCCCTTCACCTGTTCTCTCTCCCCCCCCCCCCCTCCCCCCTCCCTTCACCTGTTCTCTCTCCCCCCTCCCTTCACCTGTTCTCTCTCCCCCCTCCCTTCACCTGTTCTCTCTCCCCCCTCCCTTCACCTGTTCTCTCTCCCCCCTCCCTTCACCTGTTCTCTCTCCCCCCTCCCTTCACCTGTTCTCTCTCCCCCCTCCCTTCACCTGTTCTCTCTCCCCCCTCCCTTCACCTGGTGGTTCTGCTGCATGCAGCAGCTTAGGACGTCGCAGCAATAGCGCCCCTGATGGTGACAGCAGCATCAGGGAGAGGCACAGAGGCCCATGATGCTATCCTGTTCTTGTCTGCCTTTGCCCCTCACTGCTGCCTTCCGCCTCTCCCAGGTGGTTCTGCTGCATGCAGCAGCTTAGGACGTCGCAGCAATAGCGCCCCTGATGGTGACAGCAGCATCAGGGAGAGGCACAGAGGCCCATGATGCTATCCTGTTCTTGTCTGCCTTTGCCCCTCACTGCTGCCTTCCGCCTCTCCCAGGTGGTTCTGCTGCATGCAGCAGCTTAGGACGTCGCAGCAATAGCGCCCCTGATGGTGACAGCAGCATCAGGGAGAGGCACAGAGGCCCATGATGCTATCCTGTTCTTGTCTGCCTTTGCCCCTCACTGCTGCCTTCCGCCTCTCCCAGGTGGTTCTGCTGCATGCAGCAGCTTAGGACGTCGCAGCAATAGCGCCCCTGATGGTGACAGCAGCATCAGGGAGAGGCACAGAGGCCCATGATGCTATCCTGTTCTTGTCTGCCTTTGCCCCTCACTGCTGCCTTCCGCCTCTCCCAGGTGGTTCTGCTGCATGCAGCAGCTTAGGACGTCGCAGCAATAGCGCCCCTGATGGTGACAGCAGCATCAGGGAGAGGCACAGAGGCCCATGATGCTATCCTGTTCTTGTCTGCCTTTGCCCCTCACTGCTGCCTTCCGCCTCTCCCAGGTGGTTCTGCTGCATGCGGCAGCTGAGGACTTCGCTGCAATAGCGCCCCTGCTGGTGGCAGCAGCATCAGCGGGGGGAGATGCAGCAGCAGCAGCAGCAGCAGCAGCAGCAGCAGGGGGAGGGGGAGAAACAAGAGCCCTTACCCTGATATCAGCCCCGCATGAGGAGTTCCAAGGCAACGCAAGAGTGCTGGCAGGTGCAGTTGTTGCCGCGCAGTGCAGTTGTTGCCACGCAGTGCAGTTGTTGCCGCGCAGTGCAGTTGTTTCCGCGCAGTGCAGTTGTTGCCGCGCAGTGCAGTTGTTGCCGCGCAGTGCAGTTGTTGCCGCGCAGTGCAGTTGTTGCCGCGCAGTGCAGTTGTTGCCGCGCAGTGCAGTTGTTGCCGTGCAGTGCAGTTGTTGCCGCGCAGTGCAGTTGTTGCCACGCAGTGCAGTTGTTGCCGCGCAGTGCAGTTGTTGCCGCGCAGTGCAGTTGTTGCCACGCAGTGCAGTTTTTGCCACGCAGTGCAGTTGCTGCGGCATCACCTCTTCTTTTCCCCCTCTTGCCCCATTCCATTTTCTCCTTCCCATTAGCCCTCCCACCCCCGAACCTGCCCACTGCCACGCCTGTTGACATTCCGCTGTGCTGCTGCCTCTAATCCCCCCTGTGCTCAACCTCCCAACTCCTTTCTCCCCTCTATGCTCTCCACCCATGCTGCCCCACAAGGTGAAGGCCTGCTGGCCGTCCACTGCACTGCTCTTCCACGAACCCCATGTCCCTAACTCCACCGTTCATGTCCCTCCCCTTGTCCCAATACGATTTTTAGGCAAGTTGCTCCGCAAGGTAAAGGCCTGCTGGCCGTCCGCTGTGCTGCTGGCTTCCACTCTGCCGCCCATTTCACATGCAGCAAGTGGTGAACAGTGCATGGGAAAGGCGGAGGAGCAGAGAGAGAGGAAGGAGGAGGATAGAAAGGGAGAGGAGGGAGAGGAGGGGTGCAAGAGGAGGCGCATGGAGGGGAGTGAGGGAGGTGCTGTAGAGGATGGGGGGTGTGGGAGTTGTCATCATGATCAGAGCGAGTTCTATCTTAAAGTACTCCAAGCAGTGCATGTCATGGGTATGTGCTTGTATTGGGGCGCAGACAGGCAGTGCATGGCATGAGTATGTCTGCATGCATCTTGGTTTGATCCCATGTGCTGGGTTAAGTTGCCATTTGTACTAATATGGCGGTTATTTATCCATATATTTCCCCCCTCCAACCTCACCATTTCCCCAACCTGCTTTTCTGTGTTCACCCCCTTGACCACCAGGTCTGGATGGTGTGTGGGATACAAAGCCCATACTCAATGGTCGGGATGTGGTTGCTGCTCTAGCACTCGGGAAAGGCGACTCACGCACAGGATATTGGGTACGTTGCAACCTCCAGCTGTATAGTCTGTATGCCGTCCCCGCCATAGCTTCTTTTCCCAACACATGTAACTCATATTTGCTGGCTTTATGCTTGTGGTATGCAGATGGACCGAGTGATGGAGTGGCAATTAGCTCATTCAGGTAATGGATCCATCGAGGAATGTATGGCGTGGTTGAAAGCGCAGGCGCAGGCCGTTGGAGGCGATGTTAAGAAACTGTAGCTCAGTGAAAGTAAGCTTTGCTGTAATAAAAATATGGATGATCCATTTAGGAAACTGTTATGGTGCGGCATGCTGCCGATGACGATATTCTTCAGTGAGCCTTTCGAAGTCCGCACGTGTTCTCAGCGGAACGTTGCGCTGGCTGGATCTGTGGGCGTCTCACGTGCCTGAGTGACAGCACGCGTGAAATCAGCTGCTTCGATTCGCCCAAGTGAATGACCCGTTTGTTCCACCCCACGGATCGCGGGTGCACGCCAGCGGAGCTCGCGATTGACTCGAATTGACACCTCAACTTCGCACGCCTGACCAATTGGAGACATTTGGCTTCCCCATGGCCACTGCCAGACCCTGTGAATGCTCAACAGGTCGACGGTGACACGTGCGAGGGGTCGTTTTTCCTTGTCATTAGATGACACTGTGATGACGATTGATTGCCACGTCAGGGCTTACGGGCAACCTGACGAGCAGAGGGGATGTGATTGGAGTGACAGCGATGCCGAATTCCACTTTGAGGCAGTTCGTAGCCGTTCGATCTGGTGAAAGAACCAATCCAGACCGCGTGTTTCATGTGCGATAAGATGGAGATTTCGCCCGTTGGCCAAATGACCTCTGCAGCAGCATTCCCTGCGATTGCCATTCCACCCTCCTTGTCCTCATCTCCATCCTGCCATTGTCATTTGTCGTCCTCATTTCCATAGCTACTCAGTTTCACACCAGTATCATTCCTTATCTTCAATTTCCAGTTGCTGGTTCCCTGATCCTACCCATTATCGTTGCTCAAGCAGGCAATTCGGCCTTGATTTCAGCTATAGATTTCGCATCATTCTTCGGCAAAGCTTCTCAGCTACTCTTGAAGTCTATCAGGCAGCATACTTCTTGCATTTAACCAAGATTCGTAATCGCGTTCAGCGAAAGTCCTTCGCATTGCTATTTAAACATCTCGCAGTCGCGGCGTGCGAATAACTCCGCATTTGAGCGGAGTCTCCAGACTACGAGAACTTTTTCTTCTTGTAAGCTCCATCTCAGGTCGAAGGTGATTGACAAATGTGCTGACGAACTACGTCCCTTCACTTCACTTTAACCGACCGTCTCGTCCATCACTTTAGTCCCGCATTGTTGCCCCCGAAGGCCTTATACCGTGGATTTCCCTAATTCTGCGATTGACTAGGTTGCCGACAACGTATGAAAGTCGGCAGTCGACGCTCTTCAGCACCTGACTGCTTCATGGTTCCATTATGTCTCCCCTATTTCCTTACACACCATGTTGTCAACGTCTTGGTCATCTCCTAAAATGCACGACTCCCGGAGGTCTATGTGTGAAGAGTCTCAACAGCTCATCCCACCATCTTCCGCAAGTCCATACGCAAGCCAGGCGCCGGAGGAGTAACATCTCATGCAAACCTCTCACCCCTTCTCATGCACCACCCTCAACCCTAACTTCCCTTCCCCTCTTGATTCCAGAAGTCGATAGGTGAGGCACTGCAGGAGCTGATGTCACGCGCAACCTCCCGCGCTTCCCCCTCACGCACAGATTGACTCCCCTTCCCCGCGTTTTTCCTCAAGCAGTTTAACAGAAGAGTCAGCAGCCATGTTGTCGATTTTCCAGAAGTCCATTTGCGAGGCGCCCCAGGAGCAATCTCCCACGCCTCCCCCTCACCCCTGAATTCTCTCCCCCTCTGTATCCCGCCGCCAGTTCATCACAAGAGTCAGCAGCCATGTTGGCGATTTTTCAGAAGTCCATCGGCGAGGCGCCGCAGGAGCTGATGGCGCCGAAGCTGAATCGATCGGCGTCCATGTCAGGCCGGCTGGACGCCAAGGAGATCCTCCACGGCTTTAAGAAGGCGCACCCGGGCGCCGTGCTCATGCAGTTCGACGAGCAACACGCTATCGCGTACACGCACGACATGCAGGACTTCCTCATGCCCAGGTGGGTCGCAGCCTTCCGACGTTTCGGCATTCTGATCTGAGAGCGTCCGTGTTTCTGGTCGTTGCGAATCAGCTCCACTTTTCTTGCGAATCACCGAGGACTAGAGCCCTATGTTTGAGTTGAAACCTCCGAATGTCACAGCAGATCCCCCACTCGTTTTTTTTTTTTTTTTTTTTTTTCCAACTCTGCGACAACATTAGGAGCCACGATTTGTGACCACTATCTTTGTGCCTTTTTGTTCTCTGTTTCCTGCCAATCGGATTGAAACCCTGACGCACTGCGTCAGAACAAGTTCTGTAGTTCCTCCCTGATGCCAGTCTACCCTAATCTCGTCGCCCTTTCCACAACCTTGCAACTCGTCGCAGCTCAGGCAGCGGTACTTGTGCCTTGGCAATTTGCGGCATGCGGCTAGGTGTTCTGCGCGTGCGCCCGCAACTTCGAGAATCGAGAATCGAGAATCTGGCGCAGCTGCGGCAGCGGTACGGGTGTACCTACTGCTTGAGTGGTTCACCTAATCACACTCGCCCCTCCCCTCCACCAGGCAATTCGCGGCATGCGACGATGTATTCTGCGCGTTTGCCGGCAACATTGAGAACCTGGCGCAGCTGCGGCAGCGGTACGGGCTGGACCGGCACGTGAGCGAGGTGAACCTCATCATCGAGGCGTACAAGACGCTGCGCGACCGCCGCCCGTACCCCCCCGACCAGGTCATCGCGGACCTCGCGGGCGCGTTCGCGTTCGTGCTCTATGATAACAAGGCCAAGACGGTGTTCGTGGCGCATGTGAGTGGAATGGGGGGTAGATGGGAGCTCGGGGGTAGGAAGATTCATGCATGGCAACGAGCAGCAGCGTTCGCGTTCGTGCTTTATGACATCAAGGCCAAGACGGGGCTCGTGGCGCATGTGACTTGAAGGGGGAAATGCATATTAGGGTTAGCGTCTTGCATGTTGCGTAGGAGCGCGCGTAATTTTTGCGATTTTTGCTGCGAAGCCAAATGAATTCGCCAAAAACTGGGAAAAGAGTGTGCAACGCGAGGAAACGAGAGTGTACGGAAAGCAGGAAAGTGAGGGAGGGGAGGCAGGGGAGAGGAGATGGGAATGGGAAGCTTTGGCAATAAAGGACAGACATTGATAGACATGACAGGCATTACACGCGCGTGCACAACAGGCCCAAAACGCCCTATTCTCCCCTTGCCCTTCCGTTTCCCCCTCCACCCTCCACATACACAACGTCAAAACAGTTCCCCAGTGCTCGGCGCAGAGTCTCAGAAGCACTCTCGCTACCTCTTCCTCCTCGTCCCCCATAATCTTCTTTTCGTCACACCCCCCTCGCCTATCCCATCTCCTCCCATCTCCTCCCATCCCCTCCCATCCTTGTAACTCCCTCCTCTTTCCCCTTACTACCGAGCTGGATTCGCCATCCCCGCATCAGTGCACTCAATGCCTTGCATGCATCCTTCCTGCTCTTCTCACGCCTCTTTATCCAACGTTGCATCGCTCTCCATACCCGTTCAATCCCTTCCACATCTCCCCCCCCCACTTCCCCACCCCTCCCCTCCATCCTCTCCCCCTTACCCTCACCCCCACCAGGACGCCCAAGCCAAGGTGCCCCCTGTACTGGGGCAAGTCCCTGGACGACGGAGTGCTCGCATTCTCAGACTCAAGACTCAAGACACACTCCTCTGCTGTCCATCCCTCGCTCTCGTCCTCCTCTGTCTCCCCTTCACCTCCCCCCACACATCCTCAGGATGCCCAAGGCAAGGTGCCCTTGTACTGGGGCAAGTGCCTGGATGACGGAGTGCTCGCATTCTCAGACGACCCTGCAGTACTCAAGGCCGGCACCGGCTCCTCCTTCGCCCCCTTCCCTCTTGGTACGCTCCCCCCCGCTTGGTATGCACCCTCGCGCTCACTTTGCAAGCTGATTCACACACACTGATACGTGTGCCTATATCCACATCCACTCGCCACAATCACCTCCCCTTCTCACATATGTACTTACCCTGCCCATGCTGTACCGCGCTTGCGCTCGCTCACCACACTCGCGCCCAGACACATGCTGGTGCTTCTCGCGCACAGACGGTTGAAGTCCGTCCACACAGCACGTGGTCAGCAAAAGGAAGCACCCCCTGTTACACACACCACACGCCCCTCCCCCTCCCCAACCCTTGCTGGCTGTTCTTACTCATCCAATGCGGGTTTGCACAGATTTACTGATCCTGAGAAGCAGCTCACGGCCATCCAGCGCGTGGACAGCCAGGTGGGGCTAACTCCTTCCCCCTTCACCCCCCTTCTCCCCCCGTTACACGCACTCGCCCAAACACAGGCTGCTTTTACTCCCCTGACGGGGGGCTGCGCAGCTTCACAGACCCCGCGAAGAAGCTCAAGGCAATCCAGCACGTGGACAGCCAGGGGGAGCTCGCTCACTTGTCCCACCCCACCTTTACACACACCTCACACTCCTGCACCCCCCACCCACACATTCAGGCTGCTTCTACTCATCGGACGGCGGGCTGCGCAGCTTCCCCGACCCCGAGAAGCAGCTCAAGGCCATCCAGTCTGTGGACAGCCAGGGGGAGCTCACTCACTTTTCCTCACTGTCACCCCTTATGTACCCCTTCCCCCCCCCCCCCCTACTCCCCCCCATATACAGGCTGCTTCTACTCGTCTGACGGTGGCCTCCGGAGCTTCACAGACCCTGAGAAGCAGCTCAAGGCCATCCAGCATGTGGACAGCCAGGGTGAGCTGTGTGGTGCGACCTTCAAGGTGGATAGCCACCAGGACTTGACCCAGCTGCCGCTAGACTCCAAGGACGACAACAGCGGACGGGGGTGGTCTTAAGGCTGTTAGCAGCAGGAGTAGAGGGAGGAGTGGGGAAGAGGGGAAGGGGAGTGGTGGGTATGGTGGGGCGATCTTCGAGGTGGATAGCCACCAGAATTTGACCCAGCTGCCGCTAGGCAGACGGAGTTGGTAAAAAGCAAGGAGAAAATGCTGGTTGCATTGCTATGGCACGGTATGGTTGCACTGCTACAGTGGGCAACACTCGATTCATTGTGAACAGCCATCAGGGCCGGTATCTCCCCAAGACTAGATGATTTTCTGCATTCATTCCTTCGCTTTTCCGAATAATACTTCTTACCATAAGATGCTACCTCACCAAATGTGAAACTTGTTGTAAAAACGATAATTTAATGTACGAAGGCAGCATTGTAGTACAGGTGGAAACATCATACTGAGTGTTTTAGCAAGCATGTGAGTGAGTGTGCAGGGAAATCACTTTCTCCTAATGCCAGGATGTACATTCGTTCTGTGCTGTTTCTCCTGTTCATCCAAGCTCAGCAGAGCTTGATCCTTCCGTTTCGGGCCTAGCTATACCGCAGCACTGGGCTGCTTGGATGTCTGTCACTTAGTGTTATCACTCGTTGATACCATTATAGGTTCTAGCTCTTGGCGACATAACAGGGTGAACAACTTGCATCAAAATGCATACCCGAACACTACTAACGAACTCATTGTAAGCGAGCAACCAAGGCAGCTATAGGATGCAAAGAGCACCTGTCCAGGCCACACGTGTTCAGCTTCAAAGCACATTTGTAAGCCTCTCGGACCACCGAAACCACCGAGCCCTTGCCAGCATCATTCAACCGAGACTCCATAATTCTCTCCCCAGAGCATCCAGATCCAGACCCCTGGGTTGCGCCTCTCCCTGCACCTGCTTTCCCCCCCACATGGGATGACCCGGATGAGAGCGCCAGACTCAGCAAGGCCTTGAGGTGTGACTGAGTGAGGTGGCACATCCTTTCTGCTGTGTGCCTGTAAAGAGGGGAAGCCTTGCTGTCGGTTGGCGCAGATTCCTCTGGAGGCAGGGATATGGGGGCTGGCGGCGGTGCTAGCGCAGCCTGTGCTTCCATGAGGTGTTGCAATGCCGTGAGGTGACTCTGGTCGAGAGGGGAAAGGAAGGGAGAGGAGAGGTTCGATTGCTTTGAGGCGCTCCAAATAAGGCAGCCTGTGCTTCCATGAGGTGCCTCAAGGCTGTGAGGTCGCTCTGGTTGAGGGAAGGGGAGGAGGAGAGAAGAGGGGAGGAGAGGAGAGGATGGGAGAAGGGAGGAGGGAGAAGATGGGAGAAGGGAGGAGGGGAGACAGGGGGGAGGGGAGAAAACGAGAGTGATAAAACAGGAGAGGGCAAAAGAGGAGAGGGCCTGTGTCAGGGATAAGAGGAATAAAACAGGCCAGAATCACAAGGTAACACACACACACACACTCACACAAACGTAGCATGCAACATTGAAGCTGACTATTTAGGCAACTGAAATATCCCCTGAAACCTTACCTGCCACTGCTGCTGTTGGCCCCCCCAGGGTACCAGCAAGCCCCAGCTGAATGCAGCCTTTTCTTACATCTCACCTGCCACTGCTGCTGTTGGTGCCCCCCCAGAGAAGAAGCAAGCTCTGCTTTCTCGATGCATATAGTCACAAACATGTCGGCGTGCAGCTCCGCTCGATAGAACGCAGCTGCCTTGTGCCAATGCACCTCTGCTAACGCTGCCAGCCGCCTCTGCTGCTGCTGCCATGCAGTCGCACCCCCTGCTGCTGCCCCTCCTGCTCCTCCCCCTCGCCCTGTGCTGACCTCAACACCAGCAGCAGAACGCAGGGCGCAGTCTCGATGGTAGCCCCCCAGGTGGAAATGGGCAAAAGCTGCCTCCTGCAGCCTGCTGGGCCCGAGCGACTCATACAGAATAAGAGCCTTACTCAGAGCGTCCTTGGCTGATACGTGCCCTTGCACCTCCCACTCCCACTCCCACTCACTCCCCTCCCCCACCACCTCTTCCCCCTCCTCCCTCACTCCTTCCTCCTCACGTCCCCCACTCGCCACCTCCCCTTCGCTGTAACCGCTGCAGTTTTCCACATCCTCTTTTCTGGTACCAGCGGGGCCCACCGGAAGACCCAGGCGTTCCGCTGCAGCCATAAGCATGCCGACTCTTAGGTAAGTGTGAGCAAACTGGAGATTTACTTCGCTCCACACCGCTCCATACGCCCGCGCTGCTGCTGCTTCACTCCCTAACCCCACTCCACCCCCCTACCTCCTCCTCCTGCTCCTACTCCCCCCCCGCCTCCTCCTCCCTTGATGCCCTCAACCCCATCGGGTCCACCCTCCGCCATGTGTTCCCCCACACTCCGCATCAGCTCCCTGCGAGCGTCCCCATACCAGGTCAATGCACGCAGGTACCTCTGCCTCGCTCTCTCAAACTCGCCCACAAGCTCTGCGCCACCACCAGCAGCAGCATTGCCGCCACCAGCAGCACCAACGTCACCAGAAGAAGCAGCAGTGCTACGACCAGCAACACCAGAACACACACCAGCAGCAGCACCAGAGGCACCCTCTCCCTCAGAGCGCCTCAGAACGGGAGAGGCTAGCAGCTCCGCATCCGCCCTCTCCCCATGGCCGAGATTGCAGAGCACTAGAGCCGCATTGGGGGCGTCTCCCGCCTCCCAAAACGCCTCTGCTGCTGCTACTAATGCTGCCCGTGCTGCTGCTATGGCCGTGTGGGGGGAAGGGTGAGTTGGAGCAGGGGAAGAAGCAGAGTAAGAGGAAGAGGAAGAGGAAGAAAAGGAGGGGTTGAGAAGCCACCTCCCCCGCTCGTTGCACGCCCATCCGCGTTTCCGCATGACGGCTTGCTTGCTTGTCGCGTCGTGATTGGCTGAGAAGGCGGCAGCTGCCCGGGAGTAAAACTCGGCTGCTGATTGGAAGTTGGTGTTAGGGTCGAGGACAAATGGGCGGCCGAAGCAACGGGTCTTCCAGGTGCTTGCTGAGGAGGAGAGAGGTGGGGTTGGTGATGGTGCGGATGGTGCTGGTGGTGCTGGTGGAAATTGTGAAGGCAAAGGATGGGGGAAAGCACTGTCATCCCTCGCTCGTTCGCTCAAGCAGCTACAGCCGCTCCTGCCACAGACGCTACAGACATTATAATCCATACCACCCCTGCTCCTGCTACCACCTCCTTTTCCATCTGTTGCTGCTGCTGCTGCTCGTGCTGCTGCTGCTGCTGCTGCCGCTCCTGTTGCTGCTGCTGCTGCTGCTGCTGCTGTTGTTGTTGCTGCTCCTCCTTCTGTTGTTGGTGCTGCTGCTGCCCTCCAACCTGTTGCACCTTGAACGCCAACCTCCCTCTGCCGCCTCTTCTTTCTCACTCGCCTCACCTCTCGCACCACCTCCTCCTCTATCCTCAGCTCACGGCTTCCTGACGCCTCCCCTTCTGCTGCCACTGCTGCTGCCCGCGCTGCCACACTGCCCGGTTCACTTCTCCCCTCCCCAAGCCTCCCCCCTTGCTTCGGATCACCAAGCCTGTCGCCGTGCTTCGGATCACCAAGCCTCTCATTCCTCTCCGTCTCAGCCCCCACCCCCACCCTCGTCTCCAGCTGCACGTACAGATCGCCCACCATCTCCCACAGCTCGCCCCAAAAGCTCCTCCCAGACACATGCCTGCACAACCACATGCTAGACTCCCACCCTGCCGACTCTCCTCCTGCCAACCCCCCCCCTGCTGCCCCCCCTGCTGCCCCCGCTGCTGCCCCCCTGCTCACCCCTACACCTCTCGTCTCGCCAGGCTTAGCCCCAGGTACACCCCTTCGATCCCTGTGACCCGGCTGGCCATTCTTCCCGGAAGCCTTGCTTTTAGCTCCACTAATACCTTTTGTGACTGTACGCGGTGTGACTGTACGCGAGGCAGCAGCAAGACCTTTTGTGACTGTACGTAACATAGGGGCATTCGAAGGAACACAGGCAGGGTCAGAGATCCTCAGCCTGTCCTCTACCCTTGTCTCCTTTGCCGCCTCCCTCACTATGTGATTAGCGCTCGATGCACCACCGCTCGCCCCCTCCCCATTCTTACCCTTCCTGTTCTTTCCCTTCGCCTTCTTCTTCCCCCCTTTCGCCCCTCGCCCTCCCTCCTGCGCTTCACAAGCGGTCTCTAAACTAGATGTATTTTGAGTCGACTCACAACGCGCTTCACAAGCGGTCTCTAAACGAGATTCACCTGAATTGCCTGTACCCCCTGCCTTCCCACCACTCCCCTCTCCCCCAACCCCCCATCCCTTCAAGCCGCGAAACCTGCCCTTTCCTCCGTCCTCCTCCCCTCCGTCCTCTCCTCCCTCTCCCCCCGCCCCCCATTCTAAGTCCTCCAGGTCCCACGGCCACCCCCCCACCACCACACATGCCAGCTCAGCGGCTCTTAAAGCCCGCCCCACCTGCCCCTCGCCCTTGTACGATTCTGCTAGGCCCAGATACGCCTCCCCTAGTAGCGCTATCAGCTTGCAAATGCGCCGATCGGTAACCGCACTGCTGCTGGTAACCGCACTGTCGCTAGTAACGGCACTGCCACTGGTAACACCTGCAGCAGCAGCAGAACCAGCAGAGGCGGCAGAGGCAGCAGAGGCAGCGCCAATGCTGCTGCAGCTGCTACCCAGGGAGCAGGAGGAGCGTGCATCCTCGTCCCTCCCTTCCTCCTCCCCCTCCTCCCCATCCTCCCCTACCCTTGTCCGCTCTTGCAGCCTCCTCTGCCTCTGCCGTCCCTTCCCTCGATACCCCCGTCGCCCTTTCCCCCTGCTCCTCCTCTCTTCCCCTTCCCCTCCATTTCCTTTGAAACTCACATACCCACCAACCCCACCCTTCTGAACCCCTGCATTCTCACCCTTCCTGCCCCCATAAACCCCACTCTCCCTATCTCCCCCCGCATGCACATCTGGCAAGCAACTAGACTCCCCGCAGAGGCACCTGCCAGAGGCCGAGTAGGCTCTCAGGCTGTGCAGCAGGGCGAGAGGAGGATTCATCAGGCTCTCAGGGGTGTGAGTCAGCAGGTGTCGCTGCCACCTCAGCGTGCCGATAGCTTGCGTGGCGTGCCACACGGCCGCCAGGCGGACTGCTACAGTGCTCTCTGCTTCCCCCACTGCGGGGGGAGGAGGAGGGGAGGGTGGTGCGGCTGCTGCAGCTTGTGCTACAGTGCTCTCTGCGTCTCCTGGTGTCGGGGGAGGGGGAAGAGGTGGTGCTGGCTCTGCTGCAGCTTGTGGAACAGTGCTCTCTGCATCTCCCACTGCGGGGGGAGGGGGAGGAGGTGGTGCTGCTGCCGCTGCTGCGTGTGGCTCTGCTGCTGCTTGTGCAACTGTGCTCTCTGCATCCCTCGCTCCTGGGGAAGCATGAGGTGTTGATAATGACGCTACTGCTGACCCAGCAGTTGCTGCTGCTTCTGCTGCTGGAGCTGCTGGTGCTGCTGGTGTTGCTGGTGTTGCTGGTGCTGCTGGTGCTAGTGGTAGGGGTGCTGCAGCAGCAGCAGCAGGCGCTGATGAGACTGTGCTCTCTGCATCTCCTACTGCCGGCAAAAGTTGAGGGGGAGGAGGCGGCCCGCGTGGCCCTGACGCAGTGGCTGCTGGTTGTGCTTCTACTTCTGCTTCTACTTCTGCTTCAACTGCTGGTTCTAATTCTGACGCACTAACTGCCTCTACTCTCTGCTTCACCAACTCCCCTGCTTCATACGCTGGTCTTGGTTCTGCGCCCGTGTCAGTAGCAAGGGGAGCGCTAGGTGCTAATAGCATGCTTTTCGCAGGGGCGGGAGCGACTGCGAGGCAGTGATTGGGTTTGGGAATCACTGCCAGGGGCTGATCGTCCCTGGGAATAATGGCTAGCTGCTGTGCATCTGCATTGGCAGAGACAGGTTGATTGGTGGCGCTGGCATTAGCAGCATCGGCAGCATCAGCAGCAGCATCAGAAGCATCAGCAGCAGCATCAGCAGCATCAGCAGCCTCTGTTGCCGTGATAGCAGGACAAGGGAGTGAGATGAAACCCTTGGAGAACGGGGAGGAAGCACCCGGAAAGGATATCGCGATGGGGAGCGGCAGTCGGGAGGGTGATGGCATGGCTGGTTGGAGGGGAGGAAAGAGGCGTGCTGAGGAATGGGGAACTGGAGGTTCGAGGAGGGAGGCATGGGGGACCGGTGGTTGCAGGAGGGAGGAGTGGAGACGCGAGGGTTGGAGGAGGGATGGCAGCTCGTCCTGCGGGATCTGCAGGAAGAAGCGAGCCATGTACTCATGGGCTGTGGCTCGAAGGCCCTGCAAGGGAAGGAAGGGCGGGAAGAGGAGGGGTTGGGGGGGTTAAGGAGTAGGGAGTTGAGGATTTGACACGGGAGGGTTTGAAAAGCGAGGGTAGGTGGGAGATCTGCAGGAAGAAGCGAGCCGAGCCATGTACTCATGGGCTGTGGCTCGAAGGCCCTGCAAGGGAAAGAAGGGCGGGAAGGGGAGGGAGGGGTTGCGGGGCAGTGGGCATTTGAGCGAAGGGGGTTTGGAGGAGGGGTGGCAACTCGTCTGGTGGGATCTGCAGGAGGAAGCAAGCCATGTACTCATGGGCTGTGGCTCGAAGGCCCTGGGGGGGGGGGGGAGCGGGGGGGGTGGTTGGGGTTAAGGTTTGGGGGGTGGGGGTGAAATTTAGGATTAAAGGAAGCAAGGTCTGGTGAGGGACTGCTGGACGCACAGCTGGACGCACGGCTGGACGCACGGCTGGAGGGGTTAAGGAGGCACTATGCACTAGGAGGGGTTGATCAGAGCCTACCCAGTGGTCCTTTCACTTACCGGGTGGTGTCTATGGTGCAGCAGCTGTAGGCAGCACCCAAACAGGTGTGTTGTTCCGTGCGATTCTGTTCCCATGTCAAAATTGATGCAAGGAAGTGGGAGTCTATATATCTTACCACGTGCCTGACAGGAACTCACCGGGTGGTCCTTCTGGTGCAGCAGCTGCAGGCAGTACCCAAACAGCTGGGCCGTTCTGTGCCTGTCCCTAGCCACGTGTGAGTCCGAGAGCCGCATAGCCAGGCGGTAGAGCAGCATGGTGAGGGGGAGTGACAGGTGTGTGGCAACAGTGGCATCGAGAGTCGATGGCGAAGGGGAATTTCCCTCTCCTAACCCGTCTGTGCAGGATGGTGGGACCCCTAAGGGTTTAGGGTTTGAACGAGAGGCATGCATGCCGGCAGTCATGCTGACGTGGCTGGTAGTTGCAGAGGGTGGGGAGGAGAGGGAGGGGGCCAGGCGGATGGGTGCAGATGGGTGCTGGAGCGGTGGAGTGAGGTCGAAGAGCTGCAGCACGTCAGTGCCTGCATCCTTGCGGAGCTGAACGGAAAGAAGTAGGGAGAGAGAAGAAAGGAGAAGTAAGAAGGCAGATAAGGGGTGGAGAGCGTTCAAGAGGCGTGGATTGAGGTCAAAGAGCTGCAGCACGTCGGTGCCTGCATCCTTGCACAGCTGAAGGGGAAGAAGTAGGAAGAAAGAAGAAAGGAGAAGTAAGAAGGCAGGGAGAAGGATGATGGGGAGAGATACAGGCAGGAGAGCGGTCAAGATCGGTGGAGTGAGGTTGAAAAGCCATGGCACGTAAGTGACGGGAAGGCGTGATTTAGGTCGAATCAAAATACACCTGGATTTGAGGGGCCGAACGGGACGGCAAGAGGAAGGGGGGGGAAGAGAGGTAATTAAAGAGAACTAGGCACGGCAATCTAAAGTTTACGGCTATAGAGACACGTTGGGAGTTTGAGAGACGTACCCAATAGGTGCCGGGGCTGTGCACGCATTTGTCTTGGAGAAACCGCAGAATGGCGAGCGCACTGTCCCTCACAGCATGGGGGAAGAACGATGACGATCCGTCCCTGGCAAGGCACTTGAGCAGGAAGACGTCGTCTGCGTGCAGCAGCTCGTAGCCCTGCACCACGCCCTTGTGGTGGTAGCAGATGGCTAATTCCGGTACTCCGGCCATCAGATTGTCCAGCCATATATCGAGCCACACCAGGGGGGAACTCTGTCGGGGGAAGGTGGGGAGGGAGGGAGGGCGGGCGGTAACCCAGGAAAGGGAAGGGGGGAAGGGGGGAGACAGGCATCGCCCTCGTGGTGGTAGCAGATGGCCAGCTCTGGCACCTCCGCCATCAAGTTATCCAGCCATATGTCCGGCCACACCAGGGGGGAACTCTGAGAGTGAGGGAAGGGTAGGGGGGTAGCACAGGGAAGGGAAGGATGGAGGGACACAGGTACAGCCCTTAGCGATTAGAGCTCTGGCACCTCCGCCATCAGGTTATCCAGCCATATAACCAGCCACACCAGGGGGGAGGAATGTGGGTAAGGAGATATATAGGGGGTGATACATGGAAGGAGGGAGGGGGGATGTGGTAAAGGCAGGAAGGAGAAAGAAGGGGGGAACACCGATGGTAGGACTGTCACTAAGGAAGCTTGCATCGAGTTCAACCTCCACCAGGTGAAGGCTGACTGCAGCATGCTTGAAAGGAGTTGAACCATGCGATCAGATAGCAGAATAGGATAAGTCTGAAAGGCATACCTCCAGTTCCACCTCCACCAGTTGAAGGCTGAGTGCAGCATGCTTGAAAGGAGTTGAACCATGAGATCACTTAGCAGAATAGGATAAGTCTGAAAGGCATACCTCCAGTTCCACCTCCACCAGGTGAAGGCTGAGTGCAGCATGCTTGAAAGGAGTTGAACCATGAGATCACATAGCAGAATAGGATAAGTCTGAAAGGCATACCTCCAGTTCCACCTCCACCAGGTGAAGGCTGAGTGCAGCATGCTTGAAAGGAGTTGAACCATGAGATCACATAGCAGAATAGGATAAGTCTGAAAGGCATACCTCCAGTTCCACCTCCACCAGGTGAAGGCTGAGTGCAGCATGCTTGAAAGGAGTTGAACCATGAGATCACATAGCAGAATAGGAGAAGTCTGAAAGGCATACCTCCAGTTCCACCTCCACCAGGTGAAGGCTGAGTGCAGCATGCTTGAAAGGAGTTGAACCATGAGATCACATAGCAGAATAGGAGAAGTCTGAAAGGCATACCTCCAGTTCCACCTCCACCAGGTGAAGGCTGAGTGCAGCATGCTTGAAAGGAGTTGAACCATGAGATCACATAGCAGAATAGGATAAGTCTGAAAGGCATACCTCCAGTTCCACCTCCACCAGGTGAAGGCTGAGTGCAGCATGCTTGAAAGGAGTTGAACCATGAGATCACATAGCAGAATAGGATAAGTCTGAAAGGCATACCTCCAGTTCCACCTCCACCAGGTGAAGGCTGAGTGCATCATGCTTGAAAGGAGTTGAACCATGAGATCACATAGCAGAATAGGATAAGTCTGAAAGGCATACCTCCAGTTCCACCTCCACCAGGTGAAGGCTGACTGCAGCATGCTTTTCATTGCTGAACAGAATCAGGTCGCTTCCGAGAAACAGCCTCAGGTGCTCAAACTGCCAGAAAACCACCCGGGCAAACCCATCCGGCCCCGTCTCAGCCTCCACACCTACCCCTCCTCCTCCTCCTCCTCCTCTTCCTCCTCCTCCCGCCTCCATTCGTTTTCCCACTCCTCCTCTGCTACCACCTTCTAGATTTCTCCCATGATTGCTGCTGGTCTTCCCCTTCCCAGAAACTTCCCCCTGCGGGTGCTCCTCCTCTTGCTCCTCGCCCGGCTCTTCAGCGACTTGAATCTGCTTCCCCAAACCACTTCCGCAAGTGGTGAGAAGAGAGAGAGAGCCCAGGCTGTCACCACTTTCGAAGGTGCTCCCGACATTCTCTAAGGTGCTGGAATCTCCCCCTCCCACAACAGACTGGAGCTGCTGCTGCTGCTGCTGCTGCTGCTGGTGCTGGTGCTGCTCCTGGTGCCTGTGCTGCCTGTGCTCACACACTCGCACCACCCCTTCCGTATCCCCCACAAAATCAGGTGCGTTAGTGGACGCTGAAGGGGCCCAGGTAGGTAAACCTCCCCTCGGCCTGCCACCACTGCTGCTGCCACTGCTGCCTCCGCTGGTGTTGCTGCCACTGTCACCATCCCCCGAAACTGAAGACGCGCTGATGACAGTGGTGCTGCTGATCCCAATGCCTCTGCCATGCCTGTCGCTGGAAGGGCCCCCCTGATGACCGTGCAGCTCTGGGGCTACGAGCTTGGAGAGAAGAACCGCCTCTCGCTGCACTCTGGAGCTCTGTGTGACCTTGTGGGACTCCACGCCCCCAGGCTCGGACCTGGGCAAAAATGGAAGGAGAAAGGAGGCTGAGCAGGAGAAGAGGAATGGGAGAAGGTGAAGAGAGAGACTTTTGATTCGACTCAAAAGTCGGCTTGAACGTGGGCAATATTGGAAGGAGAAAGGAGGCTGCGCAGGAGAAGCGGAGTGAGGGAAGGCGAAGAGAGCGACATAAGGCAGCAGAACAAAAAGAGAGGTCCTGGAGAGCTGTGGAGGCAAGAAACGTGCAATTTAGATTTTGCAGGGTGTATTAACACCCTGCAAAATAAAGGTAAGAGACGCCAAAAGCAGTAACACGGGAAGCAGCTAGCAAATGCAAAAGGGATAGGAACACTGAGCGCAAAGTAGACAAAGAGAGACAGGCCGGCAAAGATCAGATTCTCACGACAACCTGCTCTCAACCGGGGTTGAGCACAACCGTGCGGCCGACCCTGTACACGCTGACAAAGAGGCTGGACTTGGAGAAGGGCAGCTTGAAGAGCTGCTTGAGCACCTCTGCCGGCGCGATCACGTCAATAGCGTCCTCCCCAATCCTTCCCAAACCTCCCCAATCCTCCCCATACTCCTTCATACTCACTCACCCGGGGTTGAGCACGAGTGTGCGGCCAACTCGATGCACGCTGACGAAGAGGCTGGACTTGGAGAAGGGCAGCTTGAAGAGCTGCTTGAGCACCTCTGCCGGGGCGATCACATCCACCGCATCCTCCCCGAAATCCGCCAGCCCCCTCACTGCCAGCGCCTCGCACTTGCGTGCTGCCGTGTGGTGCAGGTACGACCCGCCCCAGGTGGAGCCTGCGGAGTCTGAGGGGCGGTCGACTGGCATGAGGATGTTGTCTCGGTGGAGCCATGAGGGGGGGCGGGTGTCCAGGGACGGCCTCACGGGGGGAATCACCTTGGGAATGCTGGGGGTTCTGAGAGAGGGAAGGGGACGAGGGAAGGGGACGAGGGAAGGGGACGAGGAATACGAGGAGTTCACAAGGTCAGCGTTAAAAAACGAGAACCGATGCAATTAACGGTACAGAGAATTTGACTTCGCACCCTCCGGAACGCATATGCATGCACATGCACAGTTCCCAGCTGGCCGTACTGCAGCTAAACGTGGAGCAGGGCGTGTTGGCTGAGCCGAAGAAGGCGCTCTGAGCCGCCACACCGCCTTCTTCGACTCCGCCACCACGCCATGCTCCACGACGAGTTGCAGTGCGGCCAGCTGCGAACTGTGTATGCCCTTTTTTAAGACCTAGCTTCCCCCCCCCCTTCTATCTTCTCCTTTGTTCGGAGGTAAGACTCCCCGGAGAGAACTCGAGCGTGGTGAATTCGAGGTCCAGCCAGACCGCAGCGAGACGCAGAGCTACAGAATCACAATTTTTCGGGAACAAGCATATCACCTGTCGCTGAAGAAGGACCTCGATATTCCCGGTGAGAACTCGAGCGTGGTGAATTCGCGGTCCAGCCACACCGGCAGCGAGCCGCAGAGGAACATGCTGCGAGGCTTCACGAGCTGCAGGCTCGCAACAGGCGCACCGGCCGAATCCGCCATGACGCTTCCCCGTTCCTTATCGAGGATGCTGGATGCTCCTCCTGTTTATTCTGGCGCTTGTTGAGCGACGCTCGCTTTTAAGCCACGAAGGCCTCCGGTTCTAACGAGTGGCTTGAATGGCGGTTTCGGAATGAAGTTTCACGTCGCGCGATATTTATGGAGCATGTACAAGCAACGATCCGGTGCAATCAGCGTGTCGCTCACAACACGCATACCATGCCATAGATTCTCCCTGCCGTCCGGTTTCTCCCGTCTTGAGGAACAACGTCCTCCCTAAGGAAGACGGAACGAAGCCACTGATGCCATGGTACGCTGCAGACTGGTCCTCTCAAGGATGTGGAAATGGTTGGTTGCTCTGAGAATTGTCTCTAATGAATTTGGTCAGGATAAAAATGGTGTGTCTCAGTCATGAAAATGGCCTGTCAGGCATCATGAGAATGGTTTCAAATGACCAGGGGGAGGATTCTCATGTCGTGTGATCCGCGAGTGTCTTCCAGAACTATTCCAGATCTACGGGCAACCTGGTGTCTTCCGAACAGAATCTGGGGTCGACCACGGGCAAATGTTGGAAGACACTTGCGGATGACACGAAGCAAGAATTCCCTGAGACGGGCAAGCAAGGCGATCTAGAAGCATCTGAAAGCCGTCGTTTTGGCTGACAGAAGCGGGCTTGGGAAAGTCTAGAAGCGAAAAGCACGAGCAAAAAGGCAGTTGCGAAAATCCGGCGAAGACCTGGCCGGATCATCATGCAGGGATTGCCGAGACGATAGGTTCAGCGAAAATATGTCAGGGAAGTTATGTTACTAGAGAAAGAATCGCTGTGATTCGTGGAATTCGGGGTGTGTGGATGATGACATATCCTGCCACTTTCTTCGTTTTGGACAGCCTCGATACTACATGCTTCCCAATTTCCATAGCTACAGTGCGGAAATCCTCATCAGTCCGAAAGCTATTCCCTCCCTATCCCCGAACCGAAGCCTACCTCCTCCTGCGGAACCCCAACCCAAGGACTACAAAACAGCTCTCCAGCAGCGAACTCAACGCTTCTAGGGATTCATATTACGCTCTAATTAGCTTCGCATAGTAGGTCCGCCGGAGCACTCTGCCTCTGAACGAGGCAGAGACCTTCGTACCCATCGCCCCACTCGCAGTCGTCACTCGTATTGCCTCCTTTCTAACATTTTCTGCGCCTTCTCGCTTCGCGCCTGGTCCGTGGTGTGTCAGAGCAACACCTCCCCGCCCATTCCCATTCCCCGGACCTTATATTGCCCGTCATGGTTGCGATTGTCGCCGCGCGAGCCACCCAGCAGGGCCTCTTCCAGGCGATCGGCCTCACCTCGTTTCTATCACATTCGTGCCTAAAGCGAGGGCGACCGTGCGCGCTCCTCTCCCGCCTCCACTCCGCCTCCCCCGCGCTCCCCTCCCCGTCACTCCTCCGCGCCTCCCCGCTCACAATCCCCCTCAACTGCCTCCGCTCCCCCGTACAACCCGCGCCGCCCCAGAATTCCGCGGATCGCCAATGCAACCCGTCCAAGTCGACTCTCCTAACCTCCCCGCCGCCCGTTTTCCTCCAGAGCCAGCAGCAGCAGGCGCCACGTGGCATCGCGGCTCGTGCCGCCTCTAAGAACTCCCGAATCGTCAAGGATGGGTCCAAGAAAAAGGGCGGCGGGAAAATCGGTCTAGGAGCGACTGGCGCCAAGGAAACGAAGCAGCAGCGAAGGGGGGGGAGCGGACGCGGCGGCTCGGCTTTCGGAAATAGCGAGCTCACCGGAAACGGGGGTTTACTCGAGGCCGAACCTGCCGATTTGGTAGATCTGGGTTTATCCAAGGACGTGGACGCGGCGTGGCTTCTTAGCGGGTCGCGTGACAATATCGAGGATGACGTGCCGGATTCCCCGTTTTTAGACGCGGTCGTTAAGGTGTATTGCACGCACACGCAGCCGAATTTTTCGCTGCCCTGGCAGAAGCGGCGGCAGTTTTCGTCGACGGGCAGCGGGTTCATGATTCCGGGCAGGCGAATTCTGACGAACGCGCACTGCGTGGAGCACCACACGCAGGTGAAGCTCAAGCGACGCGGCGACGACACCAAGTTCGTCGCACGCGTGCTGGCGATCGGCGTGGAGTGCGACATTGCGCTCCTGGCGGTGGACGACGAGTCGTTCTGGCAGGGGCGGCAGCCGCTGAGGTAAGAAGGGGAGAGAGGCGCTGAGGTAAGAAGGGGAGAGAGGCGCTGAGGTAAGAAGGGGAGAGAGGCGCTGAGGTAAGAAGGGGAGAGAGGCGCTGAGGTAAGAAGGGGAGATAGGCGCTGAGGTAAGAAGGGGAGAGAGGCGCTGAGGTAAGAAGGGGAGATAGGCGCTGAGGTAAGAAGGGGAGAGAGGCGCTGAGGTAAGAAGGGGAGAGAGGCGCTGAGGTAAGAAGGGGAGAGAGGCGCTGAGGTAAGAAGGGGAGAGAGGCGCTGAGGTAAGAAGGGGAGAGAGGCGCTGAGGTAAGAAGGGGAGAGAGGCGCTGAGGTGAGGCTTTACGGGAATTTGACCAGTAGGTGTCTCTGTCGGGTGGGGCACTCGCAAGTGTCGAGGTAAGGTACACTGGCGGTCGGCTTGGAGTGCGACATTGCACTGCTTGCTGTGGACGACGAGCCCTTCTGGCAGGGGCGGCAGCCGCTGAGGTGAGCAAGGGGAGACAGGGCGTTGAGGTAAGTAAGGGGAGACAGGCGCTTAGGTAAGTAAGGGGAGACAGGCGCTTAGGTAAGTAAGGGGATACAGGCGCTTAGGAAAGCCTTTTTAGAGAGGTACCCTTTCGGGCGGTCAAGTGTCGAGGTGAGGTAACACGGGCGATCGGCTTGGAGTGCGACATTGCCCTCTTGGCCGTCGTCGACGAGTCGTTCTGGCAGGGGCGGCAGCCGCTAAGGTGGGGTTTTCAGGGAGACTTTGTTGGGGTGGGGCAGCACTGGCGGTCGGCGTGGAGTGCGACATCGCACTGCTCGCTGTGGACGACGACGACTCCTCCTAGCAGGGAAGATTGCCTTAGAGGTAAGTAACTGCGGATAGAAGTTGAGGTAGTGAGGTAAGGGAGTGAACTTCGCCGCTAAGTTTCCTTCTCCCTCTCTTCCCCCCCCCCCCCTCCTTGCTTGTGTGCTCCCTCCCTTCCCTTTTTCCTTACACACTCAGGTTCAGCGGCCTCCCACACCTGGAAGACGCAGTGGCAGTGGTGGGCTACCCTGTGGGCGGCGACATCATCTCAGTCACCTCCGGAGTGGTGTGTTGCGCCTCACGAGCTATTTTCCTCCTCTTCCTTCCCACCGCCTGTGTTGCCCCTTCTCTCCCCACAGGTTTGGCGGCCTCCCCCACTTGGAAGACGCAGTGACAGTAGTGGGCTACCCTGTGGGCGGCGACAGCATCTCAGTCACCTCCGGCGTCGTCTCGCGCATAGAAGTCACCGCCTACGCACACGGCGCGTCCGAGCTGCTAGGCGTGCAGATCGACGCCGCGATCAACCCCGGCAACAGCGGCGGCCCGGCTTTCAATGACCGCGGGGAATGCGTGGGAATTGCTTTCCAGTCTTTAAAGGATAGTGACACGGAGAACATCGGGTATATCATCCCCACGCCGGTTATCTCGCACTTTCTCGGGGATTACCGGCGGAACGGGCAGTATACCGGTTTCCCCGCGATCGGCATTCTCTGGCAGAGGCTCGAGAACCCCGCGCTCCGGGCAGCGCTGAAAATGTCGCCCGGGCAGAAAGGCGTTCTCGTGCGGAAGGTCGATCCGACGTCCCGCGCTCACGGGGTGCTGCAGCAAGGCGACGTAATCATGTCTTTTGACAATGTCCCTGTCGCCAGCGACGGCACCGTCCCGTTCCGAACCGGCGAGCGGATCTCCTACGGGTTCCTGGTCAGCCAAAAGTTTTCCGGCGAGGTTGCCCGGCTGGAGATTCTCCGCGACGGGCAGCTGATGAAGGTGCAGGTGGAGCTGAAGCCGCCGAAGCGGCTTATTCCGGTGCACACGGGGGGCCGGCCCCCGACGTTTCTGATCGTGGCTGGGCTGGTGTTCACCCCCGCGGTGCAGCCGTTCTTGCAGTCGGAGTATGGCAGCGAGTTCGAGTTTGAGTCGCCGGTGTCACTGCTGCAAAAGCTGCTGCACGGGCATGCGGAGCACGAGGACGAGGAAGTTGTTGTGCTCAGCCAGGTGAGAGACGGTTGTAGAAAAGGCTCTGGAAAAGGCTTGATACAGTTAAGGTTCTCCTAGTGAGTCGCCAGTGCCACTGCTGCAGAAACTGCTGCATGGGCATGCGGAGCACGAGGACGAGGAAGTTGTGGTGCTCAGCCAGGTGAGAAACACGTGGCTTTGGGGGTGCTATTCTTGAGACAGCTAAGGTGCGTCGGTTCTGTGAGCTGCCTGCAAAATCCTGCTGCAGAAACTGCTGCATGGGCACGCGGAGCATGGGGACGAGGAAGTGGTGGTGCTCAGCCAGGTGAGCAACACAGGGTTTGGAAAGGGCTTGACACGGTTACGTTAAGGTTCTCCTGGTGAGTCGCCGGTGCTGCTGCTGCAGAAGCTGCTGCATGGGCACGCGGAGCACGAGGACGAGGAAGTTGTTGTGCTCAGCCAGGTGAGAGACGGTTGTAGAAAAGGCTCTGGAAAAGGCTTGATACAGTTAAGGTTCTCCTAGTGAGTCGCCAGTGCCACTGCTGCAGAAACTGCTGCATGGGCATGCGGAGCACGAGGACGAGGAAGTTGTGGTGCTCAGCCAGGTGAGAAACACGTGGCTTTGGGGGTGCTATTCTTGAGACAGCTAAGGTGCGTCGGTTCTGTGAGCTGCCTGCAAAATCCTGCTGCAGAAACTGCTGCATGGGCACGCGGAGCATGGGGACGAGGAAGTGGTGGTGCTCAGCCAGGTGAGCAACACAGGGTTTGGAAAGGGCTTGACACGGTTACGTTAAGGTTCTCCTGGTGAGTCGCCGGTGCTGCTGCTGCAGAAGCTGCTGCATGGGCACGCGGAGCACGAGGACGAGGAAGTGGTGGTGCTCAGCCAGGTGAGAAAGACAGTCTGGGGCCTGATTTGTTGCGCTGAATTGTCGATGTTGCACGAGAGGTGCTGTGAGAGGTGCTGTGAGAGGTGCTGTGAGAGGTGCTGTGAGAGGTGCTGTGAGAGGTGCTGTGAGAGATGCTGTGAGAGATGCTGTGAGAGGTGGTGGTGCTAAGCCAGGTGAGGATGCTAAGCCAGGTGAGAAATAGCTCTGGAAAGGCTTGATCCGGTGAGTTGCCAGTGTGCCGCTGCTATGAGAGCTGCTGCACGGGCACTCGGAGCATGAGGATGTGGAATTCGCTGTGCTCAGCCAGGTGAGGGAAGGAACCGCTGTGACTGGGGAAAGTGTTGTGTGACATTGTAACGAGGTGACTTTTGAGTCGACTCAAAAGTCAGTGTGACTGGGGAAAGTGTTGTGTGACATTGTAACGAGGTGACTTTTGAGTCGACTCAAAAGTCAGTGTGACTGGGGAAAGTGTTGTGTGACATTGTAACGAGGTGACTTTTGAGTCGACTCAAAAGTCAGTGTAACTGGGGAAAGTGTTGTGTGACATTGTAACGAGGTGACTTTTGAGTTGACTCAAAAGTCAGTGTGACTGGGGAAAGTGTTGTGTGACATTGTAACGAGGTGACTTTTGAGTCGACTCAAAAGTCAGTGTGACTGGGGAAAGCAGAGACTCTCGTTGAATGCCCTCTTTCAGTGATATCGCTGCTGCAGAAGCTGCTACACAGGCCTGCGGATCAGGTCTCACCGTCTCAGCCCACGAGAAACATCACCAACACCAACACGTGGAATATAGGCTGTGAGACCATCACCAACACGTGCCTGGTCAGCCTCAACGGCGCTCCCATCCCTTTGAGCCCCCCACCTTCCTTACCCCACCCCCCCCTTACTTTCCCCTCCTCCTCCACCCAGGTGTTAGCCCACAAGGCCAACATCGGGTATGAGGAGTACCCTAACACGTGCCTGGTCAGCCTCAACGGCTCTTCAAGTCTGCTACCCCTTCCCTCCTGTCTTCCCCCTCCCTGCCTCCTCCCCCCTCCCTCGGGCCAGGTGCTAGCCCATGAGGCCAACATCGGCTACGAGGACATCACCAGCACGTGCCTGGTCAGCCTCAACGGCATTTTTGAGTCCCTCTTTCCTACAACCCCCCTTTTTCAATCAACTCAGGTTCTAGCACATGAAGCCAACATAGGCTACGAGGACATCACTAACACGTGCCTGGTCAGCCTCAACGGCATGCGCGTGCGCAACGTGCGGCACCTGGCCTCCCTCGTGGACGCCTGCACACACGACAGCAGCCGGGAGCCCTTCATGCGCTTCGAGCTGGAGCACCGCCAGCTGGTGGTGCTGGAGACACAGACGGTGAAAGCAGCCACGGCGGACGCCATGGCTGATCACAGCATCCCCTCTGATCGATCGGAGGATCTTCGTTCCACCCCGGTGCCAGGAGCAGCAGCAGCAGTGACAGCAACAACAGCAGGAGCAGGAGCAGAAGGAGCAGAAACAGCAGCAGTACCAGCAGCAGCAGCAGAAGCAGCAGAATCGAGTGGGGGGATGACGTCGGTGGCTGCTGATGGTGCTGCTGACGCCGGGGTTACGGCAGCTGCTGCTGCTGCTGCTGCTGCTGGTGGCGATCCTGGGGACGAGATGACGCCGGCAGCAGCACGGGTGAAAGGGAGAGGCAAGAAACAGGAGAAGCAGAGGAAAGGCAGGAAGTGAAGAGCAAGTGTTGGATCTTGGGTGCTGCAGGCGAATCACAGCTATGGTTGGGGAAATAAGGGAAGGGGAGCAGGTTAAATGCACTGTGGGCTTCATGCATGCAGGGAGTTGAGAGTTTTTATGACATGCATGGGAGTTTGACAGGTTAAAAAATTGGGTGTAGTTTCTTCCAATCAAGCGTTAGCTATTGCCGATTTGCAAGGTTCTATGGTATCACGTGCTACCCACAGCCCGTGGTATCAAAACTTGCCCTTGGAAAATAATACATAGGATTTCATGTACGGCATTCGACGTAGGTATTATTTGGTATCACAGACTCAAGGTCGGTACCTCACAACTATCCGAAAACTCTGTAAGTGGGTTGGGAAACAGTACTTTCATCTTCATAGAGAGATTCAGATACTAGTACCGCTAGTGTGCAGTCCCAAGTCATGTGGCGATTTCTGTAAATTGAGTTACCCGATAGCTTTTTCTTTACACACTTCTGTGAGTTTGCAATTATATGATATACAATACACCTAACTTCGTTGAATCCATGAATGGTGTTTGGAGTCCAAGAACCCAGAACGTAATGGTACATCTTTTGCGTTACATTCCCCCTTTCCAGTGTCCTGACATACCTACGACACCTACAATACCACTACTCTATTCCATGAAACAGAATGTAGGCATCCCTTGCTTGCTTTGCTGGCTTCGCTGGCCACGGCAGCACACCCGCGCTATTGGAGTAAACCACATGTTTGGTAACTCTGTCGAGTAAACCTCAACACGCGCAACAGGTCACCTACTCTCCAACCCATAGCACGTGCGACTTGGACCTAAAAGCCTCGGATCCCTTCTGACAAGCGCGCTTTGCCAGCAGTGACATAAAGTCCTTGTACCACAGTGGCAACTTGAGAATCTTTAATCTTCGCATCGATGACCATCCTTTTCAACCCGCGCTCCCCCCACCCCCCCATCCACCAGCCCCTCCTTCCCTGAAAAGGCTCCCAGCCTACCCCGATAGCCGTCTCGGACAGTCGAACATCCTCACCCGGGTACCCACCCATGCCTCACCCCACCCCATGCATGGAGACGCATTCTGACTTGTGTTGATGCCCCCCCATGGCACAACCCAGACCCGACAGACATGCTGATGCAACTTAGGAGGATGCAATGCAAGCAAGCAGGGACACCGACACTAGTGACAGTGCGAGTGACGCAACATGTCATGTCATGTCATGGCAATGCAAGTTATGATGAAGGAATCATGATCATGCAAATGCAACCCATGGTGAAAATGCAGACACATATGAGATGGCAGGCACTTGGTATCACCATCCCTCAAGATGGTGCCACCACTGCCACCCCCCCTCCTGCACCTCCTCCCCTACCCCCTGTTCGTTGCTGCCCCCCTCTTCTCCCCCTCCCGCCTCCACTTGACGACCACCCCCCTTGACCTGTCCCACTCACACCCTCACCTCCCCGCAATTGCCCCTCCCCTCCCCCCTGCACCTGCTGAAAGCCCTGCCCCTGCAACCCTTGACCCTGAAACCCCTGCCCCTGCACCCCCTGCCCCTGCACCCCCTGCCACTGCCCCTGTCCCTGCTGCTGCGGCTGCTGAACCCTGGAGGTAAACCCTGACCCCCCACGCCCTCCCCTGCTGCTCACAACACCGACAGCACCAACACCACCAGCACCAGCACCACCAACAACACCAACGCTAACACCACCGACGCCAGCGCCACCAACAACGCCACTTAAATTGCCGCTGCCATCGCGGAATTGGCGGTCTGAGCCGCTGCGGCCACCCCCAGTGCGACGGTATGAGCCTGAGAGGATGGGGGGGTAGGGTATGTGTGTGGGGGGGTTGGTGCGAGCATTTTTCGGTGATCTGAGTCGGTTGGGCTGCCATTGGTGCAATGGAGAAGCCTGCAGGGACCAAAGTGGGGAGGGGGGAGGGGGGAGGTGACGAGGGGGAGTGGGAGAGCGCCTTTGTGACTCTGCTGGCGTGGAAACCACCAGTTTATCGGTATGAGACTGAGAGGGGGAGAGTTGGAACGTAAGGAGAGAGCATGTACCCAAGTGACCCTTTGGAAAGGTGCAGCCAAGGGTGTGTGGGAACTCACCTCGCCCCGTGCTAGTCGTTTACTTCTCCTCAATCTTCACCTGGAAATTGCTTGTGTATACACGAGCAGGCACACAAACATGCAACCAAACAAGAATGCCCGCAGAACACCGTGCTGAAACTCACCTCGCCCCGTGCTGGTCGCTTTCTTCTCCTCGATCTTCACCTGGAAATTCCCCACCATGATCGATTGCTTCTGCCGTGGGGAACACAGAAGAGCATGTCGTGAAAGGCTTGAGCAAATGAGCTCGAACGAAAGCAGGCAAGCAAGAAAGAAAGAAAGCCAGCAAGAAAGAACGAAAGCAGGCAAGCAAGAAAGAAAGAAAGCCAGCAAGAAAGAACGAAAGCAGGCAAGCAAGAAAGAACGAAAGCAGGCAAGCAAGAAAGAACGAAAGCCAGCAAGAAAGAACAAAAGCAAGCAAGAAAGAACGAAAGCAAGCAAGAAAGAACGAAAGAGAGAAGGCTACAGGACGCAGAGAACCCGCAGAGAAAGGCAAACACAGCGGAAAGGCTTCATAAGCCCTAAACCCAGCAACCTGCTACTGACCTCTACTGCCAATTGAGCTGCTGCAGCTTCCTCAAACTCCACGAACGCGTACACTGTAGCAGGGTTGTTGGCCTGACCAGGGTGGAAGAAGGTAGGCGAAAGGGGGGGGGGGCAGTTCCTTTTAGCAATGACCACCAGCGCCACAGCGTGGGCAGCATAACATGATTGATGAATGGGAATGGAGGGGAAAGGAGCGGAATGGGGACGGATTGGAAAGGGAGAAGAACTGACCCGGCAAGGATGGAAGGTGATACCTAAGCCCAAAGGGAAACGTGCCTTGTAGCCTCGTTTAGGATGCGATCAGTATTCACCACGCCAAATTGCATCTAGCGCTCGACAATCCCCTTGGTGGACATGCGAGCTGGGGTCCAGGAGAGGGGGGGTATGGTGTGCAGCGTACCTTGTTGCCGCGGATTTGAATGCGGTCTGATTTGACCGCGCCAAACTGGCTGAAGTGCTCAGCGATCTCCTTGGCAGTGATGCGGACAGGCAGGTTGCGAACAAACACAGCTCGGCCCTCCCCTGCAGCTGAGGCACACGGGGAACAAAGGAGAGGAGCAGCAGACGATAGGGTAACATTAAACTGGCTGAAGTGCTCAGCAAGTCAGCGATCTCCTTAGCGGTGATGCGGACGGGCTGGTTGCGAACAAACACAGCTCGGCCCTCCCCTGCAGCTGAGGCAGCCGCCCTACCTTCGTCAGCAGCATTAGCATCCTCTGCAGCAGCCCCACCAGCAGCAGCGTAGCCAGGAGCAGGCGCCAGCAAGCCAGCAGGGAACCCAGCAGCTACAGACGGCACCGCCTCTTGCCCCCCAAACGCCTCAACCCGCACCCACCTCCAACCTACTATCACACCCACTACCTGAACCACATCCAGCCCCTACCCTACCTTCGTCAGCAGCATTAGCATCCTCTGCAGCAGTTCCACCAGCAGCAGCGTAGCCAGGAGCAGGCGCCAGCAAACCAGCAGAGAACCCAGCAGCTGTAGGCGGCACTGCCTCTTTCCCCCAAACGTCCACCTCACTCCCTACCATCACCACGATTACAATCACTCCATAGTCGCATTCCAACATTCACCCTACCTTCGTCAGCAGCATTAGCATCCTCAGCAGCAGCGTAGCCAGGAGCAGGTGCCAGCAAGCCAGCAGAGAACCCAGCAGCTGCAGACGGCGCTGCCTCTTGCCCCACAAAACCCCCAACCCCCCCAGCCCCTGCTGACGGCAGCAGCGGCGGCTGCCTAGGTGCCACCGCCCCAGGAGCGGCTGCTGCGGGGGGAGTGGCGGAAGGAGGGGCGGAAGATGGGCCCGCGGGCGCTGCAGCAGGTGAGGCAGCCGCGGATTGTGCGCGCATAGCCTGCAGCTGTGTGTGTAGCGGGGAGGGAGGGAGGGAGAATGGGGGGACCGGGGGAGGGGGGAAGAGGGGGAGGGGGAGGGGGAGGGAATGAGAGACGGATGGGGCAAACGAAGCACAAGAAAGGGATGTATTGAGAAGAGAGGACGGGTGCGACAAGGGCAGGAAGGAAGGAATGAGAACCAAGGGTGGGGAAAAGAGGGGGACGGAGGGACGGATGCTGCAGCTCTTTTTTTTTCTTTTTTTTTTGGGCTACTAGTGATCCCAGGAGGAAATCCGGCCCCCTTTCCCACGCCGGTCAGCTGCAGGACCCTTTCAACATTCCGTGGAAAGGAGGATGCTGCAGCTGGCGCTGCTTCTACGAAGTGTAAGAGATAACAAGCAGCATGGCCTGGCTACTCACGATAGACGCATACGACTTCTTGGGGGCAGGCTCGTCAGAGACAGGTGCTGCCGCCTGTGCTGCTACGGCTGGTGTAGCTGCCGCTGCAGGGGCTACTGCTGCTGCAGGTACTACCGCTGCAGCAGGTGCTGCTGCTGCTGCTGCTGCTGTGGGTGCCGCTACAGGTGGTGCGGCAGCTGGCACCGGAGCAGCAGCCCCTGGCGCTTGAGGCGCCGCAACCGCATCCCCACCCACAGGAGTCGGAAGCACAGCAGGAGCGGAAGCGGGGGCGGAATACACCACCGGAACCTCCGCTTTCTCCTCCTCAGTCGCCGCTGCCGCCGCCGCTCCTGCTGCTGCTCCCGCCCCTTGCCCCTGCCCTTGACCCTGCTGCACAGCTACCACGGATTCCGGCACCTCTCGGATCACCTGCACCTCGTCTCCCCCAGCGGCGTCCTCCGCGGCCGGGGGAGCCCCCGCCCCGCCGGCCGCAGCGCTGGGCGCGGCGGCAGACGCGGAGGCTTGACCCGAGGAGGCGTGAGACGCGGACGCTTGAGAAGCCTCATCGACCGTTACATCTCGCACGGTATGATCCACGGTTGAAACCTCCCTAGATCCCCCAGCTTGACCCTCCGCGTGACCGTTCACCAACCCACCCTGAGCCCCGCTCCCCGGAGCAGCAGAGGACGCTGCGCCAGGGGCGGACGCGGCGGCCGATTTCGTCCCCCCTCCGACGGCGTGCTTGACCACTGCGGGCGGCTGCGGCGGCGGCGCGTCCTCTAAGAACCGGAAGATGTCGTTAAGGACGTAGAAGCCGTTCTGCTGCGGCGCGAGAAAGAAGCTCTGCACGAAGCCGCGGCGCTCGCCCGGGCCGCCCGAGGTGCTGGTGTAACAGTGGGATCCGGTTACCACCACGAGGACGCCCCCTGAGAGGGACTCCTGGCAGTCCACGGACTTGATCTCCGCCTTGACTTCGCACGAGTCCAGCGACATCACCTTGGAGTGAATACCCTGATAACGCGTACAAGTGTGAAAGACGCACAAAACCCCAATTCACACATGCCACATTCCCCCCAGAAACCAAAATCCGAAGAATGTCAGAGGCCAATTTTTCCATAGTGCTCGTTACCGAAATAGATTCGCAAGTTCCCTCAAGATTGGTCCCTCGACACATTCCTTCCAGTACCATGCTGCTACCAACGCTTTCTCAGCCCCAGCCAAGACCCTTATGACAAAGCACCGACACTTGAAGCAAATCGACGGATTCCGAAAGGGCGATACGCACCTGCATGGTCGTCACGGTTTCCCCGGGAATGCCGAGGCGCTCGGCGCGCGTGAATTTGCTCTCGTCGACATAGAACTTGTGCACGTCGTGCGGTTGCGTGTGCATCACGGTGTAATACTGCGACGCGAACGCCTTGCCGACCTGGAAATTGGTGAGAGGGAGGACGAGGGATGATGGGGGAGGGGAAGGGAGGAGGTGATGAGGGAAACGATTTTAAGGAGCGTCACAAGCACGTCGTGCGCTGGCGTGTGCGTCACGGTAGTACTGCGACGCGAAGGCCTTGCCGACCAGGATATCGGGGAGGGAGAGGGGTGGGGGGGGGAGATCAGGGGGATCTGACCACTCCAAACCAAATCAGGTGGGAATCTGAGCGGAATCTGAGCGGAATCTGAGCGGAATTCTACTAACGTCTACAGAAGTAAGGACCAGTTTCCTCGCCGTAAAAGCAGGGCGCGAGCATGGATCTTCAACCGTATAAGACTACGAATGCGATCTTAGTCCTCATGTGACCTTCACCCTTGTGTGATCTTAGTCTTTATTTGATCTTACACTTCATGTAGCTATAGACTTTAAGCGATCTTACAACTTATCTGCTCTCTGACTGAGTCCCTAATCCTGATCGCTCGTGAGGCTACCTCCTACGGCTCACCTCGAAAGCCCAGTCAGCCGTGGCCGCGGGACCAGTGGAAGCGGGACCAGAGCCATCGGACACCATAGTGCCAGCGTACAGTGTCGTATTAACGGATGAAGTAAACAAAAAAACACTAGAATACAAATCCCGAGCCTACGACGGTGGCAGCTAAAGGATCTTAGGGTATAAGAAGCCTAGGGATCAGGAGAGCTACAGATCCGGAAAAGGAAGGGAGGAAAAGCGAAACAGAAGTTGAAACCTGCAAGTGAAACCTAGGGGATTTCAGATCAAGCAGCAGAAACCTAGATTCAGGGAAAGCAAGGAAAGCAGGCAAGCAGAAACCGAGATTCAGGGAATAGATAGTTGGCAGTCTGGCAGCGGGCTCCAGCTCAGACAAAACGAAACCTACCAGCTTCCAGAAGCGACGCTGTGCGGCGGGAATCGGGCTGCGACTTGAGGCACGACATTTGCGCCGCTGTTACCAGATGCTAGTGCAGCCTGGTTCGTCGGTTCGTGTTCGCATGCTGCATTGCGGGCGTCGTCGATACTTCCTGTTCTGATTGGGGCAACCAGCCTTCCAAATCAGGGAATTATGTTAGCTTTCAGATTTTATTCACTACACTTCCAGGACTCTGAAACTTATAAACGGCTAGAGATGTTTGGTCTTACCTTTGTCTCCTCTCTTATAAGCATCACATGGTTTTGGTACATGTGTAAAGCAACCATTGAAGCATTCAATCCCGTCCTATTCTGCCACGCGAACATGTGTGGGAATGTCACAATCTTCTCAATGCAATAGACCTTCGAGTAATTATGACCTTATTCATTCACAAATGATTAAAAGTACGGTGAAAGGAAAAACGAAAAGAAAACTGTTGAAAGTACATCAAAAGACTTAAGCGTTTCTGAAGTGTAACACTACACTCGAGGAAGATTGCAAGGGGTACGCGAGTCAACGGAGGTTACACGAGGGGGCGGACAAAGAACACGAAGGGTCTGGGACTCAAAGGGTCGCAACTGGAGGTTGCGACTGACCGTTACAGCATCACGGATGGTAACCGAAGCGGCAATCGGGCTATGCGACTCGATAAACCGTTCCTGTAACTGTACTCTGCAACTGCTTTCTTATCTTCTATATATTGCTGTATGCTTGTTTCTTTAATCAATCACTTGTTCTCACATACTAGTACAAGGGTTCAACTGTCTCAACTTCCGCTGCACTACTCCAAGTCTCAAGTCTCTACAGCTGGGACTTAGTCTCTGCAAAAGATCCTAAGGGCTTTTTCTCAGCCCAACATGGTATGAGAGCTGGTCAGAGACCAAACTCCCAGCAACTACGCTCCATCAACGACCTGCAACTCAACTTGATTCAACAACTCCATTGATTACAAGACATGGACAACAAGGGCAAGAAAGTCTCTACGGGCTCACCCAGCGCCCAAGAAACTCAACACGGCAACTCTGGTCTGCACACCTCAGGACTGCAGACAGAGACCGGGACTACTCAAGAAACAACGGGAAGAGTACCAGAGATGGTGACTCCGTCTCCCTCTTCAAGTGTGGACCCGAATCTCATGGAGAGATTCTTCAGCTTCATGTCACACTTCGACCAGCAGCAGCAGACAAGGACACCTGCGCACTCAACACAGAGCAATGGAGGGAATATGGGATTAGCGCCGATGAGCCTCGACAACTCATCCTTCGGGCGACACAACCAAGCGCCTACCTTTGCGCCTTATCATTCTTCGCCGGGGACGTTCGAATTCATGCCGCCCCGTGCCCAGCCAACAGCAGCTGCATCACAACAAACACCGAATGAAATCTTAAGTTTACAGGCGCAGTTCTCACACGTGATCAAACTTCAGACATCCTCACCGTTCAACGGACACGACTTCTTTACCTGGAGCTTCGAGTTCGAGCTGCTGATGGAGGCCGCGCATCTTCTGGGATACTTCAACGGGTCCCTGCCATTCCCAAGCAACGGCACTGGGAAGGAACAAGAGATCTTCACGTATCAGTCGCTGCTCGCGTACACGGTACTCCTGAGAAACCTGTCACCACAAGAGCAGCAGAGCATCAGAACGTATCGGAGTTATGGAAACTCCGCGGAGCTCGCATGGCACCACCTCAAATGCCTTTACCAAGCAAACGACAGCGTGACACAAAGCAGACTCATGCAACAGCTGACAACAATACAGATGAAGACCGGGGAAAAGGCGATGCAGTATATGAGTCGCTGCCAGACCCTCCGCGACCGCCTGCTTCGGTGCGGAGGAACGATCACTGAAGAAAGCTTCGTGACACTTGTCCTCGCCGGGCTCGGGCCAGAATGGAGAACCACACGATCACTTCTTCGAGCCCACGGAAGAATTTCGGAGATGCACCTCTGCGCCGAGCTTCACGCTGAACAACAGGAGATGGATCTGTTCGAGGAAAGACAACCAAGGAAGCAACAGCAGTTAGTCTTCTACACTCAAAGAAGAAATGACAACAACTACAACCGACGCAGCAAGCAAGATCAACGCGACAACCGAGAACTCACCATCGTGCCGCCGTTCTGCCACAACTGTCAGACTTCCGGGCACTCCAAGGTCAACTGCAACCGCCCTCGCGTTTACCGTGCAGCAGACCCACAAGTCGCTTCCACTCAAGCAAGTCCTCCAAGGCGCTCTTCAACATCTGCACAACAAACACCCAACATTATCAACTGCATGGTACACATCGACAACTGCGCACCCGCTTCACCACCCACTTACGCACCAGACGAAGAGGAATTCCCGCCGCCGCGCTCGCAAGGACTTCAGGTCAACCCGACATACGCTGCAGTCGCTAACGCCGAACCCACCGGGCGGAACACCTGGTTCTTGGACAGTTGCTGCGGTCAGCACATGTGCTCCTCCGGACGCTTCGTACAACACGAGCGACGCCTCAACCGCGACGTCGTCATCACCGTCGCCAACAACGAAAACCTGAAAACAAACAGACAAGGCGTGGTTCAGTTACAATCAATGGAGACAAACGTTATTCTTCAGCTCAACAAAGTCCTCATCGTCGACAATCTGGGATACAACCTACTAAGCGTAAGCCAACTAATGGCTAAGGGGATTCACCTGGAGTGCGACTCCTTCTCCAACGAGTTCCGACTTTACCACGGGAAGGGCGGCCTCTTCATCGGTCGTGCCCTCCTGAAGTCCGGTGTCTTCGTGTTGGACTTCGTCCCCGACCGCGGAACTGCCGACAGCGATGGCATCGTATCGTTCGCCGCCTGGACTCACCCGCCAGATCTTGATCCCGACTTCGACAGTGACGGCTTCTGGCACTCCAACACCATACCTGCAGCAGAGAGAACACGGGCATTAGCAGTTATCAGACAAGAAAGACAAGTACCAGCAAGCGTCCCAACAAAACCATCACCTGCAGTATCGGCAGCAGGACCCAGCCGAGTACCACCACCATCAACACGAGGACCGCCAACGGAAGCAGACCAACTTATGCCCGCCACACGAGAAGCTTGTCGAAGTCCCGCCTCGGTCGTCGCGTTCTTCTCCAACGCCGACATCTACCACCGCTCGCCCGGTCACCGCGCTCCCGACGACATCTGGCACCAACGTCTCGGACATCCTGCAAACAGCACGATACTACAAACAATCCAAGCAGAGGTGTTAGAACGTAACGCCCTTCTAACGACGAGCGGCCAAGAACTTCGCCGACCAAGAGCACGATGCTTCACGTGCCCCGAAGCAGATCTTCCTCATCAACCCTTCCCATCCCATCATAATCCAAGCGCGCCTGCATATGCAACGATGGAAAAAGTCTACAGCGACATCTTGAACATGCCTCGAGACGACACGGAAGCCGACTTCAACTACGTCATCACCTTCGTCGATGCAGCAACAAGATACACTTGGCATTACAACCTCAAGACGCGCGATCAAGCCTTCGACGCCTTCACAACATGGCTCCCCATCGCCGAGCGGGAATCAGGAACCAAGCTCAAAAGCTTCCAGTCAGACGGTGCCCTAGAATACCAGTCACAACGCTTCAGGACCTATCTGGCGGAAAGAGGAATCAAGCGCCTGGTGTCCCTACCATACGCTCACCAGCAGCAGGGGGTCGCCGAACGCATGAACCGGACCTTGCAGACGACGATGCGAAAGCTGCTCCTGGGGATGAGACTGCCCAATACACTGTGGCCAGACGCGATGACACATGCAGTCCACCTGCACAACCTGTTGTCCTCGTCATCGCTCCCCAACAACGCATCACCGCACCTGCTGTGGACGGGAAAAAGGGGCAGCACAAAATTACTTCGAGTTTTCGGCTGCATGGTACAATACAGACCCCACACAGCCCGAGCAGGACGCTTCACTCAACGAGCTCGGTGGGGACTACACCTCGGCATCGCCAAACATTTTCACGCGTGGAAGATTCTCGACATACACGACAAAAATACGGTGGCATCACGTGATGTTATCTTCTACGAGCGACTGACGCTGCAGCATTACCTGGACAACATTGCCAACTCAGACGACCCCACCGACCGCTTCGCGGGCCTTCGCTCCTTCGCTGACCATGCTGCCGAGGCTGACGCAGCAGAAGAAGACGTCCCTGGAGCCTCGGAGGCTGCCGGACCACTCCCCTACTGCTCCGTACCTGTTCCACTCGATGAAGATAATCCCCTCGATAGCAACAACCTCGACACCTTTTACCACTTCGCTGACCAAGGCTACGCTACACCACACCCCGTCGACTCGAATATTTCCGAACGCATCGGGCCAAACTTCTTACCCGATCCTGAAGACGGTGATGAAGCAGCTTATCCCGAGAATGAAAACTCCCCTCGACACACAGCCACGGGACTGCAGATCCTAGGACTATGGGTCTCCGTCCAGCACCCGCCGCCGCCTTCTCCGCGCGAGCCGTCGACCCTGTCGCAGGCTCTGGGGGGGGAACATAAGGCACAATGGAAGGAAGCGATGGAAAAAGAGTTAAAAGCTCTGCAAGACCGAGAAACATGGAAACTGGTACCTGCAACGAGCATCAACGGGAAGAACATTCTCTCGGGGAAATGGGTGTACCGCATCAAGACCAACTCAGACGGCTCCATCGAACGATTCAAAGCTCGATGGGTCGTACGAGGCTTCGATCAACGATACGGAACCGACTACACAGAAACCTTCGCTCCAGTCTCCCGTCACACCTCCCTGCGCATCCTACTCGCCATCGCGGCCACGAAGAAACTACCACTACGGCAAATCGACGTTGCAAACGCCTTCTTGTACGCACCTGTGGACGCCGAAATCTTCGTCGAACAACCCCACGGATTCATCGACGACCCTTCAAAAGTATGCCAGCTGGAAAAATCCCTTTACGGGATCAAGCAAGCCCCACGGCTCTGGCAGCAGCACCTTCACGGCCGGCTCGTAAAAATCGGATTCCTACAGTTACCACATGACCAAGGCATGTACCGACTACAGAAGGGAAGAGATTACATTCTGCTCATCGTCTACGTCGACGACCTGCTCTACATCGGTTCTACCACCGACATCGTCACCTGGTTCGAAGGGGAGCTGAAAAGGGACCTAACGCTCACGGTGTCCGACGAGGTGACGCAGTACCTAGGACTGAACGTCGTCGAAGACAACTCGGCGTTCTACCTACACGCTGGAAAGTACGCAGGCACTGTCGCGAAGAAATTCGGACTAACACCGGCTACCGCCTCAACTCCCTACCGCTACGGAAACAACAACAGCGCCTCCGCAAAACTCCCCGCGAAGCAAATCCAGGAGTATCAACAGAAGCTCGGCTGCCTACTATTTGCAGCAGTAACCTGCCGACCCGACCTGTCCTATAGTGCAAGTCAACTGGCGACGCATCTGAAGCAACCGGAACAGGAGGATCTCGAGGAGCTCAACCGGGCACTACTCTACTTCATCTCCACGCCGACGATCGGACTTACCTACAGCAAAGCTACAACATCGTCCGTACAACTACTCGGATACGTCGACGCTGACCACGCGGGAGATAGGGAAAATCGACGATCTAGGACGGGCTACATCTACCGACTAGAACCCATCGGAACTATCTCCTGGCAGTCGAGCAAGCAGGAGTTAATCGCACTATCCTCTGCTGAAGCAGAGTACATCGCCCTTTGTACCGCGACCAAGGAAGGACTCTACCTGCGAGAGTTACTCGAGGAAGCGAAGATCGCGACCCTGCCCGCCTTCTCACTCTTCTGCGACAACCAATCTGCGATCAAAATCGCAAACAAGGACGGCTTCGCCAACCGAACCAAGCACATCGCCCTGCGGTACTTCTTCGTCAAGGATGAAATCGCGAAGGGGAGACTTCAACTCAGTTACTGCCCGACGACAGAAATGGCCGCAGACTATTTGACGAAGAAATTGGCGAAGGCAAAATTCGACTACTGCATGGTGCTGACCGGACAAACAAACGTCATCGGACCTGAACAAGTCAGCACTCCAGAAACGAAGGGGAGTGTTGAAAGTACATCAAAAGACTTAAGCGTTTCTGAAGTGTAACACTACACTCGAGGAAGATTGCAAGGGGTACGCGAGTCAACGGAGGTTACACGAGGGGGCGGACAAAGAACACGAAGGGTCTGGGACTCAAAGGGTCGCAACTGGAGGTTGCGACTGACCGTTACAGCATCACGGATGGTAACCGAAGCGGCAATCGAGTCGCTATGCGACTCGATAAACCGTTCCTGTAACTGTACTCTGCAACTGCTTTCTTATCTTCTATATATTGCTGTATGCTTGTTTCTTTAATCAATCACTTGTTCTCACATACTAGTACAAGGGTTCAACTGTCTCAACTTCCGCTGCACTACTCCAAGTCTCAAGTCTCTACAGCTGGGACTTAGTCTCTGCAAAAGATCCTAAGGGCTTTTTCTCAGCCCAACAAAAACAACCGGAAAAACAACTGGGTGCATGAATAAGGGCGTACCCCTGCACTCCGGTACATGCAAACTTTGTTGCAGTTCCCTGAGCAGAGACAACTGTCGAAACGTGGTGCGAAGGAAACTGCTACAAAGCGCTGGACTGAAGGTGCAGGAGCACGCCCTAAGTCAAGATGATCAAAACATGTTGCTAGTCCTCGGAAGCTTGTTTATCCAAGACTATGCCTTGAAGCGTGTCTGCAAGGGTCTGCAACCACCACCATGCGACCAGGCATTAGTTAAAAAAACAGGGGAGGGGGAAATGAAACAAGGATACAGTGAGACGAAAAAGGAACCCCATTCTCTCACTTGGCCGTAGGGAACATGGGGTTGGGGCAGGGATGCGGGTCAGTGCGTTAACAGCTAGCATGCAACAGAACCGCACTACAGCAGTCCTCTAAGGGAGTCCAGCCAGGATACAAACATTTCAGTTACCCTCAGCTCTCTCATGAATGCCTCTGTTGCTTCTGGCACCGATGCCATGTTGGTTGGTGTCGAGTCGAGATGGCTATTGAGTGGACAAAAACAAGGCTCAAACGGCGACGAAAAAAAAGTTATTAAAACGGTTGTGGCTTACCCTCAGCTCTCTGATGTATGCTGCTGTTGCTTCTGGCACCGATGCCATGTCGGTTGGAGTGGAGACTGGAGCCGGGACCAACGTGTGAAGATCCTGGCTCTATATAATCAGGCGACAGCAGCAAGCTTTGAAACTCACCCTCAGCTCTCTGATGTACGCTGCTGTTGCTTCTAGCACTGATGTTGTGGGCTCAAAAGGCGACGAATAAAATATATTAAAACGGTTGTGGCTTACCCTCAGCTCCCTGATGTATGCTGCTGTTGCTTCTAGCACCGATGCCATGTCGGTTGGAGCAGAGACTGGCGCCGGGACCAACATGCGAAGATCCTCCACCGCATTGCTGGAGGGCGAGGGAACAAGAAGAGGGAAAGAGGAACGTTTGAGCGCCTAAACAGAGGTACTGGTGCAGGGACCAACGTGCGAAATCCCACTGCCGCATTTCTAGAGCGAAAGGGGGTTGGACGAGGAAAAGAGAGAGAAGTTCAGAGGCGCCTCAACAGCAGATGCTGGTGCCGGGACCAACGTGCAAGATAAGTAAGTAGAGGAAGGTGGAGAAAGAAGAGAAGAAGGGGGAAATTAGAGGAAACGGAGATGATAAGTAGAGAGAAAAGAGGACTGGGGGAACTGTGGAACAGGTAAACAGGAGAGATGAGGTATTGTCCTCCTAGTATTGACCTCCTAGCTTTGACCTCCTCGTATTTACCTCCTCCTTGGATTCGGCCAGTACTGTACAGCCCCCAACCCAACGCACCTCACTCGCTTGCGGCGAGATCTCTCAGATTTGATTCGATTGCGCCGCCTCCTCAACGGAACGCCCTGCCTCCCCTCCCTGCCCTTCTCTTTGCTCCCACTTCTAATTAGTTCCTTTTCCTCAGCAGCAGCAGCAGCAGCAGCAACACCACCACCACCACCACCAGCGGCAGCAGCAGCATCACAGCCCATCACATAACCATCACCAACACTGCTGCTTCGAACCCTTTGTGTCGTGCGATGCTGCATTGCGGTCCCACCTCCAACACCACCACCTCCAACACTCCCACCTTCAAAATTCCCATCTCCAACACCCCCACCTCCGGTGCTCCCGCCTGCCATGGCAATCCGGGTTTTAACCGCCCTTGCAAACTCCACAAGGCCCTGATAAGGAGGAGACTCAGTGGAGGCAGCCCCCCCTCTCGGCGGCACAGGCCAGTGCTGTTCGTTGCAGGTAAGCATGTCACCAGGTCCACCCGCCCCCTCAGAACGGCCTTTGAGATATTTCAACTCAGACTCCAACTCAGATTTCAATCCTGGACGCACGGGCCAATGCTGCTCGTTACAGGTAAGTATGTCCCCAGATCCACCCGCCTCCTCCCTCCTCCTCTTTCCGCGGCTCCCGCTGCTGCTGCTGCTGTAGCTGCTCATGCCGCTGCTCTCAGAAACCTCTAGAGAAGCACTGGCTGTGATTGGCGCACCTGCTGCTACACCCGGGCTGCCTGGTGTGGCTCGAGTTGCCGCTACAGCCGGGCTGCCTGGTATGGCTAGCAATGCTGCTACAGCCGGGCTGCCTGGTTTGGCTTGCAATGCTGCTACAGCCGGGCTGCCTGGTGTGGCTTGCAATGCTGCTACAGCCGGGCTGCCTGGTTTGGCTGGTGCAGCAGCTGTAGCTAGCTTGGGTGGTGTCGTTGGCATGGCTGCTGGTGCTACCAGCACTGGTGCGGATGGTGCGGTGAGTGCATATGGGGATGCGGTAGGGAGCGTAGGGAGCGTAGGGAGCGTAGGGAGCGTAGGGAGCGCATAGGGGACTGGTGTAGGGAGAGAGTACCCTGCGAAAGGCACAGGGCGGGGCTGCGGCAGACTCAGAAGTGGGATCGCTGCTGGGCGGCACAGCGCGGGCGGCGTGGGTTGTCCGCACCTGCTGGGCGGTGTACGGGCGAGATGAAGCAGATGGGAGTTTGGTGTGGGCGGGGAAATGGGCAACTTTTGAGGCGCCTCAAAAGGCATGGATGGTGCAGCGAGTGCGGATGGTGCAGCGAGTGCGGATGGTGCAGCAAGTGCGGGTGGAGGTGTGGGTGCGGATGGTCCCATATGCGGTGGTGCATGGGCGAGATGGTGGGGACTTGGGTGTTGGGTGGCCGGGGTTCTGGTTACTACAGATTGTGCAGCAAGCGCGGGTGGAGGGGTGGGTGCGGAGAGAGCAGTGGGTGCTGGTTCGGGTACCCCTGGCAGTGCTGCTGCAGGCTGTAGCGGGACTGGGCGGCAGCAGGTAAGGCCAGCTGAGGCAGGAGCAGCTGTGGTCAAAGTGGCGGCTGTAGCACGCGCTGGTTCGGGTACACTAGGCAGTGCTGCTGCAGGCTGTAGCGGGACTGGACGCCAGCAGGTAAGAGCAGCAGGCTTTGAGGCAGCAGAGGTGAGAGTGGCGGCTGTAGCACACGCTGGATCTGGATCTGGTTGTTCTGGTAACCCTCGCAGATTTGATACCGGCTGTAGCGGAACTGGACGGCAGCTACAGTCAGCAGAGGTGGCAGCAGCTGATGCTGTAGCAGCAGTGGTGAGAGTTGTGGCAGTGGGACACGTGGGTCCCACGTGAGCAAAGGTTGACCGCGCGTAGTCAAACGCTGCTGCCACGTCAGCAGAGAACTCCCCAGACAGCCGGAAGGGCTCCAGCATCGCCTCGTCATACGGGGGTATTTCCCCCGAACCCCCCAAAAAAGCGGCGATCTCCCCTGAAACTTTAAACGGGGGTATTTCCCCTGAGCCGCGGCAGGAGGAGGGGAGGGGAGGCGAATCCATGGCGCTGCTGCTGCCGAGTTCGGGCATGTCCCAACCGCATTGTCGAGGCGCGCCGATACAACATTCTGTGCCGATATCGTGGCCGTTGAAGGGGGAAGGATGATGCGGGAAGCCCGGAAAATAGGGCGCATTGGGGACCGTCGGATCGCTCATCGGGAGATCCGGATGGCCGTCCATCATGGTGGGATGCCTTCACGCGAGTGCAGCCTGACCGTTGATCAGGCAGGCCTGATGCTGATGGTCATCGGGAGATCGTGATGCTCAGAGGCTTGGTGGAGTGCAGGCTCGGCCCGTAGTGCAGGCTCGGCCCGTAGTGCGGACTCGGGCCGTAATGCAGGCTCGGCCCGTAATGCTGGCGAGGGTTTCTACACACGATCAAAGCGGTGCGGCACGTTGCGCGGGATCAGAAAGTGAGGGACTTTCGGTGCCAGCTATCAACCGAGAGACTTTGGAGTTTACTCAGACTAAAAAATAAGCTTCTACTCCGAGTAAAGGGGAATCCTCTTCCTGCTAAGGGCTGCTAGGAAGTGCGTTACTGGCGCGGAGGAAAAGCCTATTTTTGAGGCGCCTAAAAAAGTAGACTGTAAAGTGCGTTCGTGGGGCGGAGGAAAAGCGCAGGGAAGCTGCTGACAGAATGGGACGCAGATTCCAGGCTGAGCCCTTTTGCTGTCTGGCTATGTGACGCACTGAAAACTGCTGACTGAATTCCGTCACTGACTGTCGCTTCGCCTAAACCTCCGCCCCACGGGCACCAGCTGTTGAGTCCAACGCGCGCGCTCTGTACTTCTCGCGAGTTTGAAGCGAGATCCGTCCTAAGCGTGCGCTGTGCTCTGCACTGCTCTGTTCGTCTCGCGAAATTCTGGACGCGAGATTCATCCGTCCTCTTTGACTCGCTGCAACGTTTCAGGCGAGTGGGGGGGAGGAGCGATCTCTGAAGGCCGCGCCGCGAACAAGCGGTGCAATAAAAAAATAGCAGACGTGGCGGCGACAAGGCCATTGCGTTGGAAGAGATGGATGCAGAATCGAAGATCTAGCGCGAGTTGCGGCAGAAAGATCGGGGGATTCTAGAAAGGAAGGAGTTGGGCTGGCTTGCAAGGCAAGCTAGGGCTGGGTAAATGGGTCGTTGATCTAATTTGCCCCATAATCTGACTAATAATCTGGCAAATTAACGAAAACATCGATCAGGCGAAAAAGTTAACGAACTGTTTGAGCAAAGATGTTCGGAGAATGCGAGGGATAAAACGACAAGCGGTTACAGCACCCTTCCACTCTCGCGAATGACGTAGAGATGCGGGTTTTTGCGAAGGTGCTGCTGAACGGACTGCTTCGTGAATCGTGACGAGGCAAAACGGTGTGTGGCGTCCACACGCTCCACCTCACCGACGTTGGCGAAGACGAACACCACCGACACGCTTGTGGCGAGGTCTGAACCAATCGCTAAGGAATGAAATGACACGTGAGCTCGTACGCGCTATTGACCAGAGAGAGGAAGAGGGCAGCAAACAAATGTCGAAAGAGGGATGCTCTCATGGGAAAGTGTACCTTCATCATATTACTTCCATCGAAAAACGATACTTGATCCATATTCTGAATGCAGACCTCCTAGAACCTCCGTCCACCAAAGCGTCTATACCTACTGACGCCCTCTCATTCGCCCTCTTTCGTTTCACAGACACTGTCCCATTGCCTTCCCCACATTCCCTTGTTTGCAAGCCTCTCCACCCTCTCTCCCCTTCTCATTCTCCTGCAATTTCCCAACCTCCCCCTTCACATCCGCTTCCTTCTCCCCGCCAACCGCCCTCCCACCCTCCCCTCCCTCCCCTCCCTCATCTTCAACATTCCCAATGCCCTCGCCCTTCGTTAACCCACCTCTCTCCGTCGGCCTCTCACCCTCTTTCCCCTCCCTCGTCCCCTGTGCTCCATCCTTCTCGCTCTCCCTCCCTGCCCCCTCAGCCGCACCGTCCTCGTCAATTTCCATTTCCCCTTCTGCTGCGAACTCCTTGCTTTCTTCCTCCCTCTCTTCCTTCACAACCTCCGTCCTCGATCCCTCCTCCATCCCATCCCCACTCTCTTCCTCCTTCCCTTCGTCCTTCACTGTACCCTCTTTCGTCTCATCCCCACTTCCCCCCCCTCATTCCCCCCATCCTCCTTTCTCTCGTCCTTCGTTGCCCCCTCCTCCTCCCCCTCCGCTTCCTTACTCTCCTCCTTAATCCCCCTCTCCTCCTTCATACCCCCCTCCTTTTCCTCTTCCTCCGTACCCTCCCTCACCTTCCCTCCCCCCTCCTTCCCCTCCCCATCCTCCCCTAGCTCAGCCTCATACTCAGATGCAGGAATGTGAGGGGCAGCTGAAAAAACTCCAGGCACAGGCCGGCTGCCCCAATCCTCGGGCAGGTGCAAAAATTCTGGCCCGAAGTTGAAGCGCACTGTGGCGCCCTCTGATTGGTCGGGCAGCGTGAAGAGGGAAGCTGCCGGGAAGTATCTCCCCGCTGGGATGTCCTTAAAAGCCGTGCCCAGGCACATCCCGTTGCGAAAGAAGGCGATTTCACTTCCTGGAAAAAAGGTGGTTGAGAAATTTAGCAGAAATAGACCTTTTTCTGAGGTGACTTAAGAAAACCGACCCGGATAGAGCAAAGAAAAGAATTTATTATAAAGAAATAGAAGGAAGAAACACCCACCAGGCACAGGGACCCCTCCAGTGGCCCCCTCTTCACTCTCCACGTAGCATGGCTGCCCCTTCCACGTCACCAGCGGGCGCGGCTTGGGTGCCAGCGTGGCGCCACCTGGCAGGCTGATGTAGCAGCCAATCACGTCGCCCTCCACGTAGCCTGGGGCCCGCTCACTTATGCTGCCAGAAGGAGGTCTCTTGTGGCTGGTTTCAGAGGCCCCAGGTGCATTTTCAGGTGAATTTCCATTGGCAGGAGCAGCAGCAGAATCACCACCCGCATCAGCATCAGCAGCAGCAGCAGCAGCAGCAGCTGCAGGAGGTGGCACTGGAGGAAAGTCCAGCGACCCAGCAGCATAGGCCCGCCTAACGGCCTGGTGCACAACACTCCCGTCCACGTCCCTGAACCCAAACCCCCACGCGTCGAACCCCACCGGGGTCTGCATGTCCGCCCGCTGCGTCGCCCACCCCACCCTGCTGTGCCCGGTCTTTCCTAGATGCTTCATCTCGATCTCGAAGTACCACGCGCCTTCCACCACTCCCCTGGTGGCTAGCACCATGCGATAGCCCTTGCTGCTCGTGGCGGATAGTCGGTCGTCACTTAGCTGGGGGAAGCAAGGAGGGAGGGGAGCATGGGGAATGAAACGAGAGGGAGGGAGGGGAAGGGAGAGGGATGAAACGCATGGTCGTCCCCCTGTGTTGCATCTTGATCTCGAAGTACCACGCGCCTTCGGTTACACCCCCGGTGGCTAGCACCATGTGATAGACTTTGCTGCTCGTGGCGGATAGTTGATCGCTGCTCAGCTGGTGTCTGCATATGGAGAGCGGGGGGTGTGGTGGAATGCTTTTAGAGAATTAAATAGAATAATCATTTTTTAGAACGACAAAAACTGACTCCACTATAGCGGGGGGGAGTGGGGAAGAGGTGCCTTTTAACGACTCAAAAGTCACCAAGGGTGCATACGGAGAGCGGGGAGTGTGGGGAGACGGAAACAGTTTTGAGGCGCCTCAAAACTACACATGAAATAGCTGCGACAGCCCCTGCTGCTGGCTGGCACCACGCGACAGCCCTTGCTGCTGGCTGGCACCACGCGACAGCCCTTGCTGCTGGCTGGCAGATATGCGGTCGCCACTCAACTGGTGAGGGGAAATCTGGGGAAGTGTGGAACGAAGCGAAAGGCCAGCACAGGAGCAGCACAAGAGCAATAGCAAGAGCAGCGGCAAGAGCAGCAGCAAGAGCAAGACCACCCCCTACCTGAATCTGTGCCGCCCGGAACACTCGCGATAAGACCACTGGCTTCTCAGGCCCATCCTCTATCTCCAGCCCCTTGGGCGCAGGTACCACCTTCACCAGATCCGCCTCCTTCCACTTGTCCCCCATCCCCGTTATAAGCCCTCCCCCAGCTGCCCCTGCGCCAGCCATCCCCCCTTTGCCCCCCCCTTGTTGCCCCCTCCCTCCCCCCTTCTTGCCCGTTTTCCTCGAGCGTGGGGGAAGGCCCTTCCGCTTCTTCCCCCCGTCTGCTGTCCGCGCTGCCCCCCCCCCCCCTGCTATTTCACCTGCCCCGTCCACCTCCCCTCCCGCCCATCCCTTTTTCGCCTGCCCGCGGTTGCCCCCACTGCCCGCCCCACCCTGCCCATCACTCCCCCCATCCTCCTCCTTAATAGAATTCCCCCCACCATTCCCCGCCTCACTCCCCCCTCCGCCACTCCCCCCTCCGCCACTACCCCCTCCCCCACCCTTGCCGTCCTTGCTCCCCCCTGCCTTCTTAGTCATCTCCCGGGGCTTTAAGTCGATGAGAACGTATGAAATGTCCCTTTTTCGCGTTACCATGCTCCCCTTCTGTTCGCCCTTCTGCTCCCCCTTCTGTTCCCCCTCCTTTTCCCCCTTCTCCCCATGCGCCTTCTCTCCGCCTTCCCCTTTCCCCCCATCGCCTTCCGCATCCCCATTGCCCTTCCCCTCCCCGCGCTCCCCTTCCCCATCCTCCTCTGTTCCTCTCGGCTGCCTACTACCCCCATCGCTTTCCTGTCTCCGCTCCTTCCCCCCCTCCTGCCCCCCCTCGATCCCTTCCCCTCCGCGCATACCCCCGTCGCCCCCGTCTTTCCGACCCTCGCCCCTGTCCTTTCCGCCTTCCCCCCTTTCCCCCTTTGCCGTCTCACACACTTTCCTTCGCTTTTTCTTCGTCTCTTCCTCTCCCTCTCCTCCCACCTCCCGCTCCCCCACCTTCTCTGCCACGTCACGCTTACGCGTTTTCTTCCCACGTTCGTTCAGCTTCATCACCTTCCTCCGACCTTCCTCCTCCTCCTCCTCCGAATCATCCTCGATTTCAGCAGCCTCGTTATTGTCATTGCCGTAATCCTCCTCCTCGTCCAGAAGATCAATACACTCCTCCTTCTCCTCTTCTATCTTTACATCCTCGTCATTGTCCTCCTCGATCTTAACACACTCCTCCTCCTCCTCATCTTCTTTCTCCTCTTTCGCCTTCTCCCCTTCTCCTCTTCCACTCTCCCTCTCTTCCCCCTCTACCCCCCTCCCTCCCCCCACCGCATTTCCTCCTCCTTCTCGATCCTTCTGAGTCAACTCTAAAGTCGCTGCTCGATCCTTCGTCTTCTGATTGCCGCTGCCGTTGCCTTTAGCCTTTTCCCCCCTGTCTCCTCCATCATCATCGTCATCCTCTTTTCCACTTTCTCGTACCTCTTCCCTCCCTCGCACCTCTGTCTCCTCGTCTTCCCCCTTAGACTCCGCACTGTTTGCGCCATTTTCTCTCCCCCTCTTCATCGTTTCTCTGATTCACTCTGAAACTAAAAAAGGCTCTTGTTTTGTAGGACGGGAAAAAAACGGCGGGTGCGGAACCGGAGGGGTACGGGAGAGCGAGTGAGGCGGGATTATCCAAGGTGTGGCAGTCGAATTTTGGCGCGAAGCTTTGAGAAAATGGGAATTTGAGATTTCGAAGGTACAGAACTGCGAGGTTAGTTCTCGCATGTTCTTCGTAGAAGCGCACTCTGTATCGAATTAGTGTTTTCCATCATAGGGGTTTCCACAAGCAGTGTAGTGTTTTCGAAACACAAAGGCGTTCAGAAACAGCTTTTTTCCGATCCTGTAATGACGCGCAAAGAGCGTGTGTCGAAGGATTGAGTACCGAGGAAAACAATACAACCGAGGCAACTTCAAAACAACAAGGAGCATGGATATAGCTAGCTTAGAGCACACGGTCGTGGCTCGGCAAAGATGCGACGTGTGGTTCGTAAATTGGTGCGAAGCGCCAAGATCTAGGCATGAAACAGCAAGGTGGGCCAAATGCATGCGGCTCATCAAGGGGCCACATTTGGGTACCACGATTTGAATTTCGTGGCAGAGCTGCGCGACAACCCCGTTATAGCAGTGTACGTCTTACTAGCACTGACCTAAGAGAGCTGCCCCGCTACCTTGGCCTGCAGATCTCCAGGGACAGAGTAGCGCGTACCATCACTTTCACACAGTCATTTGGTGCGCCAGGTCCTTCAGAGGTTCGGCCTTCAGTTCTCCTCTGCACAGCCCACATCTCTGCCAGTAGACCACATGCTCTCAACTCCAGTTCCAGAGGAGTCAGTAGAGCCTAATGGTCCTTATGCAGAGCTGGTGGGTTGCCTCATGTACCTGATGACTTGCACTCGTCTAGATCTCGCATACCCTCTCAGCATCCTGGCTCGCATTGTGGCCACAAGCAGACACCGACTATAGCACTGGTCGGCCGCTAAGAGGGTTTTGCGTTATCTAGCAAGTACACCGGACATGTGGCTAGTGCTGGGAGGACGTAGACCAGTGGTCCTTACTGGGCACACAGACGCTTCTTGGACAGACGAGGTCCTCTTAGGGCTATTGCTGTAGCCTTGGCTCGGGTGCCATATCGTAGAGGTCCATTCGCTCCTCGTCCCTTGCATAGTTTAGCTCTGAGGCTGAGATCTACGCCGGTGCCATGGCGACACAGGAGCTCCGCTAGCTGACCTTCTTGCTTACCGACTTAGTGTTAAGAACTTAGGATGCTAGGTCCCTAAAGTTAGGACACTAGCTTAGCTAGGATAGGAGCAAGGCCGCCATGGAACGGCGCTAGGAAAAACGGATCTAGGAGTAGGAGGAAAGTCGAGAAGAAAGAGAGTTGGATTAGGAAGAGAAGGGAGTACAAGGAGGGGTTTGTACCCCCTACAGAAAGGTTCAGTAGCAACCTACCAAGCCTATATAAAATTATAACTTATATAATTTTAACACTTAGGTGAGCGGCCTAGCTCTGCCCCGGTTCTGTACGGCGACAACATGGCCATGATCCTCTTGTGTAAGGAGCCTCGACTTGAGGGCAGAGCGAAGCACATCCAGCTGCGGTACTTCCTCCAGCGCGAGCTACAGCAGCGTCACCAGGCCCGCGTAGTACGCTTGGCCTCCGGTGCCAACACAGCTGATATCTTTACTAAAGCGCTTGCGTCTAAAGATCATGTTTGCAGCTTGGAGTAGGAGCTTGAGTGTGTACTCCTCTTTATATATACCTTCCAGACTGGCCGTGAGGCTTCTCTTCTAGTGGCCGGACTAGTAGTGCCGTCCTGGTGTGCTCTTGTCTTTTTTGTACTCCTGCTGACTGGTCTTCGGACCCCTGCCTCAGAGGTTGGACTAGTATTGCCACCCTGAGCTTCATGTTTCTTGCTCAGCACTGCCCCTTATCTGGCCTAGGGGGTGTGTCAAGTTATACATATATTTGTATGTAGAAGTTATAGGCTAGATAGGTTTGTGTTCTTAGAGAGTACAATTCCAACCATATATCTCCCCTGTACTCTCTTGTTTCTTATTATTATCGTATTCTAACAGAGCTGCGCGGCAACCCTGTTATAGCAGTGTACGCCTTACTAGCTAGAACCCGTGATAAGGAAATACCATTTCCTTACAGATCCCCTTCCTTGCCCCTGGACCAATTTTAGTGTGCGTGGTCTGATATAACTTGTTAGCGCTGGATAATATCGAATAGCGCAAAGCCAAGAATTAATCCATAAAACAGTTTGTATCAGAGAAGGGGATAATTATAGCGAACTTGTTTCAAGTGGCGCTAATTTTAGCGCGCTGCCAGCATTTTATTCCCTGCACCGAGGTATATTCGGTAGCCTCGTGCACTCTTCACACGTGTGGATGGTGCCGCTCTTTACCGTCCGATCCTCCTTAGGCGCCCCATCGGCCATCGCAGCCGCCCGATTCGCCGCCTGGGCGAGATCAACGGCCCTCGTCGCCCTTTCGCGAAAGTTCGCCATCGGCTCTGTTACTTGTGGCATTCTCTCGTCTCGTCGCGAAACCAGATCGCCGCGTCTCGAGCCACTCTGCCAGTGTCGCATCCCCGCATCTCACTGGATGCTGTCCCCGCTACAAGCGCGCTCGTTACATACATACCTCCAATCCACATACCTCCACCCGTGCCGTGCTGTTTCCTGTGTAGCTCCGAGATCGTTTATCCCCGCATTTGTGACAGTATCGGGGGTTCAAGGAGTAGAGAGTGTGACAATATCGAGGTATCGAAGAGTAGCGAGTGTTACAGCGATGGCTGGTGGCGGGCGGAAGCTCACTCAGCGTAAGATCTCCGACGCACCACCGCACAGCACCGCTCTGCGCCGCTCCGCGCGGGCAGCAGCGGCTTCCGCCGCGGGCGCTAGCGCCGCTGAGGACGCCGCGAACCTCGGCGCAATCGGCGCCGGCGAGGCTGGCGCGGAAGGCGCGGAGGGGAAGGGCGCGGGGAAAGGAGTTGCGGGGAGCAAGCGGGGGAGAGAGGTCCCCGGCGGGAGCGGGAAGGGGGAAGCTGCGAAGGTAGGGGGAGGGTGGGCAGGGGGAAGGGCACGGTCAGGGGGAAGGGGGGGAGCGGGAGCGGGGGGGAAAGGGAAAAGGGGGCAAGCCGCAGAGATTAGTGAGGATGAGGCGGAAGAGGAGGAGAAAGAGGAGGAGAAAGAGGAGGAGAAAGAGGAGGAGGGGGAAGAGGAAGAGGAGGAGGAGGAGGCGGGAAAGAAGCGCGGAGGAAAAAGGGGAAGGCCAGCTGGCAGAAGAGGACCACAGGCTAAGGGAAGTAAGCCAGCAGAATCACGAGAACCAGAGTCACAGGACCCAGAGTCACAAGGCCTTGAATCACAACCGTTAGAATCACAGGAAGGGGAGGAGGTTGTTAGGGAGGCCAAAGAAGCCATCACCGGAGGCCAGAAAAAAGGCCGGGGTAAAGCCGGGCAGGGAAAAACCGGGCAGCGGAAGGCCGGGCAGCCGACAAAAAAAGAGCAGTTGGAGATGGCGAAGAGAATGGAGGCGGAAGCAGAGGCGAGTAAGGAGCCCTGGAAGGTTCTCGTGCACCGAAAGCTGCGATCTGATTGGTTCCCGTACGACCCCAAGACCATGCGGAATGCTGACGTGGATGGGGCGGGTGGTGAGCTGGCAGGGGAGGGAGGGGAGGAGGGAGGGGAGGAGGGAGGGGGAGGAAAGAAGGTATGGCGGCTGGTGTCATGGAATGTGAATGGGTTAAGAGCGTTGCTTAAAGGGGGAGATGGGGAGGGGGGTGAGGGGAAGGGGGCTGAGGGGAAGAGCCCAGACAAGGGGAAGGGGAAGAAGAAAGGGGGAGGAGGGGGGGGAGCAGGTAGGGGGAAGGCGGGGGGAGGGGAGGCGGGGGAGTCGCAGGATCCAGCTGGCGAGTCCCAGGATCAGGGGGACGCTGACGTGGCGGCTGATGTCTCTGCTGACGTGGCGGCTGAGGCGACGGCGCTGTGCCGATTGGCCGAGAGGGAGCGTGCTGACGTGGTGTGTCTACAGGAGACGAAGCTTCAGGAGAAGGATGTGGACGAGATTCAGAAGGCCCTGGCTCCCTCGTTCCCCCACTCCTTCTGGAGCTGCAGCACTGCCAAGCTGGGATACTCTGGCACTGCAGTCCTCTCTAAGGTACAAATACCAACCTGTTATAGCGCTCAAGCAAACTGAATCTGCAGGAGAGGGATGTGGGGGAAGATCCAAAGGGCCGTCTCTCCCTCCTTCCCCCACTCCTACTGGAGCTGCAGCACTGCCAAGCTTGGGTATTCTGGCTCTTTTGGTGTTTCTCTTTCTCTCTCTCATTTTTTCTCTCCTGGGGTAAGGCAAGGCATTGACAATGGCTTACCCGCCTCCTCCCCCCCCCCACCCCTCCGGTCTCCCCTCCCTCTCCGCGCTTCACTGTCATCCCAATCTATCTTCAGATCCCCCCTCTCTCAGTGCGTTACGGAATCCGTAGCAGCAGGAAGGGCGGGTGGCGGCAGTTGGACCTGTGTCCTGCCAACCCCTCTCTTCTCCCCCCTTCCACTTCCCTCCCCTACCCCACTCTCCCCTCCAGGTCCCACCCCTCTCAGTGCGTTACGAAATCCGTAGCAAAGAGCACGACAAGGAGGGCCGGGTGGTGACGGTTGAGTTCGCCCCTTTCTTCCTCGTGTGCTGCTACACGCCCAACTCGGGGGAGAAGCTCGTCAGACTGGTGCGCCTAGTGATGTGATGATGCTTGTTTGAGTCACCTTATAAGGAGAGTGGTGAGGTGATGATGCTTGGTTGAGACACCTCAACAGAAAGGGGGGGGCAGGCGGTTGCAGTTGGGTTCGGGGTGGGTTGTGATGGTTGAATTTCGCCCCTTTCTTCCTCGTCTGCTGTTACACGCCCAGCTGGTTGGAAAGCTAGTCAGGCTGGTGAGTAATGAGTCGATTTTTGAGTCGACTCATTACACACCAGCCTGGTGACCAGGCTGACTCATTACACACGGTGAGACTGCTGGTGAGACTGCTGGTGAGACTGCTGGTGAGACTGCTGGTGAGATGCTGATTTTGGACTGCTGGTGAGATGCTGATTTTGGACACATTAAAAGAGAGGAGAAGCTCGTCCAATTGGTGGGTGCGCATAGTGTCCCAGGAAAAAAGCCGTAGTGTCCCGGGGGGGGAGCCATAGTGTCCCGGGGGGGAGCCATAGTGTCCCGGGGAGGCATTGAGTCCCGGGGAAGCCTAGTGTCCCAGGAAAATAGTGTGGGGTCCCCCTTGTGGTTTCTTTTGTTGGAGGCGGCTCAAATGCAGCATTGTTACGCTAAGCAGGGAGTGGGAGTGATGGCACTGGTCATGTTTTGAGTTCTGAAAAACGTAACACATTCGAGCAGTACACTCCATCGTTTTGAGAATTCTAAAAAGCATAACACAGGGAGTGGGTGGTAGTGATGACACTAGTCACGCTGGTGGGTAGCATTGACACGCGGAGCAGCCTCCCTTTGAGAGGGGAGGCTGGAGTGGGTGGGGTCCTCGGTGTGGGAATAAAAGTTGCCACCACAGCCAGAGGTATGGACTGGTGGATAGTTTATCAATGGCTGCTGGGAAAGACAGTCCTGGCCCATTGTCACATGCCATGCCCCTCGGGTTTTTTTGGGGGTGAAGGGCGGAGGAATCCACTCTATTCCGGCTCTGTTGCTTTGCTTTTCCGCTATGTTACCTCGCCCCAATGTACCTCTCCCCAATGTTCACTCTTCGTCTGTTCAGGACTATCGCACGAAAGAATGGGACGTCGCATTCGGCAACTACGTCAAGGTATGGTGTGATTGCATGCAAGAATGGTGTGATTGCATCTAAGAATTGTGTGATTGCATCTAAGAATGGTGTGATTGCATGTAAGAATGGTGTGATTGCATCTAAGAATGGTGTGATTGCATCTAAGAATGGTGTGATTGCATCTAAGAATGGTGTGATTGCATGTAAGAATGGTGTGATTGCATCTAAGAATGGTGTGATTGCATCTAAGAATGGTGTGATTGCATCTAAGAATGGTGTGATTGCATGTAAGAATGGTGTGATTGCATGTAAGAATGGTGTGATTGCATCTAAGAATGGTGTGATTGCATCTAAGAATGGTGTGATTGCATCTAAGAATGGTGTGATTGCATCTAAGAATGGTGTGATTGCATCTAAGAATGGTGTGATTTCATCTCCTCGCTCATCAGGTAGGATTCGACAATGTGGTGGTGTGGTTTTAATTTATCACCTGCAGCGCGCCCAGTCCCTTGACTTGAGTTTGTTGCCCTTTCCCATTCCGATGGCTGAAGGTGCTGTGATTTTATTTCCTCTCTTAAAAATATTCTGTGCATTCCCGTTTTTGAGGCGCCTAAAAAATTATTTCCTCTTTTAGAAATATTCTGTGCATTCCCATGTTTCTAAATCACTGCTCCCTTGTGGCTAATCTCTGTTTTCCTACCATCCCATCCGCTCACTCCCTCGATCTCTGTCGAACAACTGCAGCAGAGTCATCCATTAGAATTCTCAAACTCAAAATCGGCCTTTGAGGCGCCTCAAAAGCCAACCATCCCATCCGCTCACTCCCTCGATCCCTGTCGAGCAACTGCAGGCCTCGGGCTGCATCCCCTCAGGCGGCATCCCTCAGGCAGCAGGGCGGCACGCCCTCGGGCAGCATCCCCTCGGGCAGCATGGCGGCATGCCCTCGGGCGGCATCCCCTCGGGCGGCATCTCTTCGGGCGAGATGCCCTCGGGCGGCATGGCCTCGGGCGGCATGACCTCGGGCAGCATGACCTAGGGTGGCATCCCTTTGGGTAGCTTGCCCTCGGGCGGCATCCCTCCGGGCGGCATGACCTCGAGCGGCATGCCCTCGGGTGGCATGCCCTCGGGCGGCATGCGGTCTGGCAGCATGCCCTCGGGCAGGCAGCATACCTCGGGCAGCATGCCTTCGGGCAGCATGCCTTCGGGCGGCATGCCCTCGGGCGGCATCCCTTGGGGCGGCATCCCTCCGGGTGGCATCCCTTGGGGCGGCATCCCTCCGGGCGGCATCCCTTGGGGCGGGATTCCCTCGGGCGGCATGCCCTCGGGCGGGTGGCATTCCTTGGGCAGCATCACCTCGGGTGAGCGGCATTCCTTGGGTGGCATGACCTCGGGCGGCATTCCCTCGGGCGGCATGCCCTAGGGCGGGCGGCATCCCTTGGGCAGCATGCCCTCGGGCGGCTTGCCCTCGGGCGGCATGCCCTTGGGCGGCATGCGTGCGGCATCCCCTCGGGCGGGGCATCCCCTCGGGCGGCATGACCTCGGGCGGCATGCTTCGGGCGGCATGTCCTCGGGCGGCATGAACACGGGCGGCATGCCCTTGGGCGACATGCCCTCGTGCGGCATGACCTCGGGCGGCATGACCTCGGGCGGCATGCTTCGGGCGGCATCACCTCGGGCGGCATGAACACGGGCGGCATGCCCTCGGAAGGCATCCCTTCGAGCGGCATGACCTCGGGCGGCATGACCCTCGGGCGGCATCCCCACGGGCGGCATGCCCTCGCGCGTCATTCCTTCGGGGGCATGACCTCGGGCGGCATGCCCTCGGGCCGGGCATTCCCCGGGGCCGGGCGGCATGCCTTGGGGCAGCATGCCCTCAGGCCGCATCCCTTCGGGCGGCATGACCTCGTGTGGCACTCCCTTGGGCGGCATCACCTCGGGAGGCATCACCTCGGGCGGCATGCCCTTGGGCGGCATGCCTTCGGGCAGCATGCCCTTGGGCGGCATGCCTTCGGGCAGCATGCCCTTGGGCGGCATGCCCTCGGGCAGCATCACCTCGGGCGGCACGCCTTAGGGCGACATGACCTCGGGCAGCATTCCCTCGGGCGGCATGCCCTCGGAAGCATGACCTCGGGCAGCATGACCTCGGGCAGCATTCCCGCGGGCGGCATTCCCTCGGGCGGCATGCCCTCGGGCGGCATCACCTCGGGCGGCATCACCTCGGGTGGCACACCTTAGGGCGGCATGACCTCGGGCAGCATTCCCTTGGGCGGCATACCCTCGGGCGGCATGACCCTCGGGCGGCATACCCTCGGGCGGCATGACCTCGGGCGGCATGCCCTAGGGCGGCATTCCCTCGGGCGGCATGCCCTCGGGCGGCATTTCCTAGGGAGGCATGCCCTCGGGCGGCATGCCCTCGGGCGGCATGACCTCGGGCGGCATGACCTCGGGCGGCACACCTTAGGGCAGCATGTCCTCGGGCAGCATTCCCTCGGGCGGCATGCCCTCGGAAGCATGACCTCGGGCAGCATTCCCTCGGGCGGCATGCCCTCGGGCGGCATGACCCCGGGCGGCATGCCCTAGGGCGGCATTCCCTCGGGCGGCATTTCCTAGGGAGGCATGCCTTCGGGCGGCATGCCTTCGGGCAGCATGCCCTCGGGCGATCGGCATCCCTCGGGCGGCATGCCCTCGCGCGGCATCCCTTCGGGGGCATGACCTCGGGCGTCATTCCCCCGGGCGGCATGCCCTCGGGCGGCATCCCCTCGGGCGGCATGACCTCGGGTGGCATTCCCTCAGCTCAGGCGGCATGCCCTCTGGCGGCATCCTTTCGGGCGGCATGACCTCGGGCGGCATGACCTCGGGCGGCATGACCTCGGGTGGCATGCCCTCAGGCGGCATGCCCTCGGGCGGCATGCCTTGGGATAGCATGCCCTCGGGCGGCATGACCTCAGGCGGCATCCCTTTGGGCGGCATGCCCTCAGGTGGCATACCTTCGGGTGGCATACCTTCGGGCGGCATGACCTCGGGCGGCATGACCTCGGGTGGCATCCCCTCGGGCATCACCACGGGCGGGATCACCTCGGGCGGCATCCCTTCGGGCGGCATCCTTTCGGGCGGCATGACCTCGGGCGGCATCCTTTCGGGCAGCATGCTCTCGGGCGGCATCCCTTCGGGCGGCACGACCTCGGGCGGCATCCCTTTAGGCGGCATGCCCTCGGGCGGCATCCCTTTCGGGCGGCATGACCTCAGGCGGCATGCCCTCGGGCGGCATGCCGTCGGGTGGCATCACCACGGGCGGCATGACCTCGGGCGGCATTCCCTCAGGCGGCTTGCCCTTGGGCAGCATGCCCTCAGGCGGCACCCCCTCGGGCGGCATGACCTCGGGCGGCATTCCTTTGGACGGCATGCCCTTGGACGGCATCCCTTCGGGCGGCATGACCTCGGGCGGCATTCCCTCAGCGGCTTGCCCTCGGGCAGCTTGCCCTCGGGCGGCATCCCCTCGGGCGCTAGGTTCACAAAAACGCTTTAGCGAGTTTGCGTTTTGAGTATAAACGTAATCGTTGAAACGCAAAAACGCGTCATCGAGCTTTCTTCCTTCCAGCAGCTAAGCTACCCGAATTCCATCCGCTAGCATGGCGTCCTCCCTGTCGCCAGCAGACACTCCGACGACGGTCGAGGGAGAGGGCTTCCTCCGGAGTCACCACGTTCGTCGAACAGCCAGACCATGCGGTTTTCAAGAACTTTAGGGCGGGTGGGGTGTGGGCGCGGACCGAAAGCTGACAGAGACGCCGAAGTGCCGCTAACGATTTTCTGTTGTCCCCTCCCCCCCCCCCATCCATCCCCACCCCCTCCCCCCCCCCCATCCCCTCTTTCCCCTGCCCGGGCATTTTTTTGTGGGTGCCCGGGCAGGCGTTTTCCGAGCATATCTGAAGCGTGGAATCCTGCGTTTTGCGTCCTGAAAGCAAGCATTCAGAACGAAACGCAAAAACGCGGAAACACGTTCATGCCAACATAGCTCGGGCGGCATGACCTCGGGCGGCATCCCTTTGGGCGGCATGACCTCAGACGGCATCCCTTTGGGCGGCATTCCCTCGGGCGGCATTCCCTCGGGCGGCATGCCCTCGGGCGGTATGCCCTCGGGCGGCATGCGCTCGGGCGGCATCCTTTCGGGCGGCATGCCCTCGGGCGGCATCCCCTCGGGCGGCATTCCGTCCGACAGAGTCATTTTTCAGACTTCTCAAACTAGATAATGACTCCACTATTACAGGAAAGGCTGCAGTTGCTGTTTCTCACTCAGAAACAGTGATTGTGTCCAGGGATTTGAACTATGATTGTATTTTTTAGGCGCCTTGAAAAAACTTAACAGCAACCAGTGATTGCGACTGAGGATTTGAACTTTGATTGTCCCTCTCTCCTACTCCATTTGCTACCTGCTGGACCTGGAAAAGCAGAAGCCAGTGGTTGTAGTAACAGGGGATCTTAACTGCGCATACGGGGCGATTGATGCCTTCTGCTCCCACCCTCCCTGTCTGTTGAATCCCTCCAGAAGCCAGACGAGCAGAAACCAAAGGTTGTGACCGGTGAACTCAATTGTGCATTTGGGGAGATCGACAACTTTCACCCCGAGGGCAAGCGCCGGAGCTCAGGTCCACTGATGAGGAGAGGAGCTCCCTTGCTGCTAACCTGCTGCGCGGGCCCTTCTCCCCTTCCTCTGCCCGCTTCTCTCCCTCGTCATTCGCTCCCTGCCACCTGTCTGTTAAATCCCTCCAGACTCTAGAGAAGCAGAAGCCAGTTATTGTTACGGGGGATCTCAACTGCGCCTTTGGGGAGATCGACATCTTTCGCTCCGAGCGCAACTCAGCTCCGGCTTTTCGGATGAGCAACGGTCAGCCTTGCTGTTAACCTGCTCTGTGCCATTTTCCTTGCTCACCTTGCACCCGTACTTCCCCTGCAGGAACTGGAAAAGCAGAAGCCAGTGGTTGTCACTGGGGACCTCAATTGTGCATTTGGAGAGATGGATATCTTTCACCCCGAGGGCAACCGCCGGAGCTCAGGGTTCACTGATGAGGAGAGGAGCTCCTTTGCTGCTAACCTGCTCCAAGTGCCGTGGGACGGGGGAGAGGGGGGAGAGCAGGGAGAGCAGGACGAGGGAAAAGGGGGGGAAGGGGGGGAAGGAAAGGAAGGAGGGGAGGAAGGGGCAGGAGCAGGTAGAGAAGAGGGTGAAGGGGAGGGAAAAGGGTTGGTGGATACGTTTCGGCGGCAGCATCCCAATGCTGTGGCGTACACGTATTGGGGGTACCGGTCGAAAGCAAGACCGGCAAATAGAGGTTGGTATGGTAGCAGCACAATTGTACTCACAAGTGTACTCACAAGTGAACTCTATGCCGATCATTGCCCATCAGCAATTGTGATCCATTAGCATCAAGAGTGCATGATTCTCGTTCACCATGGTGACCCAAGGCTGAGATTTCCCTTATCCCCCCCCCCCCCCCCCCCCTTTCCCCAACCCTCTACCTCTCAACAGGCTGGCGATCGGACTGCTTTCTTGTGTCCCGCCCTCTAGCATCAAGAGTACATGTCTCGTACAATGCCATGCCAAGCCACAGAGGCGCACTCTCATCCCCACCTTCTTCGTCCTTGCTTCCCCTTCACCTCTCAACAGGCTGGCGATTGGACTACTTTCTTGTGTCCCACGCTCTAACATCAAGAGTGCACGACTCGTACACCATGCCAGACGTCCCTGGCAGTGACCACTGCCCGTTGGGCCTTGTGATGAAGATGAACTAGTACCGTATGTGTGCCTGCGATCTTAGTAGACTGCACATAAGGTAACACGTCAGCAGCAAGTGTGAATGACTCGTACACCTTATGCACACTTGCCAAATGTGCCATATGTGCCACACTTGCCATACGTGCCATATGTATGTCCCTCGCAGTGACCATTGCCCCTAGGGGCGTGTGCTGAAGATTCGATCCTAGTGTGTTGGTAACTCATCGGACGTGATGTAACAGGTACCAGTTTCACATGAATGCGTGACTTGTTCACCATGCGAGATGTCCATGGAGATGTGATATGGTTTGGTCCTGAAGATGTCATACAGATACCACATCATACATGTGCTGCTCTTATCAAGCCGCCTCAAAAGCAGACTGCTCACTGAAACTAATCAGTCGGGATTAGAACAATGAAAACTATCAACCATCCCATCCCAGCGCAACAGACGAGCCGTGTCAGCTGAGGAGGCCGCAGTGTCTTCAAACCAAACAATTGAAACCTGTTGCTGCTCCTCATTCCACGAATGAGCTTAAATCACGTGCTTCACTCCAGGATTCCTCGCAGCGACTCAGCTGCTGCTGCTGCCAACAACACACACAGACCACCCAACCCTCATGCCTCGCCCCTCCCACCTGCGCCACCCCTCCATCTCCTCCCCTCTGATATCTGCTCGACTCCACAATATCTCTCAGCAAATCAGCTGCTGCTGCCAACATATCACAGCGACCTCCATGTCTATGCTTCACCCCTCCCATCTGCGCCACCCCTCCATTTCCCATCCGTCACCCATCCCCCTGCTGTCTGCCTCACTCCACGATTCCTCTCAGCGACTCAGCCGCTGCTGCAACCGCCTCACACACATCACTCCACCCCCCTCCCTCCCGGTTTCCCACACCGACCTTCCGAGAAGCTTCCAACCCGAAAGCATCGTCTCCTTCGTCCTCGTCATCGCTGTTATCATCCCAAGCACCTCTGCTTCCGTCCATGTCAGCATCCTTGAGTGATTCAGCGCCGATTGCTGACACGTCAGCATGCCACCAGCTGGCATCGGCGGCCCTATCTGCCACCTCAGCAAGTGCGATGCTGAGTAGGACGCACTGCTGGCAGCAATGCTGCAGCAGAGCATGGGGACCCCCAAAAGAAGCTAGCCTTGTTGTCATTGTTTCTAGCATCGCTGTTGTTGCTCCGAAGCTCCCATCGTCTCGATTCAGGACTAAGTCACCCCTACCACCAGCTACCTCTGCTGCTTGCTGCCCGTTCACACCACCAACACCACCAGCGCCATCAGCAGCACCAGCATCATCAGCACCAGCAGCAATGACAGTAGCAGCAGCAGCAGCAGCAGCAGCCGCCCCTGCAGCACTAGCACCAGCAGCATAACTACCACCAGCTTCACCACTGGAACCAGAACCACCACCACTTTGGAGACGTGGGGAGGAGCGAGGGGAAGCAAGGACCGGGAGCGAAGCAGCATGCACCAGCACATCCCGAAGCAGCCGAACCAGGCCTGCAATCACCTGAACCTGCGCCCGAACCAAGCCTCCAACGACCCAAACCCGCATCGGCATCACTTGCTGAATCGCCACTGTTCCGAGTCCCACCACTCCCTGCATCCCCTCGTCTCTCTCCACTGGACCCACATCGGCTGGAATAGAAGACCTTGTGGCTCTGCCACGAGAGAGAATATCTCTCTTATTTGCCTCTGCCGCTCCTCCTTGCATCTCTCGCCTAACCCTGTAAACCTCCCGTCTCTCACTTTCCTCCCTCTCCTGTCGTTCCCTCTGCACGCCTTCCCTCCCAGCCACCTCTCCCGCCCTCCCTATCTCACCAGCCAAAAGGTCGAACAGGCGAGGCAGCACGAGGGCCATCACTTCCCATACACCCTCCAACACTCCACTTCCATTCCTCTTATCCAACCCAGCACTGGCAGCAGCAGCACTGGTTGTACCAGCAGCAGCAGCAGCACCAGCTGCATTATCCACATCTACATCCATCCTCTGCTGCTCCTGCCCTTCTGCCACTCCCTGCCCCTTCCCATTCTGCTGCGTCTCTTGCTTTTGCGGCTCCCTCTGCTTCCCACCCTGCTCCACTCCCTCTTTCCCCCCACCCTCTTCCTTCCCCACCGAACCTAGTGACCCGGCACCCGACCCTGCACCCGAACCTAGTTCCCCCGTTTGGGCTCCCGACAAACCACGTCCCTCCTCCATCCCTTTGCCAGCCACCCACTCACACAGCAACCCCAGCACCTCGAGCACACCACACGCACTCTTGTATCCCATCACCACTCCCCTGCTCCCCAGCCTCCCAGCGTTAAATTGCCTGGAGCCCCACCCAGTCCGATTCTGCATGCTACTGACCTGTATGGTACGAACTTGAGATGCAGTTGAGTGTAGGAGGGAGCACAGGGCGTCTAGCAGTAGCTCGGCAAATGCACCAGCAGACACCCCCGCGACCCCCGCTGCTGTGTGCTTATCACTCAGTGTTCCAGAAGTTGTGACTGTAACGGGGGGTTCGTGCCCTGGAGAGAGGGGCTGTAGAAGTGGAGACTGCAGCAGGATGTGCTTATCTAGCAGTTGTGACGGGATGGGGAGGAGCAGCAGCAGAAGAAGCTTGACTATAGCCCCTATCACCCTCACTCTCTCGTTATAGTCACCCTTCAATTTGCCCGCTTCCCATGCTGCCAGCAACGACAGGAGCCGTGGCAACAAGTGGGAGAAGGACACGTGGCGGTCTGTGAGAGGGGCGGTAGAAGCCACTATGGTCCGAAGGGCGGATAGTGCTGAGGCTACCACACCTGCTGCTGCCACGCCTGCTGCTGCCACGCCTGCTGCTGATGGTGCTTCTGCTGGAGACAAAGGTGCTCCTGCTGCTGCAGATGCTGCTGCTGGTAGTGGTTGTCCCGGTGGCAGAGCTACCTCCAAAGGAAAAGCAACGGCAAGTACCAAACGCCACTCCCTAACGCCCCAGCACTGTTCCATCGTCTCCTGTTCAATCTCCTCTGGTGTTCTCCCCTCTCCACCACCGCCACCACCTCTACCACTGCCATCACCAGCTCCGCCACCACCACCACCACCACCACCACCACCACCACCACCACCACCACCACCTCTACCACTGCCATCACCAGCTCCGCCACCAGCTACAGCAGCGCCGCCATCACCACCTGCATCGGCCATATCAGTGTCAACATTCGTCTTCCCTCCCTTCCCTCCTCTCCCTCTCCTGATCCGTTTCAAGCCTCCTGTTTCGCCCTGAGGAACATCGGCCGCAGCAGCAGGTACAGCAGGAGCAGGAGCAGCAACAGCAGCAGCAGTAGCAGGAGAAGCAGGATAAGCAGCAGCAGCCGCGGCAGCAGAGGAGGCAGCAGCACCAGAGAGCAGAAGAGAGCGGCAGGCATGGTCTACTCGAAGCAGAACAGAGACGGCTTGCCACGCCTGCAGGCGATATGACTGGAAGGAAAGCAGGGGGAGATGCAAGGGGTGGGGGAGAGGTGAGACAGCTGCAGCAGAGGAGGCAGCAGCGCCAGAGAGCAGATGGGAGCGGAAGGCGTGGTCTACTCGAAGCAGCGCCGAGAGGGCTTGCCATGCTTGCAAGGGAGATGGCTGGAGAGGGAGGGGAGTGAATATACAAGAGATGGATGATGAAGAACGGATGATGAAGAACGGATGATGAAGAACGGATGATGAAGAATGGATGATGAAGAATGGATGATGAAGAACGGGTGATGAAGAACGGATGATGAAGAACGGATGATGAAGAATGGATGATGAAGAATGGATGATGAAGAATGGATGATGAAGAATGGATGATGAAGAATGGATGATGAAGAATGGATGATGAAGAATGGATGATGAGATGATGGGGAATGGATGCTGGTGCAGGAGAGAGTGAGGGAAACGAGCAGAGGCAGTTGGCACACAGGGTGCTGGACAACCACTTATGGAGCCCACGCCAAAGGACATGAGGGATGCAAATGGACCTATCCGGGCGGGTAAGTATCCGCACAGTTGCGACGAGGTCAGTTGCGACGGGGTCAGTTGCGACAAAGGTCAGTTGCGACAAGGTCGATTGCGACAAGGTCGGTTGCGACAAGGTCGGTTGTGACAAGGTCGGTTGTGACATGGCCCTACCTGGGAGATAGGCGCTAGTGTGCAGGCGAAATGAAGGAGGGTAGAGAAGAAGTGGCGGGGCGAGCTTGTGCCAATCAGAAGCTGACGATTGTGAGGGAAGTGGGGGAAAGAGAGGAGGAAAGGAAGGGGATGATGTGGGCGAAAGGAATGGGCTGGAGAGAGATTGGCAAAGGATGTTGAGTCGTACAGAGCGGTGGAGGGGAGTGAGAAGACATTGCATGAGCAATGAACCAGAGGAGCCAGCAGAGCACCCAAATAAAGAAGCTCACATAGAACAAGGAACAATGGGCTCGAAACGCAGCAAGCAGGGAGAAAAATGGTTTCTACCATCACTCACATTTGAAAAGCCATCTTGTAATCGTCGCTGCACATTCGCGCATCGCACATCCATGCCCACTCTGCAGTTCTGCCCCTCCGATTCCCGAATGCGCACCACTCCATAATCCTGCCCCTCTACTCCACGATTATGTACTGTAAGAAGCGTAGATTCCCATGCTGCATCGAAAGAAAGAAGAGGTGAAGTGGCACGGCTGAGCACCTGGCCGTCATGTGTTGCAGTGGGCCTTACTAACAGCGGGAGCTGGTCGACTGTGGCAGGGCATGCAACCAGGGGGAGGAAGTCACGACTGCAGTGGGCTACCAGCTGAGATGCTACAAAGCGGCTGTGCTCTGCTGAGTCACGCATCATGGGTCGTGAGTCATCAAATCTGTGCGCTGAGTCACTGAGGTCAAGCGCTGAGTCAGCACCTGCCCCATCCCTGTCAACCTCCATTGCTTCCACGTCAGCATTCCCCTGCTGCCTTCCCCTCACTTGCCTCCCTCCATCCTCCTTCTTCTCCTGCACTCGCTCCTCCTGCCTCTTCTCCAGTCCCCCTCCCATGCTCGCCATTGTGTAACTGATAACTCCGTCGCACTTAGTTAAGTGCGAGGTGGGAGATGGGGAGAAAAAACGGCCGGTCCACACTCTCTGCAAGGCATCGTGCAAGCACGCCATGTCAGGGTCCGAGCCTGCTGCAGCAACGGCACTAGAGGCACCAGCAGCAGCACCAACCGCAGTGACATTGGCAGTGCCAGCAGCGGCACCAACACCAGCACCAGGATCAGTAGGAGGAGTAGCACCAGCAGCTGCTTCAGAAGCAGCAGCAGCCATGCCAGCAGCAGCAAGGCGTGGCACTTTGCCTGCACTCCCTGTATTGCCTGCATCTCCTGCCACGTCCTTTGCATCCTTCCCATTGGGCAGATCACAAATCTCAAGGCGTGCCTCCTGCCTACCTCGTTCCCTGGAAACAACGAGTTATGGAGACACAGGAAAACGCGAGGGATTTCGTACCCGAAAGTGAAAAAAGAAAGAAAGAAAACAAAAGAAAATAAAAGAAGCTGGGAAACAGAAAGCTAAACCGCACAGTCAATACCCCTCCCGTCTCCAACCGCTGCCCCATCCACAGATCTCCTTTATATTCTGACGCTAGACCTTCTCCACCTCCTTTTCTAAAGATGGTCAAACCATTTCCCGTGACCCCCTATATCTCCTCAATCGAATCTGCCACCCCTTCCCCCTAACGTCTCACCCTGATTGTTTCCTAAATCCCTCACCTCTCGCCGAGTTCTACCTCTCTTTCTCAACGATAGCCATCCCCTCCTTCAGTTCAGCTCCCTCGCCTCTACCTCTGCTGCCTGCAGCTCGCACATTTCCTTCCCATGAATTCTGATCTTCCATTTCACTGTCCGATCCTCGCCTCCCAAATCTCAATTCTCTTTCTCAATCCCAGCCATCTTCTCTTTCAGCTCCCTCGCCTCTGCCACTGCTGCCTGCAGCCTTCAGTTCCCCTAACCCATCCCGTGAGACCTGACCACTCCCTCAGTATTCCTCAATCTCACCACTCCTTCTCAACCCTAGCCATCTTCTCTTTCAGCTCCCTCGCTTTCGCCTCTGCTGCATGCAATCTTCGCTCCTCCTCCTCCCTTATCCCCTATAGTGTGATATAAGTCTCACCTCTTCTCGAATCTCACCTCTCTTTCTCAACCGTTGCCATCTTCTCCTTCAGCTCCCTCGCCTCTGCCTCTGCTGCCTGCAACCTTTGCTCCTTCTCCTCCCGTTGCTTGCGCACAGCATCCATCTCCTCTTCCTGCAGGTATCATACGAACAGAGGAGGCAATTGAAGGCATAACAAAATGAGGCGTAAAAGACAGCAGCAGAAGGCGCGAGAGAAAACGCCCACTTGAGGTGCAGTGCACTAGTTAAGCATTGTACTTCAAGGAGAAGATAACTCGAGCTCAGCAAAGCATCAAGGGGACTGCACTAGCAAAGCATCCTACCTTGAACATGAGCTCAGCTGTGAGTCGCTCGATCTCAAGGTCTTTGACATCCATCTGGAAATGGCAAACGATTAAAATGAGAATTTGGAAGAGACAGGCGACATGACGTGAAGATTGGGAAAAGCATAAGAAAGCAAGTGAAAACCAAAAGAACCAAAGGGGCACAAGGACAAAAAGGCAAACGTGGGCTTGAATATGGAAAGCGAGTGAGCTCTGCTCTTCAAACCTGGGGCTTTTCTTGACCTGGAACAGCGGCAGCAGCTTCAGAATCTCGCTGGTGAAGGTGCCCCAGCTGTTCCTCTGCCTGCGCGAACCGAACAAGGGAAGTGAGCAGAAAGTAAAACAGCACCTTCTAATCTAGAAGCAACAAGAAAACAGTCGTCAGAGCAACCCCTAAGATGCATTACACAATGAAACAGCATCCACAGAAGTACGACCTTCCTCGTCTAGTTTTGAGGCGCCTCAAAACCAGCATCCACAGAAGTAAGACCTTCCTCGTCTAGTTTCGAGGCGCCTCAAAACCAGCATCCACAGAAGTAAGACCTTCCTCGTCTAGTTTTGAGGCGCCTCAAAACCAGCATCCACAGAAGTAAGACCTTCCTCGTCTAGTTTTGAGGCGCCTCAACACCAGCATCCGCAGAAGTAAGACCATCCTCGTCTAGTTTTGAGGCGCCTCAAAACCAGCATCCACAGAAGTAGGACCTTCCTCGTCAACCTCTCCTCCAATAGCCAAGACACGGCTCCAAGAAGCTGTTCCTTGCTTACCCGACCCATGACACTGCTCTCACCTCTCACAGCTCGGCTAACAGATCCTCCATTGCTTCGTCCTTCTCTCTCGGCCTCTCCCTCAGACACCTCGCAGCTACCTGTTACCACCATCTTGCTCACCTCTCGCAGCCTTGCCAGCAAATCCTCCATCGCTTCGTCCTTCTCTCTCAGCCTCTCCCTCAGAGTCCTTGCCGCCTCCCCCTCCCCACCTTCATCCCCATGGCACTGTTCACTCCGGTTCTCTCCGCCTTGGTACTGTTCACCCATGCCTTGGCCGCCCTGAAACTGTGCACCTCGGTACGGTTGATTCATCTGCGGCTCCTGGAAGGCCGGCTTGAGGTCTGGCTCCTTCCTCTTCTCGAGATTTCCGTTGGCATGGCTACTCCCTGGCTCCTGGAAGTTCCTCTCTTGGTAACCAGCAACATTATGGGGGGCGGGACGAGGAGCAAGAGTGGCAGCAGCAGCAGGAGCACCAGGGGGAGGGATAGCCGAGGCCGGCAGGGGCGAAGGAGGCGTTGGTGGGGGGACAGGAGCGGCTGATGCGACAGTGGCAGGAGGAGGTGCGATGGGGGATGCAGCGAAGCCTGCTGCTGGGAAAAGGGCACCGAACCTGTGATCGCCCTTTGCTCGTCCGTAGATGGCTGGTGGTGGAGCTGGAGGGTTGGTCCGAGCCAGTGAAGCAGGCCTGGAAGGTGCAGCTCCGGAAGACAGGCTCGGCTGTGGGCCAGGGAGGGAGTGTGTAGCTGGCAGGCCTTGATTACGATTCCCAAAAGCAGGAGCATGCCGTTGCATCATCGGTAGCTGCTGCTTCCGCTCCTGATGCTGCTGCTGCTGCTGAAATTGCAAGGGTTGCTGCTGCTTTTGATCCTGATGATAGGGCTGAACGTTGTGGTGTTGCTGCTGATACGGCTGCGCCTGATGATGCTGTTGCTGATGCTGGTTCTGTTGCCAATGTTGTTGCTGCTGATTCTGTTGCTGCTGCTGTGGATACTGGTTCCGTTGCTGCTGTTGAGGATGCTGATTCTGCTGCGGCTGCTGCTGCTGCTGGTTCTGTTGCTGCTGTTGCAGATGCTGCTGATTCTGCTGCGCCAGTGGTAGATGTTGATTCCATGCCTGCTGCTGCTGCTGCTGCTGATGATGATGCTGCTGCTGATTGCCATCCTTAGCGGCCTTTTCCTCCTCGACCTTCGTCAAGAGCTCCAACGCCTCCGCCATGAGAGCAGGATCCCAGTCATCGTCGTCTCCCAGCATCTTGAGTTGAAGGAACAAATCCGTTAACTATTTCGTAGTGGAAGATCTAAACGAAACTTAGAGAAGCGTCAGACGACGAAAACCATGAATCCGAAGAAATGTCAACAGCCGACGTGAAAATTGTAATGAGGAAATCGGATAAGTCAATCCTGGACAGATGATTTGTCACTGAACGCCGGCGTCAGAAACCGACGACAATGAGACGCTTTAAACGCTGAAGAAAGCAAGGAACAGAAGTAGGATGAAAGGAAGGTTGACGAGTACTACGCGTGTTCGAAGGGAGGCGTGATGATGACAGAAACCTGTCTGGTTAGGTCTGGTTGGGCGGGATTTGCGTGGCTTGTCACTGACGCCAACCTGAGCATTTCAAATAGAGCTCCACGCAGGATCCGTTCTGCCCAACCGAGTTGCAGATTTCTGAAAGAAAAGTGCTTCAAAATGTGGGAGGAAAAACTATCCCCTGATTGGTTCACTTCTCTGAAAGTGGCCTAGGGGTTGCGTGTTAGAGACCTTTGGCGGCCTTCGGATTGGTGCCTCGACGTTGCTTATCTCCTTTGTAAGAAATAACGTTAACATGTGTGACCTCGTAATTTCTTCGTCCCTTAATGTATTTTGGTTCGTAATACTTTCAAGAGCTGTTTTGCAACACTTTCGGCGGGAACTGACTGCCACGGAGCCTGGGCTGAACGAACTGCCACGAGGCGCCAGGGGCCTGCTCGGCCAGGCAAAAGTTTTCGCCCTACGCCTTCGTTAGGGGAATTGCTGACAGAGCATGGTGGCATGGTAACTTGATCGCGATCGCAGAACAAGCAAGAGCTCTACTGTACATGCTTCTGCCGGATCTGCAGTCACTAACTAGCTGCTGGTATTCGGAGGGGTGCAGGGGGCAGCCATGGAAACCAGAAGCTGGGAGTCATTGCGCTTCGCTTCACCAGTTTCCCAGGTCACCCTGTGAGCTCCTGCACCTATCTTGTCTCAGGATTCAGCCTCCCAGTGTCGTAGTTTCTTCACCAAGATCGCTGGATTCTTTCAATCGTTAGCCCTTCTTCGACTGGATGTGCTCAGGGTTCCGGGATGTCTCGCACACGCATTGACGATCTGTCAGACGAGCTTCTAGTTAGAATCTTATGGCACAACAAGCAACCAACGTCTCGCCAACTTGACAGCGACGCTCTGTGGGAATCCTCTGCTTCCAAGCCGAAATACTTCACTACGAAACGATATGCTGAGGACTTTTTGCCGAACCGCGATGGTCCTTTACCGACGCCTCCCGCCTCTGCAGACGCCGCGGTCAATCTCCTCGTCGCATCAGTCTGCCGTCGCTGGCGTCATCTCGCTCGGCGTTACGTCTCTACGCTCCTTATCAAAGACGAACTTATGGTTTCTCGCCTGGACATTTCCAACGCTATCACCTGCTTCCCGAACCTCACTCATCTAGAAATCTGCCTCGCCGGTGGGGAGACGTTTGACGACGCGTTTCTGAAACATCTCGCCTCATCGTGTCCCAAGCTAACGATTCTTAACCTGACATGCGAAACATCGCGATTGATGGCCGAGAACAGGATTGACTTGTTCCCGATAACTGAAGCTGGTCTGGATCAGTTTTTCCGTCAGTGCACTCAACTCGAGCAGCTTCAACTCTTCTGCCTCCACGAGAAAAGCCAGTTACCTGCTTCCTTTTTCCGACAGAAGCGTCTGCACACGCTTGCTCTACATTTCGGTGGCCCGCTACTAGCTCCGGCTCTTGAAAACCTTTCTTCCCTCACTGTACTCGAGATTGCCAGTGCGGCAGTGGAATATCAGGATCCCACCAGCCTCACGAAACTGTTTCAATTAACCAGCCTTTCAATCTCCAATGCCTACTGTCGTTCCGACGATTCCCCCCACGAACGCTTCTCCATCGCCCAGCTTCCTTTCCTGAAGAAGCTGACATGCTTCAGCTCCAGCCCCGCATTCGACCTGCTGTTTCCGTCCGGTTCGCCATGCACCAGTCTCGAACGGCTACTGATCACCGACTGCAGAGAACTCGAGCGCTTTCCTCAAGACATTGCCGATCTGCTGCCGTCTCTCCGCGAGTTGAGTCTAGACTGGTGCCCTACAATAGCAGAGCTGCCTGAAGCGTTTCTCTCCCTAAGTCGCCTGGATTGCTTGAAGATTACCAGCTGTGAGAACCTTTCCAGCCTGCCAAGAAACTTTGGACGGCTGCCCGCTCTCAAATCTTTGGTGCTGGAGGATCTTTTTCTCTCGGACCTTCCTGACTCCCTGTGTCATCTCTCGTCGCTGGAGACGCTGTTTCTGATTGGTTGCCGCGAGATTCGCCAGCTGCCGCCAGGGTTTTGCTACCTCACAGCTCTCAAGACTCTCTGCCTCGTGGAACTGCTGCAAATTGTGCTTCCAGCGAGTATAGGAGCGCTCTGCAATCTCCATACCTTTTGCTTGAAGGGAAGTCAGGAGCAGCAGCAGCTTCCGTCCTCCTTCCCCCGGCTATCTTCCCTGACGCGGCTGGAGATTAATACCTGCTCGCTTGTTAAGCTTCCTGAGGAGATGGGGGAGCTCAGCAACTTGCGGGAATTGCACATCAATGCCTGCCCTATTGAGGAGCTTCCGGAGTCGTTAACAGTCATGGCTGGACTTGAAATCCTGATGGTCAACGGCTGCAAGCGGCTACGTGCAGTACCATCCAGGATGGACGTTTTTGGGAGGCTTAGAGTGCTGGAGTTCGTGGGGTGTGAGCTGCTGGGGGAATTGCCCGAACTCCTGCCACGCTCCCTTGAGATCTTTGATCTAGGGAATTTCAGCCGGGTCACGCCCCTTCCGAACATCACGTTGCTGCCAAAGCTGAGGAAGTTGAAGCTGAGGAATGTTGAGGTTGTGTGGGGCATAACAGTCAGTAAGAACTTATCAAGCCTGGAGAATTTGCAGCTGGCATTGGCAGGCGACTTCAACGAGCTTCCATTACCGCTGGCCCCCCTCTCCCAGCTGCGTACCCTGACAATCAGGAGCGCTTTGAAGGTTGAAGCTCTTCCGAGTTTCGGCTCGATGCTGATGCAGCTGCGGAAGCTGTGCATCCATGATGTGGGGGAGTTGAAGGAGCTGCCAGCAAGTATCGTAGAGCTTCCTCGCTTGACGTTCCTGGGGGTTCACGCTCCAAAGCTGGCTTCGCTTCCCGCGGAGCTCGGTGCCTTGTCCAGGTTGCGAGAGCTGGACTTGTCTGAATGCTCCTCCCTGCAGTATCTGCCGGCTTCTCTGACCCAACTCGCTCGCCTTTGCAGCCTGAATGTAAAAAACAGCCTCATTCGCTCGCTCCCGGCTGGCTTTGTGCGGTTAACCAGGCTCAGTTCGCTTGACCTGCAGGGCTGTGCGCACCTGGAGGCTCTGCCTGAGGATTTGACAGAGCTCAAACTGCTGTGGTGCTTGAATGTGACGGGGTGTGAGAAAGTTTTTGACGATGAAGGGTTTGTGCTCCCCTGTAGCATCCACGAGATAAATGGTTTAGAACTGTGTAAGTAGTTCTATAATTGGCCAGCATGCTCGTACCGGTATCATAGTTAACCTAGGCCGCCCAAGTGGCTTGTTTTACCGTTACTCCATTTTGTGCCGTGATAGCACAAAAACTTGTGGATTCCTGTGATCCAATTTTTCAGGGGAGTGCAGCATCACAGGCTGCAGAACCCGCATCAACCATAAGCCCATAAGAAATCACGAAATTGTGATCATGATTGAATGTTGGTTAGTGGGTTTTGCAGCTGAACAAGCGTGGCTGTTTCTCTCTCTCGAAGAATTTCTCTCGAAGAATTTCTCTCGAAGAGTTTCTCACAAAGAATTCTTACCTGGCTGTTTCCTCCGTGGGGTTCCCCCAAGGATTCACACAGCCAAAGCTACTCTCCCTGACTCATGGCGACCGTTACTCTTCCTCCTTGGACCTCCATAGGTTCTAGGAAGGTCCTTAATTACGTATCACGCAGTCAGATTTCGGGCCGCGTTATACGCAGTTTCACTTTCACCCGATTTGGCGTTCAAAAGAGCATCCAGAATGCAGCCTACCAAGGATCAGGCCAGGCTATGCCTGATAACGCGTCGAGCAGGAGGTTTTCGTACAGCGGATTGTCACGCAGGAGCGTGTCGCACAGGGCCCCGTCGCATAGCTTGTCGCATAGGGGTGTGTCGCACAGATGGTTGTCGCGCGGAGGTCTCTACGACCAGTCTGTGCGAGCCGCATCAGCGAGGAGCCAATCAGCGACAGCAGCAGCTGCGACGAACTTTCCCCTACTATCAGAAGCCGAGCCGCCAGTAGAACGAGCTTTAGACCGCGCACCGGTGTATCTTAAAGACATGAGCTACGAGCAACTAGAGGTGAGTCCGATCAGGAAGACAACGAAGGACGAAATTTTGAGGCGCCTCAAAAATAGGACTAAAGGGACCTGCTGATTTGGCAGGTATGGATCTTTGGTACCTGGTGCCTTTTGCCGTATCAGCTCCTCGGTAGTCCTGCTAAGTCCTTCTGACCTGGTTGATCATTATTCCATGCACGCGCTTTTCCTGTGTGCATGCATCTGTATGTGTGTGCTTGTATATGTGTGCTTGTATGCGTGTGCTTGTATGTGTGTGCTTGTATGCGTGTGCTTGTATGTGTGTGCTTGTATGTGTGTGCTTGTATGTGTGTGCTTGCATGTGTGTGCTTGCATGTGTGTGCTTGTATGTGTGTGCTTGTATGTGTGTGCTTGTATGCGTGTGCTTGTATGCGTGTGCTTGTATGTGTGTGCTTGTATGTGTGTGCTTGTATGTGTGTGCTTGTATGTGTGTGCTTGTATGTGTGTGCTTGTATGTGTGTGCTTGTATGTGTGTGCTTGTATGTGTGTGACTGCGTGTTTGTGCCTGCTTGCGCGTGCCTGTGTGTTTGTGGGAGGAATGGGTGTAGATGCTTGGGTGTGTGCGTGCGAGGGAGGAGGGGAGGGGGAGAGTGGAATGGGGAGGAGTGGGTGGGTCGGTGTCCGGATTGGAGTGGCTATCTCTTAACGGGTATGATTGTATCGCAGGATTGGGTGGCAGCAGAGTGCGGGGAGGAGCACAGGAGACGGGCCAAGGTCCTGTGGAAGTGGCTGTATCGAGATGGCCACTGGGCTGAGAGCGCAGATGACATGGCAGGTGAGGCTGATGACGTGGCGTGACACATGTAGTTGATGATGTGGCATGCGTAATTGCTGCCTCTCTCCTCCCTCCTTCCATCCATACATTTCGCCACCCTCCCTCGCCCCCCCTCACCCTCCCCCTCATCATCAGCCCCTCACCTACCCCCTCCCCTACACAGCATCGCCCTCCCCTCCCCCCTCCCCCCCCCTTCTCTCCTCTTCTGTCTGCAGGAATGGGCACCTTTCTTCCTCACCTCGCTTCCTTGGGTGCTCGTTCCTCTCTCCTCCCTCGGTTTATCCTTTCGCCACGTCACTCCCGACACCCTACACCCTACACCCGACACCCTACACCCGACACCCTACACCCGACACCCTACACCCTACACCCTACACCCTCGCGTCCTTATTCCCTACACCCTTCTTGCCTGCAGGAATAAGCCGCTCCTTCCTCTCTCTCCTCGCCTCCTCGGGTGCTCGCTTCTCCTCCTTACGACTCCACTCCGTTCGAACAGCAGCCGATGGCACAAAGAAGGTAACTCACCCCGGCACACAACACATAACCGACACTACCCACTTCCTTTCCCTCTCTCCGTTCGCACCTCGTAATTCCTTGCTTCTTTACCAGATGACTGGGAGTGTGTTGTCAACCTGCCCTGTCGTCATTACCAGATGACTGAGAGTCGTGGGAATGCTGCTTTTCATACCAAGCATATACTTTTTTCAGTACACCCATCCACACTGACCTTGTTTAACCCCTTGATAACCATCCATCAGGTGGTATTTTTGAGGCGCCTCAAAAATAGACTCCTTTTGAGGCGCCTCAAAAATAGACTCCTTTTGAGGCGCCTCAAAAATAGACTCCTCAGTCGACCCATCCACACTGACCTTGTTTAACCCCTTAACCTGATAACCATCCATCAGGTGCTGTTTTTGAGCTGAATCGCGATGCCGACTTGCGTCGTTCCGACCGCCCGTGGCGACTGGGAGTGGTAGAAGGTGTTGTGTGACATTGTAACGAGGTGACTTTTGAGTCGACTCAAAAGTCACCTCGACTGGGAGTGGTAGAAGGTTGGGTTTGAGACGTCTCAAAACCAACCTTATATGACTTGCCTCGTTCCGACCGCCCGTGGCGACTGGGAGTGGTAGAGACTGTGCGCATACCGCACACACCTTGCCTCGAAATCACCTTGTCTCTCACAAACCATCACTACTTCCAAACCCCCACACGCCCCTTGTCATGTACTGTTTGAGCTGCTGCGAGATGCTGCGAGGTGCTGACGTACCTCTCTCTGACTGCCTGCGATGACTAGGTGTGGTGGTAACGGTGCTCGTACCGCACACACCTTGCCTCGCACTCAGGCTTCATCTCTCACAAACCGTCATTACTCCCAAGCTTTTGAGTCGACTCAAAAGCATACTGCACACACCTTGCCTTGCACGCAGGCCTCATCTCTCACAAACCGTCACTACTCCCAAGCCCCCCCCAACTCCCTTCGTCAGGTGCTGTTTGAGCTGAGCCGCGATGCCAACTTGCCTCTTTCCGATCGCCCTTGGAGAGTGGGAGTGGTGGAGACTGTGCTCACACTGCACCGACGTCGTCGAGCACAAACCATCACTACTCACCCCGCCCCTCGTCAGGTGCTGTTTGAGCTGAGCCGTGATGCTGACATGCCTCTCTCTGACCGCCCGAGGCGACTGGGAGTGGTGGAGACGGTGCTCATCCCCCACAGACCAGGGAGGGGAGGGGGTGGGGAGGAGGAGGGGGAGGAGGGGGAGGAGGGAAGCAGTAGTGGAGACGAGGCAGAGGGGGGTGCTATGAGCAGGAGTGGGGTCAGTGGGGTCAGTGGGGTCAGTGGGGTCAGTGGGGAACATGGCAGCCGCAGCAGCAGCAGCAGCAGCAGCAGCAGCAGCAGGAGCAAGGGGGGTCGGAACACTGTGTGCGTGTCAACGCAGCTTGGGTGTGCCATGGGGTGCCAGTTCTGCTTCACTGCCAAGTGAGCATCGTTCTTCCGTGTATGCATGCATGCGTACATGAGTATACGTGCTCCCATAAAGGGGGTCCGAAGTTAGCATGTCCGTAGTCTGTAGGGTCAAAGTGCTGCACTCTGTCGGTTCGGCTTCACTCCAAGGTGAGGTGGGCTTGCTCTGTCATGCACACATGCCCGCACAGCAGGAGTGATATTGCGCTGCATCAAGTTATTCAGTTTTTTGTAAAGAGATTGCATCGCATCATACCATCCCCTTGTCCTTTCGAGTGAACACCACTTAGGTGGCATGGTATTTTACGTGGCAGCAAGCAACTTGTGACGAAGTGACTTTTGGGTCGACTCAAAAGTTTTTTGTAAGGAGATTGCATCTCCTCACACCATCCCATTGTCCTTCCTTCCTGCCCCGTGTCATCTCAGCTCAACACTCGTCCCTTCCAGATGGCTCAAACCGAAACTCATACACCATGTCATCTCCCTTTGCCATCCCATTGTCCATTCTTCCTGCACCGTGTCATCTCATCTCAACACTCATCTCATCTCATTTTGAGGCGCCTCAATCAAAACTCATCTCAACACTCATCTCTTCCCTACAGAATGGGTCTCCAGCGCAACCTCACAGCAGGGGAGATTGTGGATCAGGTGGTTCAAATTCGCCGGCTCTTTGCAGATGAAGTCGGCCCCGTGACCAACGTTGTATTTATGGTGGGTGGGTGGGTGCTGCTACAGCTGTTCCACGTTGTTTCACTTACCATGGTGGCCGGGTGCTGCTACAGCCGTGTCACCACCAACGCTATTTTCATGCCAGTAAAGGTCCTTGTCTCTATCCGACCTACAGGATGCATGGTAATGGTGCATAGTCGGCTTTTTGGTGGGTGGTGGGTGGTGAGTGGTGGGTGGGTGGGTGCTGTTTCCCCACCCAGGATCGTCGTCTCTATCCGACCTACATGATGCGTGATAATGGTTGTTCATAGTCGGGCTTTTTACAGACGAAGTTGGCCCCGTGACCAACGTTGTATTCATGGTGGGTGGGTGGGTGGTGTTACCGTTGTCACTGTCAAGCCTGTTATCCCCATGCTGCCCACATGGTGCACGCTTTTCGGGTCGGTTTTTTACCCATGAAGTCAGCCCTGCGACCAACGGTGTATTCATGGTGGGTGGGTGGGTGCTGTTTCCCAACCCAAGGTGACTTTTGAGTCGACTCAAAAGTCACCTCATGGTGGGTGGGTGGGTGGGTGCTGTTTCCCAACCCAAGGACTTTGTCTCTCTGCTGCCACATGGGCATGCTTTAACGGCCGGCCCCAAGACTCATGTCTCTACAGCTGTGTCAGTCAATGCTGTTGACCCCCCAAGACTAGTTTTGAGGCGCCTCAAAACTAGGCCCCCCATGACGGGTGCTGTTCTTTTGTTGCGCACTTGCCGCCCTCTAGGCCCACTTGGCGCCAACTTCCCAAGTCCGCCAACTTCCCACTCGGCGCCCTCTAAACCCACTTGGGCGCCCTCTGCACTTTCAGGCTTATCTCTCTGCACCCGACAGGGCATGGGCACGCCTACGTATGAGGCGCCCATAACATAGGCTCTCTCTTCATCGCATCTCGAAACCCCATATCCCATTCTGCCCGCCGTCACTACAGGGCATAGTTTTAAGGCGCCTCAAAACTCGCACCCCCCCATATCCCACCCCACCTGCCCTCTCTGCAGGGCATGACCAAGCCTGTGGACTACGTCCCATCAGTCCTCAATGCCTGCACCACTCTCCATCAGTTCCACGCTGCAGCCCTTCCTCCAATGAGTGACGATCCCTGGGATCTCACTTACGTGCCTGCATGCATCCACCACTCTCCTCGACCCCCTGGGCGCGCACTGCTCTCCAGCTCACACACCCCCTGGGCATAGTTTTGAGGGGCCTCAAAAGCCCGCCGTCACTACAGGGCATAGTTTTGAGGCGCCTCAAAAGCCCGCCGTCACTACAGGGCATAGTTTTGAGGCGCCTCAAAACTCGCACCCCCCCATATCCCACCCCACCTGCCCTCTCTGCAGGGCATGAGCAAGCCTGTGGACTACCTCCCATCAGTCCTCAATGCCTGCACCACTCTCCTAGAACCGCTGCATGCGCAGAACAGAAGTTCCACGCTGCAGCCCTTCCTCCAATAAGTGACGATCCCTGGGATCTCACTTACGTGCCTGCATGCATGCACCACTCTCCTCGACCCCCTGGGCGCGCACTGCTCTCCAGCTCACTAACCCTTTCGCTCCTTCTTTCTTTCTTTCTTCCCTCCCTTCCCTCCCTCCCAGGGCATGGGCGAGCCACTTCACAACCTCCCATCCGTCCTCACAGCATGCACCACTCTTCTCGACCCCCTGGGCGCGCACTGCTCTCCAGCTCGCACCACCGTGTCCACCTGCGGCCTTGTTCCGGAGATGGTGGAGTTCTCCCGGCACACAGACGCCAGCCTTGCGCTCAGCCTGCATGCAACCACCGATGAGGTATGAGCCCTCTTTCACTCCCTTACAACCACTCCTGCTCTTACCACCGTGTCCACCTGCGGCCTTGTTCTCGAAATGGCCGAGTTTTCCCAGCAGACGGATGGTAATCTTGTGCTCAGCCTGCATGCAACAACAGATGAGGTACGCGCTCCTCGTCATCCTTAGACAAAACCACTCCTGCTCCCAGTGTAGATGTCAGCCTACATGCGACCACTGATGAGGTACCTCATGAGCATTGTTTAAAAAAAACGCTACTTCACCCACTGCTGCCCTTCTACTATGAGCCTATAGAAGACATGCGAAGGCGCATGGAAGGCATATGAGCGAAGTCAGCCTAGATTTCAGCCTATGCACCACCGGTGATGAGGTACCTCATGCGCATTCTCCGTCCTCTGGGCACGCACTGCTGCCCTTCTACTATGAGCGAAGTCAGCCTAGATTTCAGCCTATGCACCACCGGTGATGAGGTACCTCATGCGCATTCTCCGTCCTCTGGGCACGCACTGCTGCCCTTCTACTATGAGCGAAGTCAGCCTAGATTTCAGCCTATGCACCACCGGTGATGAGGTACCTCATGCGCATTCTCCGTCCTCTGGGCACGCACTGCTGCCCTTCTACTATGAGCGAAGTCAGCCTAGATTTCAGCCTACGTGCCTCCAGTGATGAGGTACCTCATGAACATTTTTCATCCTCTGGGCACGCGCTGCTCTCCTGCTCGCAAAACTGTCGCCACCTGTGGTCTCGTTCCCGAGATGGTTGAGTTTTCCTAGTGCTCTGATGCTAGCCTTGCTCTTATATGAGGTATGGACGTGCTACCGTTTAGGCTTTCGGAGTGATCCACAGAGGGTACCTCAAATATGTTGTCCCTTCCGCCCCTCGTCTTACCATTCCCCCTGCCAGTTGTGCAGCAGCATCTTGCCTATTAACAAGAAGCACAACATCAAGAGAGCCTATTTTCCTTCCCTGACAAAGTACTTCTCTGCTGTCTCCATGTCTCTCTGCTCCTCTCTTTCCTGTCGGCAAGAAGCACAATATCAAGAGCCTCTTTTCCTGTTTTACACAGCTTTTTCTTCCCTTCCCTCCCACCTCCCGCCATCAGGTGCGCAGCAGCATCATGCCTATCAATATCAACAAGAAGCACAACATCCAGAGCCTCCTTTCCTGCTTGAGACAGCCGTTTGTTTTCCTTACCTTCATCTTCCCTTCCCTCAATCCTCTCCCTCTCGCCCCCTCCCGTGCCCTCATTACCCCCATCAGGTGCGCGACAGAATCATGCCTATCAACAAGAAGCACGACATCAAGTCCCTATTTTCCTGCCTTTCTGACCTCTTCCCCAACCCAGTGGTGCCGAGAGTGGGAAGGGGAGAGGAGGAAGTAGGGAGAAGAGAGGAGGATAGAGCAGCGGAGGGAGAAATGGGAGAGGTTGGGGGAAGCGGAGAGGGGCATACCAGTACTACTACCCTGCAGCAGTCAAGAAAACGCCACGTGTTTATTGAATATCTGATGCTGGATGGCGTCAACGACAGGTAACTAACCCTTGAGCTCAATACAGGTCGGTGTGAACTCGAGCTTGAACGTGCAGCCTGCAGCAGTCAAGAAAACGCCATGTGTTCATCGAGTACCTGATGCTCGACGGCGTCAACGACAGGTGAGCTTTGAACCCGCACGAAGAACACATCAAATGACTTAAGCTTGGGCCTTGAGGTCTGAGCATGCAGCCATGCTGCAGTCAAGGAAGCGCCATGTGTTCAACGAGCATTTGATGCTGGATGGTGTCAAGTCAACGACAGGTGAGAATTGAGCTTTTATTGTGAACCTCAGAACAGGCCTGGAAGATGAACCTTGGAGCATGAGCATACAGCTTGCAGCAGTCAGGGAAGCGCTACTTGTTTATAGAGCACCTGATGCTGGATGGATGGTATCAATCAATGACAGGTATGCACTTACCTGAATCCCACTGTGTGCCCATCCTGTGTTTGTCAGTGATGGTTGATAAGAAGTGCCATGTGTTTATCGAGCACCTGATGCTGGATGGTGTCAACGACAGGTGCTCCGCTAGCCCTAGCACGCAAGACGAACGCGGTTGTGCTCTGTTCTCCCCAACTATGCACCTTGCTCGTCCTCTCCCCTCGTTTTGAGGCGCCTCAAAAATAGACTCCTAGCACGCAAGACGAACGCGGTTGTGCTCTGTTCTCCCCAACTATGCACCCTGCTCGTCCACTCCCCTCTGCCATCTCTCCGCTCTCCCTTCCACCAGTTTGGAGGATGCACAGTGCCTAGTGGTTTAAACAGCAGGCATGGCCTGCAAGATCAACCGGAGAGTATTGAACTCGCACCCAGGGACAGCACTGCAGTCGTCGGCTCGTCGCCCCTCTCTCGCCCCTCTCTGCCCCTCTCCACCCCTCTCCGCCCCTCTCCGCCCCTCTCCGCCCCTCTCCGCCCCTCTCCGCCCCTCTCACTCCCCCTCTCTCCTTCTCTTCCCTGCTATCCCTACAGCTTGGACGATGCACTGTGTCTCCTAAAACTTACTGTTGGCATCACATGCAGGAATCAGGATCAACCTGATAGTGTTCAAAACTTCCCGGGTGCCAGCGATAGTGTTCAACCCGCACCCGGGAACAGCCCTGCAGCCGCCTTCTCCCCTCTTCACTCCCCTCTTCACTCCCCTCTTTCTCTTGCCCTTTTCCCCCTGGTATCCCTGCAGCTTGGAGGATGCACTGCCTTTTGAGTCGACTCAAAATTCATCTTATCCCGACAGCTTGGAGGATGCAATGCGACTTGTAAAATTCACCGCAGGCATCGCCTGCAAGATCAACCAGATAGTGTTCAACCTTTCCGGGAACAGCCCTGCGCATGTCATGCCCTCACCTCCCTTCCCTGCCCCTTTCTCCCTCCCCTCTCCTCCAGTTTGGAGGACGCACAGCGCCTAGTGACCCTAACAGCAGGCATCGCATGCAAAATCAACCTCATAGTATTCAACCCGCACCCGGGAACAGCCCTGCAGCCGACGCCCCTTCCCCAGGTGCTAGCGTTCCAAGACGTGCTGGTGAAAGGCGGCAGGAAGGCTTATCTGAGGCATAGTAGGGGCGACGATGAGATGGCGGCGTGCGGACAGTTGGGGCAGGTGCCCAGGCTTACAGAGAAGAACAGAGCAGCAGCTGTGGTGTAGAGCTAGCAGCAGCAGGATCTGTGGCGGTTTGGATGCAACAACACTCGGTGCTTTCCAGGATGTGCTGGTGAAGGGCGGCAGGAAGGCTAACCTCAGGCACAGCAGGGGAGACGATGAGATGGCGGCATGTGGACAGCTGGGGCAGGTGCCCAGGCTCACAGAGAAGAACAAAGCGGCAGCTGTAGCGTAGCACGAGCAGAGGCCTTTGCCCCTCCCTGGGGTGCTTTTGAGAGTGTGCTGGTGAAAGGCGGCAGGAAGGCTTATCTGGGGTATAGCAGGGGCGATGATGAAATGGCAGCGTGTGGGCAGTTGGGGCAGGTGCCCAGGCTTACACAAGGCTGCAGCTGTAGCGTAGCACGAGCAGCAGCTGCAGCAGCAGCAGCAGCAGCAGCAGGAGGAGGAAGAGAAGGATTTGTAGGAGTAGAAATACAAGCTTCGTGCATTCCACGACGCGCTGGTGAAAGGCGTCAGGAAGGCTTATCTGAGGTACTTGGTTGGGATTCGCAAGGTGTTTAGTCTCGGCAAGAGTTCTCTCGGCTGAATTCAGCCCAATACTTGGCATGGTGTTTAGTTCAACGCACAACCAAATGTGTATCATGCCATGCCATGCCGTGCCACAGCCATGCCATGCCGTGCCACTGCCATGCCATGCCATGGCAGGCTCCATTTGTGCGTTTCTGCTGCTGCTTGTGGATGAAGGATATTGGATTGAGCGCAAGCAGAATAACGGATTACCGGTATCAAGCTGAAATGTCACAAGAACAAAGGCAGAACAGCCAGCTAGCCAGCAGCAGTCAACAGCTAGCAGCAGGCATACAGGCGTCTTGGGTTTTGAAGTTAGGAATCAAATTGCAGCGCAAGCATAAGCAGCATCACCAATCAAATGCGCCCCCTTGGGCTCGACTTTCCCCACCCCCCCGTGTCCTCCCTCCTCTCTCACCATCTCCCCCCCTTTCCTCATCCCACAACTCTCCTCCCATCTCCCTTCGCTCCTCCCCTCAGCGCCCACCATATCCATCCACTGCTTCCCCGTCTTCTCCTGCCCTATGACCTGGTCCAGCCCACACGGCTCCGCCTCAACCGCAGCTTGCACGCATGGTGCCCCCCCGCCCACCTTACCCATCGCCTTCTTCCCCGTCTTCTCCTGCCCTAAGAACTGGTTCAGCCCAAACGGATCCGCCTCAACCGCCCTGAGTCCCTCTCCCTTCCCCCCTGCTTCTTCCCCTCCTCACTCCCCCCATTCACTCTCCCTCCTCCCTGGCTGCTTCCCCTCCTCTTTCCTCCCCATCCGCTCACCTTCCCCTCTCAAAATCGACCCGGTTCCTCGAGCTCCCCCCCTCGTACGCGTCGTAGCTGCCCCCCCCGCCGCTCGCGCGCATCGTCCCCCCAGCGCCCACCTTATCCATCGCCTTCTTGCCCGTCTTCACCTGCGTCAAAAACTGATCCAGCCCGAACGGATCCGCCTCAACCGCCGCATCCCGCTCGAATTCCACCGGCCCGTCCCTAGGCCCCGCGCCCCCGCCTCCGCCCGCGCCCCGTTCCGCCGCCCCCGCGAAGCCCTTATCCGGCTTGAACCGCTCCGTGCGCAGCAGCGCATCCACTCCGCCCTCCTCCCCCTGCGCGCCGCCCCTCCCCGCGTACACCTCCTCATCCACCCCCTTGCGCACCTTATACAGCCCGCTCGCGCCCTCACGATTAAACAGGCCCTTATCATAGATATTATACGTATCGTCCGCGGCAAAGCCGGACTCCATACCCTGCTCCTGGTTAAACAGCCGCTGGTCGTACATAATCTCCCCGCCGCCGCCGCCCGCTCCGACATTCGCCAACCCGAGCGCCATTTTCTCGCTGATGTCGCGGTCCCGGTCGCGCGTGAGCTTGCTCTTCTTTCCGCCGCCCGCGCCCTCCTTGGACTCCAGCCGCCGCTCCCGCTCCCGCTCCCTGCGCCGCTCCTCCCGAAGCTCCTCCCGCCGCATCCGCTCCTCCCGCTCCTCCCGCGTCTCCCCGCGCCGGGGCTCGTCCCCTTCCGCGCGCCCGTACCCCCCCTCCCCTCCGCCTGCAGCAGCCGCCTCGCGGGAAACCAGCGCGCCTGCGCCAGGACCTCCGCCTCCGCCTGCGCCGGTGCCTCCGCCTGCGCGCTCCATGCGCGCCTTCTGCGCGAGCAGGCGGAGCTCCTGCTCCTTCTTCTCCTTCTCCAGCAGCATCCGCTCGCGCTGGATCTTAGACCGCATCTCAACCTCCTCGCGCGCCTTATTCTCCGCCACGTATAGCGACTCGGACAGCCGCGCGAAGTTGTCGTTAATCTGCACCTCCTGAAGCCCGCGACCGTCGGCAGCCAGGCGCTTATCCAAGGGAATAGTGTACCCCTTGGGATTCTTCCAGTTGGAAATGCAGGGAGGAATCTTCCAATCCTGCTGGTCCTTAACCGTCACAGGCCGAGGCGGCGAGTGCATCACCGGAACAGGCGGGGAACCCGACGCTTTAGGGACACGCTTATGCTTGAACTTAGGCGGGTCTAGCGGATCTACCGGCATCTCGACCATACGGATAACCCGCTCCTTCGCGCCGGAGTTATGCGCCGAATTCTGCATCCCGGGAGTGTACTTAATATACTGCGGTGTCTTGGAAATCCCTGGGACGTTCTTCGGCTGCGCAGCGCTGAGGCGTGCCGTGACGATCTTATCAATGGCTGCCCTGGTTCGCTCCGCGGTTTCCTTAGCTTCGTCCTCGTCCTCCTCCTCCCTTAGCGCTTCGAGATCTTCGTCCTGGATCTTCGGGATAAGATCTTTGTGCTGGCTGTACACCACTTTCTGGGAATTCTCTCCGAGCTTCACGATAGCGTCGTACGCGATATTACCCTCCCCGTCTACAGTCACAGGAAGCACCTTGTTGGTAACCTTCTCCTGCTTGCGACCCATCTCGAGGGGATACTGCGCCACGTGGATCTCGGGAAACGCGCCGCCATCGCCGAAGTCCTCGACGCGTCGCGGAACGAAGCCTTGCCTCTTGCCGTACGGAGGAATCTGACGTTTAGGTACTATTTTACCGCCAGCTGCTGCTGGTGCTCCGGATTCCGCATCCTTATCCCGATTCGCGAACCAGGCGTCAGTAGAAGGGTCATAGACGCTCTTGTTCTTAGGCGCAGGGAGCTGGCTTAGGAACTTGAAAGCCGACGTGGACGCCATGGCTCAAGGTCTGCGAATACGCTTCCTCCACTGGCTGCGGAAGGCACGCAAGCCGCAAGAAGAAAAGCAATAAACGCTGCTTGAGAGCAAGACTGCAAAAACAGAAACAACCCTGTCCCTCCTCCTAGCGGCTCGACACACTAGACACCTTACGGAACGCCTCCCAACGTCGCCTCTTCTGCGGGTTTCGTGTGTTTGCCACTAGACTAGACTAGAGCCGAAATGAAAGAGGTGTGGAGAAAGAAAACTAGGGTTCCAACTTCCAAGCTCCAGCAAAGAAAAGAGATGCTGGAAAGTTGTGTTGGGTAAAGGGGGTTTGCTTTCTTGACCGTAGATGGGGTCGTGGTTGTCGTTAGGCGAGATCTGAACCGTGCGATCTTCCCAGTCCAACGTCGTTGGTTGTTGGGGGTTGGGTGGTGGCCGAGGAGAAAGAGGCTGGTTGCCTCGCTGACCTTACAATCGTCGATTTGCGACGATTTGACGAAAAGGGTAACGGTTCGTTCTCAACGGGTTACGGAAAATTCATCGCCCTAGAGGTTGTCGTCAGACCTGTGCCTCACCTGTCAGCAATCCCCGCCTCCAGCTCATCCCAAGGTCCGCTGGATGCTGCTGACATCCGCGCGGCGGAGAACTGACCAGCGGAAGTGAACAGCAGAAGCAACGCGGGATTCCCAAGGCTAGCGCACCCGTTTCTAGGTACAGTACTGGAGGCATCTCCCTCCTTTCCCCCTCCCCTTACCCCCCCGCCCTCCCCATTTCTCTCGCGGCCCCGTGTTCGTGCCTCACCATCACGCTCGATATTAGCACCACCACTTCCTGATTGTGCAGGAACAAATCTTCTACTCGGTTCGTCGCAAGAACCGAGCAATAACGAAGCTTACCGTCGGGGATTTATGTGAACCACGCAAATCTGTTGTTGGTTCTGAAACAGAAGGGAGCACTTCTGGGTATCAGAGAGATCAGCATTTCTGGTGGTATTATTGCTGGTTTCCTGAACAGAAATAGAGGAAACAGCATCCCGTGTCGCCTATTCCTCTTTAGAATAGGAGTTTCGGCTCAGTTGGCCCTTACCGGAAATTAGTATCACCGCCGTATCTCCCTCTTCCGCGAGTAGAATACAGAGGTAAACCTACGTCATCGCCATTCTCTGCCAGTATCTGAGATCTCCTGGGAATGATAGATGGTCATTCCAGATCCCATTCCTGCTTGTTCCATCGCGAATGCTTGTGAAATCCGATCAGTCTCGTCGATTACCAGCCTCGTTACCTACCTTTGAATCGCGCTTTCCTGATCTCTGATTCCGCTTGCCCCGGATATCCAGATGTCGAAGCCTTATTGGCTCGTGTCTCTGCCGCTGCATGGATCTAGGGAGAGCACGTGGGGAACGCTACAGGACAACATTAACAGATCTCTGTCCGACCTTCCTTTCTATAAGGTGGCCGACTCAAACTACCCCTATGTCACTGACCCTTTTCTCGACCTCTATCGGTGACATCAGCAGCACGTTGATCCTTTTCTCGACCCTTCAAAATGGGACGACTTTGATCATTAGCTTTCAGCGAATCAGAAATGTGTCGATCCAGCAGTTTTAGCTCGAACAGCAAGCCATGTTTCGGTTTTCCAAAACCAGTTCAGACGAACCCGGTATTCCGGACCTCAGCTATTTTCCGCGAGCTTCTGAGTCGACCCAGAAGGCGACTACTGCGATCAGATTGCCGAGTATCCTGCATCTACGGCTATTCGCATCCTGATCCGCACCCTCCCGTTATCTAATCTTACCTTCGTGACTCCGCCCTTCCGCGTCCTCATTGCATTCCCTTCTGTCTCGCTCCTGATCGGATGTGCCTGATGCGCTTCTCCCTCTGTCTTTCCCGCAGCTCTACGTCCCTGGTCTGCGCGTGGGCACGCTAGACTCTCTCCTTGCCCTCAGCGATGACCTCGTCAAGGTGAGTGGGTAGATACTTGAGACGCCTCGGAATGCGCTGCTCCCTCTCTGTGTATGTCTCGCCCTACGTCCCTAGTCTGCGCGTGGGCACTCTAGACTCTCTGCTTGCCCTCAGCGATGACCTCGTGAAGGTGGGTGGGTAGATCCTCATAATGCGGTGCTTCCTCTATCTCGCGCCGTACGGCAGCTTGACGTCCCTGGTCTGCGTGTCGGCACGCTAGTCTCTCTCCTTACCCTCAGCGATGACCTCGTCAAGGTGGGTGGGTTAGCTAGGCGCCTCAGAATGCGCTGCTCCCTCGTTCTGTAGCGCAGCTGCACGTCCCTGGTCTGCGTGTGGGCACGCTAGACTCTCTCCTTGCCCTCAGCGATGACCTTGTCAAGGTGGGTGGGAATACATTTGAGGCGCCTGAGAATGCGCTGCTCCTTGGTTCACTCTTCTGACTCTTCTCTCTCCCCTCCCCCTCCCCCACGGTGGTATTTTCTGAGGCGGATTACATTCGTTGACCGCACTGTACGTCGCTCCATATACGTATCACGGTCCTCCTTGTGCACATTTGTCGACTCCCCCGTTTTCGTGCTCGTTGCGTTGACTTCCAGGCAAGCGGCGGCAGATTGAGGAGCTCGACCGGGTGCAGGAGGCCTAACTGTTAGTATTTCGCCGAATGTTTCTCCCTGCTTTGTGTCTCAGGCAAGCGCGCACGTGGAGGGAGTGACGAACAAGACGTGGCGGCAGATGGAGGAACTCGACCGGGTGCAGATGCAATATTGTAAAATGTTTCTCGCTGCATGGCTTGGATTCGCAGGCTAGTGCGCACGTGGAGGGGGTGACGAACAAGATGCGGCGGCAGATTGAGGAGCTCGACCGGGTGCAGGGCACCAGTTCCGGCGCTCTCTCAGTCGACGGCGTCCCTGTCGATTCCTACATGACCAGGTGAGATGTGGCTCATGACCAGGTGAGGTGTGGCTCATGACCAGGTGAGGTGTGGCTCATGACCAGGTGAGGTGTGGCTCATGACCAGGTGGGATTGATAATTTGAAGCGTCTCTAGGGACTGGGTGCAGGGCTCCAATCCCGGTGCCCTCTCAGTCGACGGCGTCCCTGTCGATTCCTACATGACCAGACCAGGTGGGACTACTCGTCTCGAGACCAGGTTGTAATGGCATACCTGACTCGTGATCAGGTTAATCTCTTCTGTGACCTGGTGGGATCCCTTTGTTACCAGAGAAATTTCTCCCCTACCCTACCGGGTGCAAATGCTTAGCAATGGTGTGAAGTCTATGACTAGGTTGGATTTTGTGTTGTGGATTCCGTGAGGCGCGCTCTTGTTCCAACCGCCTTCCCGGCTCTTTTTTTCTTCTTCTGAAATTCCGCCTGGTTTGTGCTGATACAGCTTCCAGTGGGATGAAGCCAAGTACCCCTTGACCACTCCGCTACGGGAAATGGTGGAGTCGATCCAGGAGTCCGTCAGCAAGATAGAGGACGACCTCAAGGTGTGTAAGCCTGTTTAGGCTGGAACTTATAACGAGCATGAGCTGTAGAGAAGTACTTGCTGACCACGCCTCTAAGGGAAATGGTGGAGTCGATCCAGGATTTTGTTTGCAGGATATAGGACGACCTCAAGATTCGTTATGTTTGATTGAAATGTGAGAGCGTATGTCAGATCTTATAACGAGTATAAAGCGAACGAAGCCGAGTACCCAGTGACCACGCTGTTAAGGGGGAAGGTAAATTCGATTGCTTTTTCCTCCTGTCTGTTCGCCTCACACACCAGGTGCGGGCATCAGAGTGCACTGCTGTGCGCAGCCAGCTCTGTGCAATCAACTCTATTGAACAGTAACCATGTAACCACGCTTTTCCCTGACATCTTAGTGGAGTCTCTAGCGAACAAAGTGCTTATGTGTTCATGCCGCCCCCCCCACCCCCCCCCTCCGCTCCTCTCCCCCTCTCACCAGGTGCGGGCATAATCAGAGTACACTATTGTTCGCAGCCAGCTGAGTGCAATCAACTTAACTAAACAGCGAGCGACTCCCTCCCTTATGTGCCCTTACTATCCTCCCCCTCCCCCCCACCCCCCCCCGTATTACCCTCACCAGGTGCGGGCATCAGAGTACACTACTGTTCGCAGCCAGCTGAGTGCAATCAACCGCAAGGCTGGTGGCAGGTAACTCCTTCCCCTCTCCTCCCATGGCGTTACCCCTGGCTGGCAGAAAATCACATTCTTCACATGCGCTTGCCTTTCTGTCCCCAGCCCCAGTCATGTCAAGTTGCCCTTATCTTCCCATTCCCCGCTTGACTTTTGAGTCGACTCAAAAGTCATCTTTCTGTCCCCAGCCCCAGTCATGTCAAGTTGCCCTTATCTTCCCATTCCCCGCTTGACTTTTGAGTCGACTCAAAAGTCATCTTTCTGTCCCCAGCCCCAGTCATGTCAAGTTGCCCTTATCTTCCCATTCCCCGCTTGACTTTTGAGTCGACTCAAAAGTCATCTTTCTGTCCCCAGCCCCAGTCATGTCAAGTTGCCCTTATCTTCCCATTCCCCGCTTGACTTTTGAGTCGACTCAAAAGTCATCTTTCTGTCCCCAGCCCCAGTCATGTCAAGTTGCCCTTATCTTCCCATTCCCCGCTTGACTTTTGAGTCGACTCAAAAGTCATCTTTCTGTCCCCAGCCCCAGTCATGTCAAGTTGCCCTTATCTTCCCATTCCCCGCTTGACTTTTGAGTCGACTCAAAAGTCATCTTTCTGTCCCCAGCCCCAGTCATGTCAAGTTGCCCTTATCTTCCCATTCCCCGCTTGACTTTTGAGTCGACTCAAAAGTCATCTTTCTGTCCCCAGCCCCAGTCATGGCAAGTTACCCCTATCTTCCCATTCCCCCCCGCTTGATCTGTTGTGTAACTGTCACGACCCATGACCATTAATCCTATATCCTATCATCCTTGTATTGTACCTCTCCCCCCTGCTGAATGCTGGTGCGCAACCTCTCCATCATATTGCAAGGCAGTGGCATCATCGTATCGTATCAGAGCACATGACCACTCATTTCTGCTCGCACATGGCCATTCCCTTCCATAACCAACCCCCCCCCCCCCCCCCCCCCAATTGAAACTCGCAGCATGTTGGTTGCGACCTGTCCAGCATAGTCGAGGACAGCGACATCATCGTATCGGAGCACATGACCACTCCCTTTCTGTTCGCACCCCTTTCAACACCCGACTCCCGCACCCCTCATCTCATGCTTGCAGCATGCTAGTCCGCGACCTGTCCAGCATAGTCGAGGACAGCGACATCATCGTATCGGAGCACATGACCACGCTGCTGGTTGTGGTGGCCAAGTACTCCGAGAGGGAATGGCTCGCCTCGTACGAGACCCTCTCCACCTTCGTGGTACGTCTTAGGAATTCCATCAAGGCAAACCCTAGCCATTCTGCTCGTGGTGGTTTTTGAGGCGCCTCAACAAAGGAATTCGCTCAAGGCAAGCCCTAAGCCACTCTGCTCGTGGTGGTTCCCAATTACTCTGAGCGGGAGTGGCTCGCGTCATACGAGACGCTCTCAGCTCAACCTTCGTCGTACGTCTTCGGGGTTCCCGCAAGGCAAACCCTAAGCCACTCTGCTCGCGGTGTTGCTAAGGAAGGATTTCTGAGAGGGAGTGGGTTGTATGAGCACACTGCAGAGTGTTGTATGAGATAACGGTTGACCACTTCAGTCGTGTTGTATGAGATAACTGAAGGTCAACCGTCTTCTCTACCTTAGCAGTCCGCTTGAGTGTCAGGTGCGTGGACTTCAGAACGGAGAACGCTTTTGAGTCGACTCAAAAGCGCACTTCGGAAAGGAGACCACGACTGAATTCGCGGAAGTGCTAGTGGTTTGGCCCAAGTTCAGGGTCTGCCCTCTCTTCACTTCAATCAAATGTATGGTCGATCTACTCTATGTTCCCCGTCCTCCCTGCTCCTACCTCTACCCCCACCTCCACCCCCACGTCCACCCAAACCCCCCCACCAGGTGCCCCAGTCTTCGAGAAGATAACGGAGGACAACGAGTGCGCTCTTTTCGCCGTGAATCTCTTCAATATTTGGAACGGGTCCTTACACAGTCCTCCTTCCCCTTCCTCTTCCCGCTCCCCTCCCCCCCACCAGGTGCCTCAGTCGACCAAGAAGATAACGGAGGACGGCGAGTATGCCTTCTTCACCATGAATCTATTCACTCGCGACTTATTTCAAACTGACTCACCTTTCCCCTCACTCGCTCATGTAAAACCCTCCTTCCTGCCCCCCTCTTACCCCCACCCCACCAGGTGCCCCAGTCGTCGAAGAAGATTACAGAGGACAACGAGTATGCGCTCTTCACTGTGACTCTCTTCAAGCGAGTGGTTGACACCTTCAAAGTGGCGGCCAGGGAGAAGGGCTTCCAGGTGGGTGCAGGGAGGGACTGCTAGGTCACCGTGAATCTCTTCAATATTAACCCCTGTGACCTGCTACACTGTCCCGCTCTCTCTTCACTGACTCTTTTCTCACTGACTCTTTCCCCCCTGACTCTCTTCAAGCACGTGGTAAACACCTTCAGATTAGCTTTCAGGGAGAAGCGCCTCCAGCCAGGTGAGGCCATGATGGGATGTACTCTGACTCTCTGCGCAGGTATTCCCTGCGATGTCAACTTAGTTGCAAGCACTCTCTTCATTGTCGCTCTCGTCCGGCGAGTGGTGGACACCTTCTAAGTTTCGGCAGGGACGCACCAGAGGCAGGCTTCGAAGTCGACTTTCAATGGGACAGCACAGGGAGCGCCAGGTTTTTTAGAATTCTCAAACCCCCCTTCTGCTTTCCCCTTCCCCGCTGCCAGGTGCGCGAGTACGAGCACGACCCTGACGGCGCGCACCAGAGGAAGGAGGACCAGGAGAGGCTGCTGGAGGACAGTGCGTCCATGTCCGCGTCGCTCCTGCAGTGGTGCCACGTGGGATACGGCGAGGTGGGTGTATGTTGGGATGTAGAGAACTGTGAGGGGGTCCGGAAAGGTATGCCCGGGCTGATGCGCATCAGTGCATGGCTGGAAGAGACGACCAGGAGAGGCTGCTGGAGGACAGTGCGTCCATGTCAGCCTCACTGCTGCAGTGGTGCCATGTGGGATATGGTGAGGTGCGTACATTGGCGTATTGAGGAATTTGGAGTGGTAAAGCTTTGGTGCAGGGATATGAACATGCATGGTGCTCGTTTACTTTCACACTCCATGCCTCCCTCTTTCTCAAAGGATCCTTTCTCTGTCGCTTTGTCTCCCTGTTTCCTTGACTTGCACAGGTCTTTGCAGCATGGATGCACATCGCTGTCATCCGCCTCCTCGCTCGCTCCACTCTCTTCCCTTCCCTGCCCCCCTTCCCCCATGCTCCCATGTACCTCTGCCCTGCACCCCTCCCCTTGCAGGTCTTCGCTGCGTGGATGCACATCGCTGTCATCCGCCTCTTTGCTGAGAGCATCCTTCGTTACGGCCTCCCTCCTGCCTTCCTAGTGAGTGCTGCGTTCTGTGTTTCTGTCTAGGCAGCTTGATGAAAGAACCACCTTCTTTCGCCGAGAGCATCCTTCATTATGGCCTCCCTCCCGCCTTCCTAGTGAGTGCTGTGTTTGTGTGCTGAGTTGTTCTAGAGTTCAGTGAAGCACACCTTCTACTTATGAAAGGTGACATAACCCCTGTCCCCCTGTCCTACACCCTCCCTTCCTCCCAGCCTTCTCGCATGACCCCCTCCAGCGGTTGCAGCATTAGCCCTTCTCATCACGAATATCTCTCTTCTCTCCTTTCCTCTCCCCCCCTCTCCCCCCCTCTCCCCACCTCTCCCCTCCCCGCCCTTCCCCTCCCCTCCCCTCCCAGCCTGTTCTCATCACCCCCTCCCAGCGTTTGGAGAATCAACCTTTTCACCACAGATGTCTCCCCTCCCCTCCCCTCCTCTCCCCTCCCCTCCCCTCCCCTCCCCTCCCCTCCCCTCCCCTCCCCTCCACTCCCCTCCTCTCCCCTCCCCTTCCCTTCCCTCCTCCCAGCCTGCTCTCATGACCCCCTCCCAGCGTTCGGAGAAGCGACTTCGGTCCCTTCTGGAAACCTTGAGCAGCACAGATAACAGGTGAGGAGTGCTGCGGATATGGTGAGGCCCGATCACATTGAAAATTATTGATGACAGGTGGGCTATATTATCTACAGTCTAGCAATGAAAGGTAGGGTAAAACTCCCTCATTCACCTGTAACCTCTTCTGTGCATGCACCCTGCCTACCTACCGGTATTTCCTTCCTGTTTTCTCCCTTGATCCCTCCTTTTCCTTTTCCCTTTCTTGCTTCTTCCCCTTAACACTGTTCTCCCTTGCCTACACAACACACACAGTGAGCACTGGAGGTCGACAGAGAGTGATGCCAGCCTGGCAGGGTTGACTGGCGGGGACCACGACTTGCATCCCTATGTCTCCATCACCATGAATGTCGCACTGTAGACGCGACGATCGGGCACTGTAGATGCGTGCTAACGGATTTCTGCACTGTATATTGTCAGCCTGGCCGGATTGACTTCCGCCTTGCAGCCCAATTGTCCACTGCCTGTACCATCCTGAATTGTTGCTCTGTAGATGTGATATTTCTGCACTGTAGATTGTGGTACTCTGCTGCAGTAGCTCAGCTATGTTCCCCATATTATTGTTGAACTCCTAACCTTGAGTTACATGTGTAGAAGTGAAGCTACCCCCTTCTTCTGTATTGTGAAAGCTTGCTCGGGTCATCTTGGCAAAGGCAGCGTGCTTCATTTCATATCGGCAGCGTGCTTCATTTCATATGGGGCAAAGTACATGGTTCTCGTCCAATAGACTACACCTACAAATAGGGTGGTGTTAAAGTAGATACTAAGCAGTAGGCAGGAACAAGGCCGCCATGAATGTGGCGGCGGGGTTTAGCTAGGAGAGTAGGCGAGAGTGTCGAGAGAAAAGAGAGTTGACTAGGAAGAGAGAGGAGTACAAGAAGGGGTTTGTACCCTCTACAGAAAGGTTCAGTAACAACCTACCAAGCCTATATTAAATGATAACGCATATAATTTTAACAGGTGGGTGGGTGGGGAAAACAAACTGGAACTAGAAATGAAGAACGTGGGTGAGGTCGAATGGCCTCACGTCTAGGGTGAAAGCTTGCTTGGGTCATCTTGGCAAAGGCAGCGTGCTTCTTTTCATATGGGTCTTCTGAGGCATGTGTAGCAGGGGCTGGCGATGTCGCTCGATAGACAACTGGTGGTGACTGGGCGATGGAGCGGCGGAGGCGTCTTGGATGCGCGTGGACGCCGCAAGGAGGTGGTCGTGCGCAATGGTGAGATAGAGATCTTTGGCCGTATCGCTGCGCCAGCGACCGAGTCGTTTGAAGAGCCGGTCGGGGATCCCCAAGTTAGCTGCCGCAGTTGCGGCGCCCTTGCGGAAAGAGTGGGTGCCGAGGTGTCTGTTGTCGAGCCCAGCCTTGGCGAAGGCTTCGAGGCACCAGTTTCTGATGGTTGTGTAAGACGGAGCGCTGTCTTGAGGGGTTGCCCTGCCGCTGGTGCCAAAGACACGGATCAATGGTCCATGCGGGGTGGTGGGGTGTCCCGCGAGTTGCAGAAACCGTTGGGTGCAACGGACTGGGCAGTAAGGTCCAGTTGTTGGAGCAACTGGGATCCATGAGCCTTTGCCGTCCTGATCCGTCTTGGAGTGCGGGATTAGGATCCACATAGACTCCTCGTCAAACCGGATGTCGTTCCACTGGATGGAGACAAGGTCGGAGTAGCGGAGGAATGCCGCGAACATGAGGAGTGGGATCAGTCCTTTCTGATATTCTGCCGGGCTGCTGGACTCAAGGAAGGGGTGTGCCATGGCGTGCACCTGGTGGAGCGACAAGGGTTCCTTCGTCCTGGTGGTGCACGGGCCGTGGCGTTTGGAGAATTCCCGAACTTGTGAAGTGAAGGGCCCGCTGGTGGGAGAGGGTTCTCCGGTCATCCGGTGTGCAAATGCGACGGCGGAGCACGTAAGGGATATGGCGGATATTGTGGCCTGATTCTTGAGGGCGTAGACAAGGTAGAGCGCTAGAGTGGTGTCTGTGGCAGGCAGGTAGCTCGGCTTGACCTTTGTGCAAAAGGAGCGGAACTTGAGCCAATACGGTTCGTAGGTCCTTATGGTGGATGGCGCGCGGACATGGGTGATTACCCGAAGTAGCTGTGTCTGTAGGTTTGATAATAAGCCTGAAATACAGAGAGCGCCAGACATGGTGGGGCTATATTTTATATGTCACATGCAATGCGATGATCGGGCTATTGGGGAAACCGAGACCAGCAAAGGCGAGTGAGTGTGTGCCTGGGGATAGGCATTGGCTGCCTTGAGTGAGGGGAATGTGTGCCTTTACTTCTGGTGCCCAGGTTTGTGGTGCTGGCTGCAGTAGGGGCCACCAAGAGGCTCCTGGCCATTTAGGGATGACCAGCGTCAACTCGGCGTGGGTGCGTTGGGCGTGGCGCAGAGTAGCCGGGATGAGGTGGGGAGGGGGAAACGCGAAGCCTCGTTCATCATGCCAACTGAACGAGAAGGCGTCAACCACGGTGGCCTTGGGGTGAGGAATCTTGGAGCAGAAGCGCCTCAGTTGAGCGTTGTTAACGTTCGTAAATAGGTCGACAGAGTGCGGCCCCAGGTGGCGGTTGAGGAGTCGGAACCATGGGGATGTGAGTGAGTAATCATCTCGGTCCTGGAGTTTGGAGAGTTCGTCGGCGTGCGCGTTCAGCTCCCGGGGAATCCATTCGATGGCCAGACGTGTCTGATTTTTTAAGCAAAGGTCGATGATCGCCTGGCAAAGTAGTGTGAGTGCAGGGATGCTGGAGCCGCCTTTGCGCAGTATGAATACAACCCCCTGGTTGTCCACACGAACTAACACGTGCCGTTTGGAGATGTGGGTGACAAAGGTTCTGAGTGCCCACCCTACACCTTCGAGTTCCCTTCGGGTGCTGGAAGTGTGTAGGAGGTCTTTTGGCATGCGGGAGCTTGCTTCTATTGGGATCCCAGGGAGTGGCGTGAGGATGGCGCCCCAACTGTGGGCACTTGCGTCCACGTGGATGACGGCGTCGAACTGGTGACTGAGATGAAATGGGGTGCCGTTAAATTTGTCGAATTGCACCAGCAAAAAACGTAGCTCGTTCACCGCTGCCGGGTGCAGGAGGACCTTGGAGTGCCATGACGTTGCGTCGGCAATAAGTCGCAGGAGTTCGTGGCTGAATGCTCGTGCAGTCGCGCCCAGTGCTACGGCCATAGAGGCGAGCATGCCTGTAACTCTTGCGAGGGAGCGAACGGGAATAGGCCTTCCTGAGTGTCCTTGGGTTATCAAGGCCTCGAGTGTGGTTAAGAGTTGTGCCCTTCGCTCGAGTCCGACGGAGAACGTGCCGCGGGTGGAATCGATTTCCAAGCCGAGGAACCGAAGCTGACGCGATGGGTGAAGGTGCGATTTTTTGCCGTTAATGACAAAGCCAGCTGCTTTAAGGTCATGGAGGACTGTCGTACGATTCGAGCACGCTTGCTGGTGGGAATCGCAGAGAAATAATAGGTCGTCGACATACGGGACCACTCGAACGCCGCTTGCCCGCCATCGCTTGGCAAGTTGTTTGATTAGTTGGGTGAAGACGAATGGAGCAGTTGCAAGGCCGAACGGTAATGATCGAAAGGAGTAGTAGATGCCTTCGAACTGGAACCCCAAAAACTTCCAACAAGAGAGGTGAATCTCGACGTGATGGTACCCGGATTTCAGGTCGATGGAGAACATCCAGTCATCTCGGCGGATGAGCTCCGCTACACGATTCAGACCTTCGTACTTAAACTTAGGGACTTCAAGGTGAGTTTTCACTTTCCGTAGGTCAAGGATGAGGCGGCATTTGTCGCGCTGCACATGGGCGGGACAATTTCTAAACGGGGCATCACATGGTATGTCCATACGTAACGTTTATTAAGCGTGTGCGGGCTTATTGGTGGTTGACTTCTTCTTCCTTTTCCTTTCTTCTGCTCTCTTTGTTTGGGCCACTCCTTATGCAAGCTTTAGCGCCCAGACTCTGTCCTTGGCTTTGATTGGTCTCCGAGTGCGTGCGTGCACGCCATTTGTTGGGCGTCGGGCGTGCCTCCATGCTTAGTTCTCGAGGCGTGTTGCATGGCCGGCAAATAAAAGTGAGGGATCATGGGCCGCGCTCAAGGCTGTTCAGCCATGTTGGCCGGGCTTTGTCGCCCCCTCCCTCCCCCCTACCCCATCAGGGTTTTTTTTTTTTTTTTTTTTTTTGGTAGAGAAATGGATGGCCATAATCCATCGAGCCTTTAATTCAATCATAGGAATTATTACAAGCCTAGGCCTATCAGCCTTTGCTGCCTCCAAGGGCTATCCTAGTCAGCGAAAAACCCTTGCCTTTGGCAAAAGGCTGGCCACCGGCCATGCACCCGCCGTGCACCCCACTATGCCTCTTGCATGTGGGAAAAAGGGCGCCGCCCTATCAACCGCTCACACCACCGGTGAGGGACCTTGCGCACCACGCCCGCCCATGTGGCATGCATTGGCCATGTGGCCTGGCTGGCCGCAGCGAAAGCAGACTCCCTTGAAGCGCGGCTGCTGGCACGTAGCAGGGGGGGAGCCCTTGATGTCCGAGTCCGTGTCGCGACCACCAGGACGGCCGCCGCGCGTGTAGCCGAGGCGTGCACGCTTGAACGCTGCCACATCCGCGACAACCAGCTTGTAGGACCGGGATGTGAGGACACTTTTGGACTGATAAAGCTGGAAGCGGTCGGCGGCCTCGAAACGGGCTTCGTCCGCAACGAGAAGGACTTGGAAACGCTGATTAATAAGTATTTCGATATCCTTTACGTTGTTGAGTGCGCCGACGACGTCGCCGTGGTGCAGCTTGAAGTCGATGTGCTTCAGGTACGCTTCGATGGCAGTGAAGACCTCGGCTTGGTTGCGTACGCCCTTGCGCATGAAGGTAGTAGCTGCGGGCGTGGGGCCAAGGGGGGGGAGAGGGGGGGCGGGTGCAAGGATGCGACAACGAGCAATGTTGGCGGGGCCCTCACCGTCGTCATTTTCTGAGTCGTCGCTGTCATCGGGGTTGTTAGCAGGTGCGGGAGTCGGTGCCGGGGGCGGGTCGTCGGTGCGGGGAGCCTTGGGCGCGCGAGGATGGGTAGCCATTTCTTTCTTTTTGTTAAAATTGATCCTAGGCGCAGCATTATCGGATGAGGTTCCAACTGTAACAGCAGGAGCTTGCTGCTGTAACAGCGCCAAAAGCGCTTGCAGCTGGTGCGCAGTCAAGGCGGGGGCGGCGGCGGTTGGCGCGGGGTCAGCGGCAGGCGCGTGCTGGGTGGTGGGCCCGCCTGGCCTGCAGGCAACGCGCCTCGGGCTGGCGCGTGGTCTTCCGTTGAATGCACGGGCAGCTGCTTCTGGAGCAGCGTGAGTGCCGCCGAGCAGGATCTAGACTGCCAAGGGGCCCTCGCCGAAATTGTCCTCAGCAGGACGTTTCTGACGACGGTCGGTTCCCCCGGGCGAAGTTCCGATCGCCTGGGCGTTAGCGGGGGTAGAAATGTTGTTCGCCGCGCGAGCCGGAGCAGAATTGGCGGAAGTCATCGTGGCGATATTGTGCTGCAGAATGTCGGTGAGGAGCGTTGTCGGGGCTTTGAAGTGCGGAAGCGACTGGGTTTTCGCCAGCTTGGGCGAGAACAAGAAGACTAGAACTAGGACGAGAACGGGGAAGAACGAACTGGAACTAGAAATGAAGAACGTGGGTGAGGTCGAATGGCCTCACGTCCCTCTTTTGTAGGCAAAAGAGGGTGAGTAGCGCTTCGACGCTATCCTTGCTGCGTTGGCCCTCGCTGCACTTTCACAATACACATTTTTTATAAAGCGTTACACGCTTTCAAAAAATTACATTTATGAAGTACATACATAGTACCGTAATCCCCCGTATAAAACACCCGCTGGAATTAAGCTCCCCCGGGTAGCTTGAGCGGGTATGGGTGATTAATTTAAGTGGATTTAGTTACCACCCTACCCTTGGCCTTGAAAACATTTGACCACCCTCCCCCGAGATGAAAAATCGATTTTTCTACGTTTTGCTAAATACAACTTCTTGAATTAGACGTTAGCAATACAACTAGAGTACACCATGTTACTACTCGGCTAAAATTCACAGCTGAACATGCTGGTGGCACCACCTGGAGCTTGAATCCTACCTACTGGCTCTGCCTAGAACCTAAATTAACCACTACACTTTAAATCCTTACACTACTCCAGATACTCATGCCTCTGCCACTGCTCTAGTCGTCCTCCTCAGGCTCCTCATCACCAGCCTGCCACATCTCGACGTCGCTCCCATCTGCAAGCTCATCCCACCAGCAGTTGTCGTCATCCTCCTCTACAATGCCTTCTGCTGGCCACACATCAACACTTGTTGCTGCTGCTGATGCAGTGTCTGCATTGTCTGCGCTCGTCTCAGCTGCCTCGGTTGCTGCTCCAGCGACGCTGCATCTGCCTCTTCGTCGGCGACGTCCCCGTTCACATCGATGAAGGCATCGTAGAGGGGGTTGATGTAGCCGCTCTCGCCCTCCTCGACGTGGACATCATCCATCACCTCGAGGTCGGGATTGCCGCGGAGGTGGCGGATAGCGAGGTTGTCCTCGGTGCCGTCCATCGCATTTGATATCTCGCACGTCTTGAATGAACTCCGCACGAGCTCCTCTGGCACAGCCTCCCATGACCGAGCAATCCATTTCAAGACGAGCTCAGCCGGGGGCTTCTTCAGATTTCCTGCACATGGGATGGGAGCATGATGGGAGGAGAAGAACACGGGCACAGTGAGATAACGACTGGGAACGGGCACGGTGGAATTTGTCAACAAGTAAGAAGTCTAATAACGACTGAGGAAGCGACTAGGAAGGGGCTCACCTGCCGTAGTCTTCAGGTCGATGCCGAACTGCTCAAACCACGCGCCGTAGTCGCCGCGCACGCCGGCCTTGAAGCTCTTGTTCACTGCGACGTCCAGCGGTTGAACGAGAGGCGTGCAACCACCGGGGATGACCGCGCGGGTAAGTTTGCACAGCTTCATCGTCTGCCCGACTGCTTGCGTGAGGTGGCCCTTGTACGAGTCCAGGATGACGAGCGCCTCCTTGCGCCTATTCCCCGCTTCGCGCAGCGGGCGCAAGAACGGGTTCAGAACTTGAGTAGTCCAGTCCTGGACAAGCTTCTCGTCCATCCAGCCCTTCGGCTGGGCTCGGATGATAACACCTGGATACAATCACAAGCCATAACAACAGTCAGAGGGTAGGCATCGGCGTACACTATGCACAGAGCGAAAAGCAAATGCGATTCTTACCCGGGGGAACCTGAATCTTTGGCAGCGTCTTCCGCTTGAAGATGACATATGGCGGGAGCTTCAATCCCGACGCGGTGACCGCCAACATGACGGTGAGCCGCTCCTTTTCATAGCCGGCCGTCCTCACATGAACCGTACGGGAGCCTCTGTGCTCCAACGTCCTCTCCTGGGGCATTTCGATGAAGAGGGGGGTTTGGTCGGCGTTTACGATGTGGTCGAGGTTGTACCGGTTGAGAATCCGCACCTGTTTGACAAACTCCCAGAACTTCTCGATCTGACTCCTCATGTCTGCCTAGAACAAAACAGTCGGAGAACAAATTCAGGCGTGAACACGCGAGAAGCAAGACAATCAAAAGAATCAAATATTGAAAGTCGCGGCAAGGGATTGAATAACAAGGATGGGACGACAGTTTACCGTCGGCGAGCTTTTGCCCCATCTTCGTCTTTACCCGAAGCGTAAGGCCCCAGCGCGCGCGGAATCTGAACGTCCAGCGACTCGACGCTCTCCAATCGACGTCGGGATGATGTACGCGCATGTACGAGCGACTCCATTTCTGCAGCAGCTTGACGGAGATGGCAAGCCCCCTCCCGCGGTGCCTCAGGAACTGTCGGTAGAGGGCGCTCTCCATCGTCGGGTACTTCGCGGGACGTCCGGCACCGACGAGGTGTTTGCGGCAGCCGGCGGCGACACGGAGGCGTTCGCGAGCATTCTTCCACTCCCGAATCGACACCGGCTGGACACCTGCAAGCTTTGCGAGTCCACGCACAAAGAGGTCGGGTTGAGCATCAAACATGGCAAGCCAGTACAACTTCTCCGAGGCAGAGTAAGAGCGGCGCTTCCGCTTTGTCATCCTGCTTTGAGATGCGGGGGCATGGATATCGTGATTCAAGGTAGGACCACGGGGTCGTCGAGTGGGCTCCGAGAAACTCGGCACGCTGACGCGGGGCAGGGGACGACGCCGTTCCGTCGTAGTGGCGTCGCCGCTTGCAGAATCTGTCGCAGCGGCGTCGACGCTTGTAGAGTCAGTCGCAGCGGCATCGCCGTCGGCAGAGGACCGACGAAGTAAAAACGTCTGCTGGCCATAAGGGCCCTTTCGAGTCAGAAGGCAAGACAAGCCTGAGCCTGAGGCCATGGCGGGGGGACGATACAGAGACGGAGCTAGAGGATGCCTTAGACAGCCCTTGCAGGGGCTGTCTTGAAGGCATCCTGGAGTCGAAACTGAAAATGAGAGGACGGAGCGGGTTAGACCCACTTCAAGAGTGGGTTGGAGGGGAAGGCAGGGACGTGGGCGACTCCCTCGTCCTTGTCGCCCATGAAATGCCTCTCACGACCATCCAGAATGTGTGATTCCGTGCGCTGGCCGGTCGTGAGAAGGCATCGACGGAATGTGCCGTTGATTTCGCCACCCCTTGCTGTGCTGGCACAGCGTGGGTTGGAGGCATCAAGGTGGCTGCCTGCAGCACAAGCTCATTGGCTACTCTAGCAGCATACTGAATCAGCAGCTTACGTAAACGATATGGCATGCACATGGACCAAATCGTTGGGTACGCGATCAGATAGCAGAATGGGACTCTATACTCAGAACAATGCCCTGTCACAAGTACAGTTGAATTCAAATCAAAAATTGCATATGCACATTCCATAACTCCTGGGTGCTGTGTTTTTTTTGCCTTTAATTACACCCAACCCAAAATTTCGTTGCAGTTTTATCAACACCATAGGGTGTTTTAAACAGGGGATTACGGTATCTTGTTGAGTGACCCGCTGGGGTTGCCCTTGAGATCCTCGGGGAAGGGCCACAGGTGCAGAGCCTGGGGGGTTATGGGCGCACTTACCCGCTATTCAACAAGCCCTTTTAACCCAGTGGTTAGTGGCTGGGTTTCTGACATATCTAGGGAAGGAGTCAAATGTACCTTCACACACAGACCTGATACCATGAGCTCTGCACTGCAAAGCGGGCTGAAAGTTCACGCCTACCAACCGGCCGACACCCCACCCCATGTCCATGAGAACCCTCACTAGATCCACCAAGTCGAAATGCTCAACCCATACGTCGCACTGATACCACCGGGCTCCGCAAAGCGGCCTCTATCAACCTGCCGACACTCCGTGAGGCACAGGACCCTCAGTATTGGCATGCCCGAAAATTCCTCTGGCCGAACCTGCAGCTGCCTGCAGCTAGACAGCAACAAGCTCCTGAGTCTGGTCAGGCTCATGAGTCCAGGGGGAAGGGAGCGGATTGCGTTGCTGGGGAGTTCCAGGCAGTACAGGCAGGTGAGCTTCGTGAGAGAAGCGGGCAGACGCTCCAGAGCAGGACAGAGGGCAACTTTTAACTTCTGGAGCCGGGATAAGGCACCTAAGGCATCGGGGAGAGAGGTCAGCTTGGCTGCTTCGACAATCTCCAGGCAGGTGCTCCAATTCCTGTGCATCCTGTATCCGCAGCTTCTGCAGCAGCGGCATAGCTGACCCAAAATCAGCTGGGAGCTCCTTTACCTTCCCAACCCCGTGAATCTCCAAGCTGCGGAGGTGGTTCAGAGACCTCAGCACAAAAAGAAGCTTCTTGGCTTTCTTTGACAGAATGAGCTCCAGGTGCTGGAGATGGGACAGGCTGCGGCTGACTGCCAGTCCCCGCTTGGCAGCAACCATTCTCAAGCTGAGAGCAGTAAGACTCGGCAGCCTGGAAAGGTCCGGCATAGGGACTGTCTGGTTGAAATCCCCCCAGCTAAGGATCTCCAGAGAGGCCGGTAAAGATTCTGGATAATAATTCAGGGGTTCGATGGTGTCCAGCTGGAGCGTTCTGAGCCTGGTTAGGAAATCCAGTCTCCTCGGGATCGTCTCCAGATACATGCAGTGGAAGATTGTGAGGACTTCAAGCCTTGTGAGGTGTGTGATGGCCTCGGGAACCTCCTTAATGTAGAGCTTATGCAGTTGCAGCCTCTGCAGGCTGGTTAGATTCTCCATGCCCTCGGGAAGCTCATAGACCGCACAGCTGTCGATGTCAAGCTTTGTTAGAGAGGCCAGCTGGGTGATTGACGATGGAAGTTGCCGTTGGTGTCGGTTGTAAACCCCGCTTAGCCGCAGAGTCTGGAGATTCGACAGCATCCCAAGGTCGTCAGGAAGCATCAGGTCGTGTAGACCAATTAAGCACAGCTTTTTAAGAGCTGTGAGGGTGCAGAAGCCGACTGGAAGCTTGCCAAAGGACTTGGACTCATAAACGAGAAGGTTTTCCAGGGACGTGAGCAAGCAGAATGAGTCAGGAAGGTGTGAGAGAGGCACCGAGTCCAGCACCAATGTTTTCAGGGCAGGCAGCAAGCCGAAGTTTCCGGGCAGGCTGAAATTCCGGTCGGCTCTGGAAATCTTCAGCATCTCTAAACGGCTGAGGGAGGCAAATCCTTCGGGCAGCTGGCTGATTTTTTTGCAGGAACTGATGCTCAGCTCACGGAGATTCGGCAGCAGATCTCCAATGTCGTCAGGCAGGCCCTCGAGATTGTCGGATCCGGAAATCGACAGCTGTTCAAGACTGGTGCATGGCGAGTGTGCGGAAAATATCTGTTGGAATCGTGTACAGGAAGAAGAGCTGAATCGCAGCGACTTCAGGCGAGGCAGCTGCGAGAAGGTGAAGGCAGCAGGTTGCTGATCAGTTGGCAGTAGAGGGAGTTGCGCTGAGAGGCTCAGGCTGGTGAGGCTTGGGAGTTGAACGAGGGATGACAGCTGCTGGTGTTTCAGCCCGGAAGAGGTCATCCACAGAGTGCTGAGAGCAGAGAAATTTGCGAATACGGGAACGTCGAGCGCTGAAGCATCCGGTAGAGCAAGAGCCTTAAGCCGAGACAGATTGAAGAACGAAGCTGGCAGTTTAGCGTCCTTGTGAAGGCAGAAGAGGGACAGCTGCTCCAGACGAGGACATTGCAGAAAGAATTTATCCAAGCCGGCTTCGGTCACCGGATGCAGATGCTTCCTGGCATCGTATTTTTCCGGTGTGATTCTTCCTCCCACGTGCAGAGCCGTCTGCTTCGGGCATGCCGAGGCGAGGTGAGCGAGAAACTCGTCGTCGAGGGTTTCCGCGCTTTCCTCGCACAGGTGAAGATGCGTTAGATTCGGGAAGCACGAGACGGCGCTAGCGAGATCTTGGCGGGAAACGACGCTGAACGGCCTGACCAGAAGCGCGGTGACGTGGCGCTCATCGAGGGAGCGCCAGCGGCGGCAGACGAACGCTATCAGGAGGCTCCAGGCGGCGTTCATGGAAGAAGGAGGAGACGGTATCGGAGTGCTTTCGTCGCAATAAATGTCCCGATTCACAGACATTCCGCATGACTCCTTCATCCAGGAGTTAATGAAATCCGTATGATCGACGGTGTAGGTCTCCCACGGTGCAGGTCGGTTGAAGTGCCAGAGGATCCTGATGAGAATGTCGTCAGGAAGATGGTGGATAGGCGTGCGAGACTTCATTCCTGCAGCGCTTGACATTAGCGGCGCAAACTGCTGGAAACCTCGCAGAAAATCTGACCGAATCAGGAACTCCTTAGAACCTCCCGAGACTAGCGATAGGAATCGGCGTCGGGAGGGACTACTAAAAAGACCCTCGCTTGCTATTGCTCCGTCGCTAGATCAGCCAGGTTATAGCGAAGTGATATGTCGGCTTGATTCGTCCTACCAGGAAGAGCACTGGAACATGATCAAGATGAGAGCGGGATGGCGGGATCAGTGCTCTTCACTCCGTCCTACATAATGGTGATCCGCCCAACCAGGAAGAGCCTTGGAACATGATCAATAAGAGAGCGAGACGGCGGGGGCAGGAACTGAAATGACAGGCAGCCAAGAGGACGCAGAAAAGGGCAAATACTCGCTAAAAAACAGACTGCGACTGGGTTCGGAACATCCACACTATGATTGGCACTTACTTTGAAGGCAACGACCAGAAGTGCTTATGTGAATTCTCTAGAAATGATTCTTGAAACAATACAAAGCAAGAGAAGAGAATTTAGCTACGAATGTATTGTCCAGAGATTTTTTTTTCACCCCTAAAAAAACACCAACCTGCACATGCTTTGGATGCTGGGGTTTCCTAGGGACTTCTTCAGACCAACCTAGGTTCTTCAGCTCAGAGAAACTCCTCGCAGATAATGTGAATCACTTTGCAAGACTCGCGTTTTGGTCTACTGAACATGGGAGGAAGGGAGTGGAAGAAGGTGGTCTGGAATATCTAGCCTCTGCAAGCAGGTAAGCTGGGTGAGCGATCAAGGCAGGTGCTCCAGGGCGAAGCAACTGGACAGGTTGAGCTTTCGGAGCCGAGTCAAGGCACCGATGTCATCAGGAAGAGAATTCAGTCTAGGTGCTTGACCAATCTCCAAAGAAGTCAGGTGCTTCAGCTCAGTGATACTTGCTGGCAGTTGCTCCAATTCCTCTGCATCTCGTATCAGCAGCTTCTGCAGCTGAGCCAGAGCTGACCCAAAATCTATTGGAAGCTCCTTCATCTTCCCAGCCTTCCGAATAGATAGACTGCGCAGCTGTTTCAGAAAGGTCAATGGAAAGGGCAACTGTCTAGCGGCTTTTGACAACATCAGCTCTAGGTGCTTCAAATGGGACAGGGTTTTGCTGATTGTTGCTTTTTGTCCAGTGGTCACCATGCTCAAGCTTAAATCGGTCAGACTTGACAGCTTGGAGACATCTGGCATACGAGTGACCCGGCTGCAATTCCCCCATTTCAAAATCTCAAGAGCAGACGGCAGTGATTCAAGGGGTTGAGCCAGCTCCGTGCATCCACATATACTGTATGCAGACGTTTGAGCCTTGTAAGGCTATCCAACTGCCTGGGGATGTAAGAGAGAAACCTGCACATCTCAATCATCAGGATCTCGAGGTTTCTCAGGCAGGTAACGGAGTCAAGAATCATTATGAACAAGCTGCCATGGATGTGTAGAATCTTCAAGCTTCTCAGCTTCCCCAGATCCTCCGGAAGCTTACTAAGGAAACAATTATCGAAGTCAAGCATTGTGAGGGAGGACAATTGTGTGAACGAGGAAGGGAGCAGGCGCTCGTAGTCGTTGTGGCACGGACGCAGCATTTGTAGATTCGTCAGCAACCCAATGCTTTCAGGAAGCACCACTCATCGAGTACTCACAAGGCACAGTGCCTTGAGAGTTGTCAGATGACAGAAACCTTCAAGAAGCTCCTGGAGTCGATGACAATCAGTCGGGATAAGCGTTTCTAGTGACGACAACATGCAAATGGAGTCAAGAAGGTGGAAGAGACATACTGAGTGCAACACCAATCTCTTGAGAGCAGGCAGGTGTCCAAAGTTTCCGGGCAGGCTGAAAATTCCACTAGATCTAAAAAAACCATTGGATATCGTCAGGCTCTCCAATCTGCTCAGCAATGTGAAATTTCCAGAAAGCGGGGCGAGAGATTGGCACCAGCGAATGCTCAGCTTGCGAAGTTTCAGCAGCAGATCTCCAATGTCGTCTGGAAGGCTTCCTATTTGGTCTAGCTGTGTGACAAGCAGACGCTCCAGACTGGGAAGGAAACATCTGATCAAATCGAGGAGAGGCTTTGAAGAACTCGGCGACTTTAGGCACGGTAGTTGCTCGATGGTAAAAGCAGTAGAACGCTGATCACTTGAGATTACGCGGGTTCCACGAGGGAATGAAAGGCTGGTGAGATTCGGAAGGTGAACGAGGGAGGAAAGCTGCTGGTAATGTAGCTGCGGATAGGTGATCCAGAGAGTGGAGAGAGCAGAAAGATTGGCGAAAGCAGGATCGTCTAGTGTAATGCATGGCCTATGAACAGTGCGCGGGCCTACGAAACTGCCTTCCCAGCGACCTTTATCAAATTTGCTACCAATGCTAGGCATCGCGAGATGGGAAGAAGGGGTTGGGAGGGGAGTTTTGTGATTGGTCGAGATTGAACCAATCATATTGTACTTGTACATGTTGACTTGGCAAAATTTCCAAACCACGCGATGGATGGATTTGCGACCAATCAGAATTAGGGAGTTGGTTGGCAATGCCAACTCAACTCAAAATATTCCTATGCTGTACACCAAATCCTAATCTGAATACATTGTTGTAAACCTCTCATTGGTTGGAAATCTAACCCTTTGCCACATAAGCTAGCTCACCTCCTTGGAGTTATGGAGGAGGTGTAGCAGCTGCTAGGAGTCATTGGAAGGGATCCGAGCTGAGAAGCTCATTCTCAACTTCCCACTCCAAGAAATCAATCTTGAAATGGGATTTTTCTCAAAGTCATGAGGCTCCCCTCACAAGCCTCCCTACACTAGTAGTTTCTAGTGTGGTCCCCTAGGGGAAACTCTACCCAACCAGAGCCTTAACTACTACCCTCCAAGAGCCTTCCTCAAGCTTAAGCTCCTTCATAGAGGGGGTTCTTTCCTACAGTAAGTACACTGCTAGGAGATCGCTACTTGATTTTGTACTCCGTTATTATATTGTAGGATCTTGGATCTTGATCTAAACTTCAACCCTTGTTTGTCCATGCTATAAGGGCAAGGGTTGTTACATCTAGCACTGAAGCGTCTGGAAGAGTGAGAATCTGCAGCCACGTTAACTGGAAGAGAGAAGCCGGTAGCTTAACCTCTGGATGGAGATAGTGGAATGAAAGCTGCTCCAATTGACTGCAGGTCAAATAGAACCTATCCAAACCATCCTTAGTCACCAGGTGAAAGTCCTTCCGAGAATCACACTGCTGGTGCATGCTCCTTTTACCCACGTGCAGAGCCATCAGCTTAGGGCATGATGAGGCGAGACAAACGAGGAACGAGTCGTCTAGGTTCCCCACACTCTCGGAGCAGAGGTGAAGCTGCGTTAACTCCGGAAAACAAGCGACCGCGTTCGCACGTTCTTGGCGGGAAATGACGCTAGACGCTCTGACTAGAAGTGTGGAGACATGCCGCTGAGCCAGGCTGCGCCAGCGCCTGCAGATGGATGCTACCAGAAGATTCCACGCAGTGTTGGTGAACGCTAGAGGAGCGGGTACCGAGTTAACGGGTAGGGGAAATATGTCGCTGTCAGCATATATTCTGATGATTGCATACAACCCCGAGTTCATAATTTCCCGCATTTCATCGGTGTCGAATTCACCGAGTGTAAGCTGCTCGGAATGCCAGAGGATCTTAACAAGAATCTCGTCAGGAAGATTGTGAACATGCGCATGGGACTTCGTTCCAGAGCTCGCCATTCAAAATGATCAACTGTTGGAAATCTGACTGAAGACTGGATCGGAAACCTTTCAAAACAACCTGTGAGAAACTGCCAAAATTGTGTAGAAGCGACTCCCTTGCTGACAATGGAACACTCCAGGGCTATTGGGCTAGTAGGGTATTGGAGCTATCTTGATGGGCTGAAAGTGAGACTGACTTGAAGATACTTCCCTAGGTGAGCCAGAGTAGGAAGAGGTTGGTACAGCGACGGAAAGTATTGTCCACATGTTTGTGACTTAGAGGAATTTTGCCATTTTAGGGGGTCATGGACATTAAGACTTAATCTTCTGGTGTGCCTAGTGTATATAGGTTGGGGTAAGGCTCCACGCCCATGCCTTACATCACACACGTATAATGATGTTTACAACAAATACTAGAAAATAACAATCTTGGTACATGTGGACAATTATTGCCAGGCGCAAGCAGCAAGTTACATCAACCCCAAACTAGTACCTAATCCACCGCCCTTTCGCCTTAGACACCGCCCTCACCCTCCTGGGCATGCTTTCCACCAAGTGGGTGCACACATCCGCCGGGATCTTCTCCCATTTCACCTGCACCCGCTCCCAAAGGTCCAGCATACCAGTGGGAGGCTTATAAGGCTTGGCCAGCTGCCTCTTGAGATGAGCCCATAAATGCTCCATTGGGTTGAGGTCGGGTGAGGAAGACGGCCACTCTAGCACCCCTGAATCTTACTCTCAAAGCCACTCCTATACGATACGTGACTTGTGCTTCGGGTCATTGTCGTGCTGGAAGATAGTTTTTGAGGGTGTAAGCTGGTAAAGCTCAATCGTACTGTTGAGATCGTCCTGCAGTATACTCAGCGAGAGCAGTCCGTCCACCCTACCATATGTTTTGCTCATGAAACCCGCTCCCTTTTACGACATGCAGTTGTAAATTATCAAGCAACCGCCCCCGTGTTTGACGGTCTGCTTGATTTGGTGTCTTTGGAGGGCAGTCCCTTCGTGAACGCAGGCGCATGAGAGTCAGTCGGATGCAAGACGACCGATCATGGTCTCATCCGCACAGATAACTCGCTTCTAGTCGTCAACTGCCCAGTCTGCGTGGGCACGCGCCCATTCCAGCCTATCGCGTATGTTTTTCCGAGAGTGTCGCGGTTTCTTGGGATGCTTGATTGCGACAAGTCGGCTCCCATTCAAAGCGTTACGCAATGTCTTAGGATGCAACGTGATGCCGTGCTGCTTCTCAACGATTTTCGCCACGTGAGCCGAGATTTCTGCCTCCTCGAGGGTAATCGACCGAACTACTGCCGTGGCGAACTCTCTCTGTCACTAAGCGAGGGCGACCGGCTGAGGGCATCGTAGGACGCACGTCATTGCGGCTAGACTCTACAATCGCCTTGATGGGCCGAACTCTTCCCTATGGCTAGCTGTTAGCGATTCAACGATTGCTCTACCCCCTCCGCAACAAGGGAATGATCTATGCGTAGAGCGCCTCATCTAACAGTTTCATGACGGCCTAATCATCGCAGCGGTCCTAGCCTATCTCCTGACTACTCGATAGTCGCAAGGGCAAGTAAGAAGAAATAGCGAGGTTAGGAAATAGATCTACTACACTGCTTGGCCTAAACTGTCCGGATGCACCCACGCGAACGAAATCTCGTCCTCGGTAAAAAATCGACCCCTATAAAACTGAAACCAGCATCCGTCACATACAGTACAGTACTACTTTACATCCAACCCCGAAATTTGATTCGTAACTAAACAAAGAAGGCACCAAACCAATACGAGAAATGTTTTAAGGCAATTATCCGGGCAATACTTTCCGTCGCTGTATCTCTCACAACATTGACCTTGGGTCATGTGTGCGAAGGGTTTCGTTCACTCTCGAACGAGTTTCGTTGGGAATGCGGTAGGAACGATATCGACGATTGTTCGTCAGAGTGGTAATTGTGGTTTCTGTGTGTTATGAATTATAACTCAGAATATAGCGTAGAATTCTATAAGGGGAATGTGATTACAATGTGTCGATAGAAATGAGGCCTAGGGAATATATAGGGTGATTGACCAGGGTTAGCGAAAGACCGCTAACAGTAAATCTGTCGAGTGGTCGACTTATGATGGCACGTGGCAGATGAATATCTTGACATTATGAGTGGCGAATAACGTGACGATCGATGAATCAAGAACCCATTCATCAAACGCGAGGTCATTCGTGTCGCATGCGAGAGCACGCGTCCGTGTCCCATGAAAGTCAGCGAACTCCATCAACAAAGGAACGAAATCAGGCACGCAAGCGTAATGATGATGAAGGATGCTCGAATATGGATGATGGAACACGCCGAAGGGTCAGATGGGAAATTGCAGCACAGCTGCACTTCTCCCCCCCCTCCAAGAAGAAACAAGGCCCAACTTCCCAGGTAAAACTCTAGGAAACCCAATGCTCTAGGGTCGTCGAATACCCAACATTGCTGCGTAAACTTCTCACACTCAGCTTCGAAGAGGCCATTGAAATATATATCCCGGCAACAAAACACGAACCATGATGACTCCTTGTTTACTTCAGATAAATATTTTCTTCAGGGTAAACCGTTTAGAATGTCTTGTAATGCAGCAACAACTGCTCCAGAAGACTCCCACACGAACGTCAAAATTCTTCACGAGTAAAACACCGCTTGCGAGCTGGCCCCAACACAGCTCCAACAGTTGCACTCCTAGCTGCCAAAAAATTGTGTACAGTGGATCCGATACTGTTCCTGACGGTTGGCGATGGTGGTCGGGTTCGTGTGTACTTAGGCAAGCGAAATTGGTCAGATTGTCGATGGAGGCGATAACGAGTGTTGGCGAGATGTTGACGACGCTGGCGATGGACTGAAACCTGTACCAAATCGCTTCAATGAAAAACCTCGAGACAAACTCGTGGTCAAATGACGCCAACTGCATGAGTTTTTTTTCCGTACACGCCGAAATATTCGGAAAGAGCTGCAACCGCTACTGCTCTCCCTCCGCTCCATATACCCAGAATACTATGCAAAATTCGGCCGATATTGTTCGTACCCCCGATGATAGCGGGTACTGCTCCAGCGGTGAGTCCATGAACTGCTCCAATGAAAATGTCGGAACTCCAATCGATACTTAACTAAGAAAGCAACACTGCTTCACAGCTACCCATAAGAACACTCAGGCGTCACAGCGTCCTTTAGCAGCGCCCCCACAGTTGCTCCACCGGCTGTATGCATGAAATGAACCCTTTATACTAGGGAACATCAGAGTCCATCACCTCGGCATGATGTCTTGACCGTCGATCAGGGTCAACGCGCATCATTCGCCGTCGATCTTCGCCCAGCTGTTACCCAACTACATAAATTCTCCGGTACTCCTGTCCAGCTGGCCGTGCAAACGTTCACCCATCTTGGGGCTGCTCCAGGTTACCCAAAACAGCTTCGCTCCTGCTTAACTAACAAAGAGAATCCACAGAGATAGGAGTGCGCATACTTCTAGTCAGAGGAGCTTTAACGAGCTCGCCTACTGACCGCTGGACAGCTCCCTCCTCCGTCAGAAACTCA